ACTACTCTCTCTCTCTCTCTCTCTCTCTCTCTCACACACACACACACACACACACACACACACACACACACACACACAAACACACACTAATCACTCCTCCTTCTCTCATCGATAAGTCCTCACAGTAACCACCGGAGAAAATCTCACTCCAGGAGCTGTATCTCGAAGCTGATGGGTACTACTACTACTACTGCATCGTTTCTTTTTCTTTTTCTTCTTCTCGGGTTCCACTTCGCAAGGCTTGGAAGACCTCACACTCCTCTTTCTACGCGGTGGACCACTTTGCGAACTGTGGCTGGGTTTTGGCGGAGGAGATGGGGCATAGGAACAGAAGAATCTTGAATATGACATGATGGGGCCCGACGAATAGCGTGGTTTGGGTTCCGAGGGGATTATCTCATAGTCACGAGATTGTTTTTGTTGTTGTTGTTGTTGTTGTTGTTGTTGTTGCTTGCGTTCGGACTTGCTTCCGTGCTTCGAGTCGGAGCTTTTACGGGGGCGAGAGGAAGGAAGCAAAGGAAGTTCTTGCTTGTTGACTTTGGTGTTGGCTTTGGTGTTGGTGATGTCGCGTGGTCTATACACTACATGTACCTGAACTGTGGCGTATTTGTATTTTGTACTGTGGGATTTGGTGGTGGTAGTGGTATAGCTGGTCATTCTGTAGCCGGAAAAAGTTAGTATCATGATATTTTCGTCGCTGCAATACCGATAGCTACCTGTACATTGATACACAGCTTCCACCGACTGAAACAGTCTGTGTGTTATCGGACGATTCCTTTGGTATTTGAGAGGACGGAAACGTCCTCAGAATGAATTACCTCGCAGAGAATGAGGGGAAGATGTCAGAAATGTCACCAAGTCGCGTCACGGGATGATATGTTCCGCTGTGTTGGCACATGCATTGCTTCTGGACACCTTGTCCCACGGAGTAGGAGAATAATGGATAAATATAGCCGAAATTTTGGGGCGCGGTAGGGAAAGGTACATCCCCTGATCCAGAAACATGCGGTCCAGTTCTGTACCATTCACAGTGGTTGTACCCAAATGTCACGTTGAGGCGTCACACCGAGAGCTCCCCACCGCAGAGTGCTGAAATTGGATCTACCACACATTTCGGAACGGTGGCCAATTGTGATATATCATGACAACCTGTAGTATGCCGAACCAGTATCGATTCATGGGCAGAGCTGCGTCTTCGGCCACTTCAGTGCAACCTAGTGATGGCAGGGTTGCTTTGATCTTCGGAGTCTTGGAGCGTAAAGGTGGAATTGCAAAGCTCATGTTGTGTGAACAAGTAAGAGTCCCAACTGAGTTCCGCTCACGTGCTTGGCTTGACTTGGTCGCACTTGCCGCTAGTCGTCATCAGGAAGACCTCCAGCCCGTGTGATTTCAAGATAACGGCCTTGTGGGTGGCGTATGCGTACCTAATGTTACGCAGCTGTTGCTATTGAAGATGATGATATGTTTGATCAGACCTGCGCTCTTGCGCAGATGAGGACCAAGGTCGCTCACCGTGACCACGAAGCAGAATGAAGATATTGCTCTACTCTGACGGGGAGAGGCGAAGCGGGAAAACATAAGGTACAGAGCAACAGGAGGAAGTCGCAAGTCGCATGTGCTTCATAGCATGGTACGGTCTACCGTTTAGCAGTCTCGGCTGATTGTTGCACAAATAAAATAATTCGCTGCCAGTACCTTGGATCTTCACCCACCGTTGGAGCGAACGGGTAAGGCGTTCGTTCGGGGGAATAATTCTGAGCAAGATATGCAGATCAGGATTGAGTCCCCTTCTCAAAGCATCACGCACCGTGACGTGTGGTGGTCCGGATAGTGATACCTCACCATATCGACATCATCAACCACATGTATTGGCCAGTCCTGCAGCTGTATGATCGGTGCCGATGATTTACTTCGCCTAGCGACCAGTGAAGAGTCGTTTTCGAGTGACAAGCGAAGACTGGAAAGCGCCCGATGACTTGGAACGATGCGCTGATGCCAGTTAGGCTGATCAAGAAGACCGCTGACAGCTAAAGAGATGGTCATTTACCGTGCTTTGATCAACCCAAGAGTTGTAACGCACTCTTGAAGGCGTCGACAACTTTGATGTCTGAGGCTCGTGTTAGCTTGACTTCAACACATACCGGAAGAGGAAAAGCTCACAATGCTGTCGCTTATTCGCGAGCTGCTCCTCTTCATGCTGCACAAAAGCCACTTGGGTGTTGAGGCTATTTTGGGTTTAGCAATGATACCATGGTGCAAGACCAGCGGGACTCACCGCTTGCAACTACGATCAAACTCCTTATAATTGCCCACGTCTGCCCAGACGGTGAAGTACTGGAATGAATCAGAATGGGTTCCCCACGATGGCACGCGACATTGCTCACATCTATAAGTGCATTGAACTCTGTCATGAGCTGTGCATCCTGATTCCGAAGTTCGTTCATCTTGTCGTGGTGGCGTTGTACGAGATGACTCCAGTCGAAGTCCTCAATGGACTCCTCGGGAACCATCTCGGATGCCAAGACGGAGGATTCTGAGCCGCTCTCATAATCATCCTCCTTGCCCAGTCCTTCAGCGGACTGCTCTGGTACAACTGGCTGCAGAGGCTGCGATGTCTGCGCAGGTATGACTTTCTTTGACTTTGCTGGCTGTGCATTGGCTGTGGCTTGGCCTTGACCTGATGCTGGCACATTCTGAGAAGGCGCCTCTCCGTTTGGCTGATGCTGTGGACGACTTTGATTCTGTGAGTCCTTTACGGCAGTCGCAACGGAGTCAGTGCTGTTCCCACGCTTTTTCCCGCGAGCATTGGAAAGAGGCTCAGCAGCAGTCGATGAGCCGTCAGCAGTGTTTGCTTGTTCCTCCTCGACCGCTTCGCGCGAGCGCTTCCGCCCGGCAGTTGATGACTTGGCTGAAGCGCCGCGCGTCACAGGAGGTGGCATTTCATCACCTGAAGTACTTCTGCCCTTGCTTGCTGCCATTTGCGTGTACGTAGGAACAGGCGGAGTGCTTGGGAGTGTGCTGAGGGGTGACGCGGGTGGAGAGCCGTCGTCTCCCACGTTGGCCTTGCTCTGCAGACGTTCGGTGTCGCCGGTCACGAGCTCCGACGACATGTTGCCATTGTCGTGGATGTTGTTGAGTCAAGCGTGGAGGAGGAGTGATGAGTATGAGGCCCGAGTAGACTGGTAGAACTAAGGTTACCAAGTGGAGACGCGGCTAATACGCGTGCCGTTCCATCTCATCACGCGCCGAACGCGGAAGCGACGACCGCTGGCCTGACGTCCTCGTCGACAACCTTCACACCTCCTGCCGTCCCTGGATTATCTCCTACATGTTTTCCTCGCTTGCCACACCTCCGCCGAGTACCATGTGGACTCCATAATCGCACCCTTCACTACGAGTGTTCATTTAGCACTGGTGATCACCATGATCCGACGCCACTTTCCGCTATTCCTCGACAGAATAGTGACCGACTAGCGGCGGCGAGATGGATTGTGACATCTGCTCACGAGCGTTGGGCGGTCGTCGCCAGCCGCTATGTGCGGGATGTGCGCAGACGATGCTCTATGGCTCACGTATCCAGCAAGCGACGGTGTTGATGGACCGGGAGAAGCATCATGCGCATGCCGAGGCGGTTGTCAGACCGGGCAACGATGGAGTTCTGGCGGCGCTGCCTGAAGATGCAGACCTGGACGCTATCACCACTGGCATGAGGAGACACGGTCTGGAGCGCTCACGAGCAGAAGCGGAATCAAGAGAGCTCCGTCTCCATAGCATTGTCGAGAAGGCAGACGAACTGAGGGCGCAGATAGCAGCCTATAAACAGCATACCGCCGCGCGGAAGGAGCATGTTCAAGCGCGACAGAAGGCCCTGGCAACGGAACGGAACGTTCTTGAACAATGCAGACCCCGAGCGACAGAGCCTGTACATGCGGCAACGAAGAAGGCGACCCAAAGGCTCGAAAAAGTCCGTAGCCGGATCGTCGATGCGCGATTACTGCTGTGCCGCGAGGCTGCGCTTGCAATGGACTTCCACAGGCGCAAGGGCAAAGACGGGAGATCAGAGTATGTGCTGGGCAGCATCGTAGTGCCCGATCTGCGACATCTCAACGTGAGGACCCAGCCTCAAGCCAAAGCTCCTCTGGTCGGCGGGAGAACGGTCGCCGAGCCACACGACCTGGTATCGGAGACCTTCGATAACGTAGCGCGCTTGTCAAACTTATGCGCTTACTACTTGGGAGTGCGTCTACCAGGCGAAATCTTACTGCCACACGAAAAGTTTCCACGCGCGGCCATCATGCCGGAGAAATCCAGCTACAAGCATAGCAAAATCGCTTTCCCGGGGTTGTCTTCCAGTCAGTCATCCAGTCCCACTGAATCACGCTTCATCGACCAGAATCTGCCACGACCGCGGCCTTTGTGGTTGGAAAAGCCACTAGCGCAGCTTGTCAAAGAAGATCCGAAGTCCTACAGCCTCTACATCGAGGGTGTCACAATGCTCGCATACAACGTCGCCTGGCTGTGTAAGTCACAAGGAGTAGACGGCATCAACAATTTTGATGACATCTGCGCAATAGGTAGGAACTTGTACCATCTTCTCCTTGCACAGCACCGCAAATCGCAGCCTTACCGACCCACGATCGATCGAACCAGTACTGGCACATCGAGCAAAGTCACAGCTGTACCTGGTGCCAGGGAAGTAGCACAGCAACCAACAAGCACTATACGTCTTGGCGTCTTCTCCCACAACTCTGCTGAGAACAATTTAGCCGCCGCCGAAGGTGGAGAGCTAATGAAAACATGGCATCTGAGCTCTTCTGTCCGATTGGCGGACAAGCTCCGTGGACATCTTTTAGCTGAAATATCCGGTGCGGAGTGGACCTTAGTCGACGAGGAGGAATGGAACGAAGAAAGGGAAGACGAGTTGCCTGTACTAGTTGGTGGATCTCGACGTCCATTCGAGCCCAGACATCATCCTGCCATGAGTGTCATGACTGTGGTTGCCCACGATGGTGCTGAAGAGGATAGAAGTTCTTCTGCTGCGGAAACCAAGCAGAAGAAGCAGAGCAGTGGATGGATGAAGGTGAGAGGGAGGGGCGGAGATGGCTTTTAACGATCATGATGATGACAAAGAAGAACTAGAAGATAACAGGAATGATCATGACGTTACGCAGGACCATTTGACACCCCCGGAATTATGTTTTCTTCCCACGCATGCTACGCTCTAACATGAACAATAACGTATCTCAATGCTATTCAGGTTTCGGCCGTCAATGTGGTCTCGCTACCGTGAGATAGAACACACTCACTCACATCCCCTCTCATCTGGTTCACCAAGCCTACACGTCTTCCAGATCAACGCCCTGTCAACGGCCTCGTTGCCTCATCAGCTCCCTCACCCGCAGCCTCACCGAGCGGGTTCTGCAACGCCGATCCACCAATATCCCCCAAGCCCTTCTTCACATCCTTCAACTCTTCTGATCCTGGTCCCCCAGGTCCATCAGGCACAGCATCGAGTTGACTCTTGAACATGTACGAAGCTTTGTTCTGCAAAAAGAAAAGTCAGCCTCCAAGATTCAAAACTGGTTCACTTGCTTGCTTGCTCGCTTCTTTGACTTACTTCTCCCATAGTCCTTAACGCCTGCTTTTCGAGTTTTCGCTTCATCTCGGGTGGAATTCCTACGAGGTAGATGTAGCCTGCGAACACGGCTATCAGTGCGAAGACTGTTCCGGCGATGACGGTAGCTGATGGCATGGTTGCCGGTTTGTTGTTGGTTGTTTGGCTCTTCGGTCGGTTTTGTTGTCTATGTTCAGGCTTGCTGTGTATTTCTTGTAGCTTTTTCGTATGTTACTTAGGAAGTGGTGAAAAGATGAATGAATCAGACATGAATGGAACGTATGTAAGGTAGGTATGTACCTATATATGCAGTTTACTATCTCCCCAGGTCCACAGGAGGATTGCTACTATGTACCTCTGTGATGATCGATGATGCTACCTGATCTCATTTAACTGCAATTCCAGTTACCTCCATAGGTACATACCTGCTTTTCTGGCAAACGTCGTGCTACATGTCTTCCTTGTTTTTGAGTTTGATAATGTCACAGGGCAAAGTGAAGTGGAGGTGTCCTCACACGGTCCCGAACCCGACTTGCTTTGCTCGCTCGCTTCAGATTGCTTGCTTTCACCCCCACGGCGGGGGCGCTGACGCCATCAATGATGTTTCACAATGATGATATAAGCTGTTGGAGCTCTACATGTCCATACTTATGTACATGTAACAACAACATCGACATTTCCTTTGTGAAAGCTGTTACGCACACTGAAGGATTGACGCCAATAACTTTTCGATTCACAAGTTTGAATAAGAAACTACAGTCAGTTAATCTGGGATCGATTGAGCGAGATCTCGTTCACCTGGCTAATAGATTTATATCAGATCCCAATGTCTTCCAACGACTACTACGGAGGTGGCGGCGGCGGCGGTGATGAGTACCAACGAGGTGACAACCGCCGTCAAGAGGGTGGCTACGGTGGAGGCGGCAATGATGACTACCAACGAGGCGATGACCGCCGCCAGGAAGGCTATGGCGGGGGTGGTAGGGGCGATGACTACCAACGAGGCGAGAATCGCCGCCAAGAAGGAGGGTATGGCGGAGGTGGTGGTGATGACTATCAACGAAGCGAGAACCGCCGCCAAGAAGGAGGGTACGGCGGAGGTGGTGGTGATGACTACAATCGAGGGGGCGGTGGCCGCGACGAGTATAGCTCTCGTCAACATGGAGGAGGAGGAGGCTATGGTGGCAATAGTTCGTACGATAACAACAACAACAACTCAAGCTACGGAGGCGGCAACAGTGGTGGCAATGAGTCTTATGGACATCAATCCGATCATGGTCGTCGTCAGGAGGACTCGTACTCGGAAGGGCAGCACCGTTATGGTCAAGGTCAAGGACAATCCGACGATGACTTCTCTGGAGCAGCCCAGCATGCCAACCAACATGCCGGCAACAGCGCTGATGGAGACCTTTTCAGCTCAGTGCTAAGCTCTCTCTCGGGCAACAAGCATCAGATCCAGAACGAGAGCATTGATGAGCAGGACGCTGTCCGACAGCATCAGCAATATTACGGCAACCAGGGCAGCGGCGGCGGCCAAGCAACATCTGGTGGAATTGGAGGTGCAGCTGCTATGCAGGCCATGAAGATGCTCAGCCAGGGAGGGGGTAACCACAGCCAATCGGGAGGCGGTGGCCAAAATGCATTTATTGGTATGGCTATGGGACAAGCAGCCAAGCTGTTCGACCAGCAAAGTGCCCAGGGCAATGTGCAGAGTGGGAGCAAGCAGAGTGCAGTCGAGAGCGCAGCTAAGATGGCCCTGAAGATGTATATGCAGGGAGGTTCTTCCGGTGGTTCAACCGGCGGAGGTCTCGGCGGCTTGATGGGCATGGCAAGCAAATTCATGCAGTAGAGAGTCATCGTGGTGGTGATGAATTGCCACGGCAATCTAGCATAGGAAACAAAAGTATATCCAAGCAAAAATAGGGAGCAAGCAAAAATAGGGAGCCTCCTGCAATTGGCACAAACATGTCGAGTGATGGTGCGATTACTTCCTTCGTGTACAACGATCCTCGTGCCGTAGAGTTCAAGTTAGCGTGTAGTCTTCTCATAAGTCCTTGTTGATGGTGTTGTTGTTGTTGAAGGAAAATTCGGCGTCGTGGAGGAGAACTATCTGATGATCTAGGAGAAGGTTCGATCTCGAGCAAAAGTTAAGACTGACAAGCAAGCGGCACAGGCGAAACACGACGCACGCGCTCTTCAGTAGAGCGGTGCAGCCTCACAGTGGCCAGATAATCTACAGAGCGAAATGAGCTCTCAACACGGCGATGCGAGAACGAACAGGCGCTGTTCAGACTCAGAGTCACAATCACCACCGCGCGACCGCACGCCCACCCCGTCATCACCACCACCGCCGCCATCACACGTCGACGTCAACGTCAACTCCCGCGTCGTCCGACACGATTCACGTAGTACATCACGCCCTCAACATTGGTGCCCACGGTAGCAATGCGTCTCCGGCGAGAGACGCTGCCAGTGAGCCTGCCAGGAAGAAACGGAGACTGAGCCCTCGAGCCTCAGACCACAAGCCGCTGGAGGCCTTTGGCTTTAGTAGGACGACACAGCCGAAGCCGCCCACCAAGATCACGCGCGATGAGCCTCACGGCCCACTACAACAGACTCTCAATGGGGTCCGTAGTACGCTGGACGTTGACGAGAATGAAATTCTGCCTCCCCCCGTGCCGACCCCAGTGCCCAAGCGGGTCACAAGATCTCCTGCGCCAGTGCCACCTGCTCCAACAGCACCACCAGCGAGGGAGGAGAAGCAGACGAAGAAGAAGGAAGAGAAGCGCACGCTGAGGAGTCAAGATGAGGGCCCACGGCTGAAGAGTGAGCTGGCCGTGTATTTCCCCAATTACGAGGATGTCATGTTCGATGTGCCAGCTGAAGACGAGGACTTCTTGACCGTGGCCTCGACGCTCTACATTGCAGACGACACCGCGAAGAGGAAGGATGGTGAGCCGTCGCCAGCCAAATCTGGGAAAGCAGATTCCAATGGGCGGCGGACTTCGCTCAATGGCACTCGAGCCCCAGCAACACGACAGCGACCAGTTTCGAGTATGTCGAATTCCAGTCCCAGTGTTAACCTCGAATTTCTGGCAAAGACTTCGAGTGAGACTCCAGAAGATCCCCTTACAGACGCTCATTTCCTCAAATCACACAATCGTGCGGAGAGAAAAGAAAAACAGCTTAGGAACATCGAACGCGAGCGCGCAATGCATGAGAAAGTGCAGCTGGATAGGCTTCTAGACGGCTTACAAGGTCACGACTGGCTTCGAGTGCTAGGCATCACCGGAATCACAGATGGCGAAGCAAAAAAGTATGAACGAAAGCGAAAATATTTCATTGCCGAAGTACAAGCATTGATCGGCAAATTCGCTCAATGGAAAGAACAGGAGAAGAAACTCCGCCTGCGCAAAGAAGCCGCTCAGGCTCGACTCGACGCCATAGATGAAGCCGCAAGTACCGCCAGCAGTATCGACCCTCCCAGCAGTGATTTGAATGCTTCGGCATCAAGACAACTCCAGCAAGAGACCGTGAACGCTGTCAAAGCGTCCACTTCCAAAGCAAAAGGCAGAATGTCCTTGTATGCTCCTTCGCCAGCCTCCCGCGCCTCTACACCCGTCCCCGACCGGGCTGATCCAGTGCCTCGCACCATGCTGCCACCAAGTCCCGAGATTCTCATGACCAGCTTCTACGCCAAACGCCACTTGCGAGACGCCGCACTTAGTAAGTCGCGATCAACAGCGAGGAACGTGACCGCGTTCGGACACCCCGTGCCCGATCTCGATGAACAGGAGTTTGCTCTACCGAAGGAATTCGTCACTCCCGATGCGTTGCGATCGAATGCGAGGGACAGGAGACGGCGGAAGAGGGAGAGTACTACCGCCACGAAGTGAAGTAATGTGATTTGCGATGCATTCTTGTGTGTGCCTCTGTATTAGCGTGTACGATGAAGGGAGGGGGGAACGACGATTTTGGATTTTCTCTTTTTTTTCAACATTGCACGGAGTTGACAGAAAAGGACCTGTCCGGTGTATGCGTGCTAAGGACTGATTGACTGACCAACTGCCAGTGACTGGGTTGCATAAGGGGGGGGTGTTTTTGTACGAATAATCAATTCATTTTTTTGCGGTCTTTGGAGTCATAGCATAGGTGAGTATAGATTATGTACCTTACAGGTAGCCAGTCTGCTCTCTCTCTCTCTCTCTATCTAATTCAATTCGTTCAATCCAGTGTAGAGGAATGCCTTTTCTCAGCGCACCTTAAGGAGTTATGTCATATATTAGACCTGATTTAACGAAAAAGGCTTCTTGACTGACTTGTCAGGTACGTAGGTAAGGTTGTTTCATACATCCATCCTATCTCTCGAACGAATGAAGCGAATGTTGCGTTTACATGTAAAGGTCATGTACCCTATTATTACACGAGAGGGGTTAATGAATCGACGGCTTAACTACCTTATGGTTATGGATGTGAACCGGACATGTTTTGTTGACTTTTTGCTACTGTGAAAAGAGGTTCGTATATGTATGGACACACACACTCACTCACTCACTCAGAGCAGGCAGAAATCCAAAAAAAACCCCCCCAAAGGGAGTTAGTCAGTTTTGATCAGATAGAAGCGCTTGTGATGAGCGAATAAAGTACTCTCGTCTCGTAATTGCAAGGTAAGTAGGTACCTGAGCTTCTGTTCAACAACAGACATTGTAATGTACCTAAAGTACTGACTATATGTACTGTATGTATCTTATACAGTAACCATGACACTCGCATTCTTATACCAACTCAACAAAGCATTCTCCCCACTTCGCATCTGAGTATCCTCCACATAAGCCCATCGTTGAAAAAAATCCTCATGCGTCATCACTTTGGTCAGTTTTCCCGTGGTCGCGCGATAGATATCTTCCATGACTCCGAAATCGGTGGGGAAGAGAATGTCGAAATATCCTTGCTGGACTAATGGTGTTCGCACGAGAACGGTTCGGCGCTGATATCGCGTTTGTACGACGGGTGCGTTGTAGCCCACGGTTGCTTGGGGCAGACTGTGGAAGTCGGAGGTGATGAGTCTGTGCGCGGGGAATTTATCTGCTAGAATTTGAAAGAATTGCATCAGGCGTGTCGGGATGTATTCCGGCGCCGTCAGATTCGGCGTGAAGGGCATGCGATGCTTCAAATTCCGGAGAGTTTTTGACCCGCTGAGAGGATGCGCGTAGGGACGATTCTGACAGGCGGCCTCTCGGACGCGCAAGAAACGAGCTGCGACGGGATCGAGTGTGCGGCTGTAGAATTCGTAGAATTCGCCTTCGCTGTCGATGAGGACGGATCCTTGCATGACTTCTTCCGTGAAGGGATCGTATCGAATAACGTCGTGGGCGAAATTGTCGAAGACTTCCATGGCGAGGAAGAAGCAGGGTGTGGGCACGTACACGTTCCAGTCAAACATGGATTTGTTGATGATTTCCACTTTGTCCTCGTGCCCCCGTGCCGAAGCCGAAGACTTCAGTTTCTGTCCCTGCAAGTGTGCGAGTGCAGTAGACACTTCGATGATTCTGAACTTGGTTCGCGCGTAGACCTCGGGGTCCGTATGTCGGATGTAGTCGAGGATATTCAGCATGAGCGTGCCGTTGCCTGCTCCCATTTCATATATGACCAAATCGTGGTACGGGTAGAGCGTCAATTTGTAGTTGGCCACCATATATCGCGCAATCGCCTCTCCATAGTATGGCCGAAAGAGCTCTGTCGGCGTGTGCCAGAGCTGTCGCGCTTCGTTGTGTCCCTTCTCATCCAGCTTGTCCTCAAATTGCGTATATCGCTCGCCCAGCAAGTGATAAAACTCGGGTTCGTCTTTTAAATTGGGGAAATCAAACGGCGCTCCCGGCGAGAAGATGGTGACATTCTTGCTGAAGTAGCCGTACTGCGGGTTGTACAAGCTGTCCTCGACAAAGTCCCGCATCAACATCTTCACCTTCCGAGGTCGTTCTCGTCGCCCGCGCAGGCCATCTGCGGTCACAGTCGGATATCTCTTGTACTCTTCTGCCCTGTCGCTGGGGAAGTGGTCGGTCCTCTGCTGCCAATTGCTCTCGCGATCCCTCTTCATCGGTTTGGTACTCTGGCGTCGACATTGTGTACTGCTGCTGCTGGCGACGACACGGGCGCGGTGGTGAGGTTCGTGGCAGAAGTGATGCTTGGCCAGCTGGCGGAACAGGCGACTGACCGTGGGCGAGTCCATGGGTGGAAAGAGTGCAATGGTCGCTGTCTTCCCCATCAACACTCCTCCTCATCAAGTGTCTGCGGTCAGCTCGGAGGTCTCCATCTCCACTTCCCGGGTCCGAACCTTGGAAGCTTGGACGACAACATGTAAATATCATCACACCACCCTTTCATGAACAACATCATGATCAATTGTGTTCATCACTCAAGCTCCATCACCTCCACAATCCCAACAACCCATTAACAATGCCTCAAGAACAAACCCCGTAGCAAACAAGAAAAAAAAAACATGGGCAACATCTTCACAAACCTCTGGAGCCACGTCTGGAACAGCATCATCGACAACCGACAAAAACTCACCGCCACCGGCGGTTTTCTCCTAGGCATATTCGTCACTCTCGGCTTCAAAGACTTCTATCCAGACCTCGAGCAAGCCTTTCGCAAACGTGTACGCCATGTCCGATCCACTCAACATCATCATCCACCACCTCAGCCGGGTCAAGCAGACTACGTCCAATTGGAAGACCGCACCAAGTCTGCATCCGCAGCAACAGCAACAGCATCAACCACCCCCGACCCCATCCGCGAAGGCGTCGCCGGTCTAATCGGAAACACCCCACTCATCAAACTCCAAGCACTCAGCGCCGCGACCGGCTGTGAAATTTTGGCCAAAGCGGAATTTCTGAATGGAGCGGGTAATAGTCCCAAGGATCGCGTGGCACTCTCCATGATTACGCATGCGGAAGAAGCTGGTTTGCTGGTTCCGCATCGGGGAGATACTATCTATGAAGGAACGGTTGGCTCGACGGGGATTTCGCTGGCTGCGGTTGCGAGGGCGAGAGGGTATAAAGCGCATATGTACGTATTAATTTTATGTTTTATGCTTTTATATTTGTTATATGGGAGGAATTGGATGTCATCATATTACAGCACATATCACGGCACACAGCACAGCACAACGCAGTATTCGTTCATTCATTCATTCATTCCAAAAAGCATCCCCCCCACCCCCCTCTCTCTAAGCACCACATCCCCTAACCCCAACCCTAACCCTTTCTCACCTCTTCTTTCCCCTCCCACACAGCTGCATGCCCTCGGACATCTCCACCGAAAAATCCGCCCTCCTCCTGCATCTCGGCGCAACAGTCGAACGCGTCCCCCCCGCCTCCATCATCGACACGAATCAATTCGTCAACCTCGCACGTCGCCGCGCAGAAGAACATACTCTGGACCCGAGTCGAATGGGAAGAGGTTTTTTCGCAGATCAATTCGAAAATACGGCAAATTATCTCGCGCATCAGAATTCTACGGGACCGGAAATTTATCGGCAGACTTGTTGTAGTCCAGGTAGTGGGAGTAGTGGGAAAGGTGGTGGATTAGACGTCTTCATCGCAGGCGCAGGAACAGGCGGGACAATTTCCGGTGTAGCGCTCTATCTCAAACCTCTCCTTCCGGATTTGCGAATTGTACTCGCAGATCCGCAAGGGTCGGGGTTATACAACAAGATCAAATACGGCGTCATGTTCTCCCCGACAGAGGCAGAAGGGACACGAAGGAGACATCAAGTGGATTCGATTGTGGAAGGGGTGGGAATTACGCGGTTGACGAAGAATTTTGAAGCAGGGATGCATTTGATTGATGATGCGGTCAAAGTGAGCGATTTTGAAGCGATGCAAATGGCGCGGTGGTTGGTGGAGAAGGAAGGGTTGTTTGTGGGTGCGAGTAGTGCGGTGAATTGCGTTGCGGTGGCGAAATTGGTGAAGCAGGAAGGCTGGGAGGGGAGTGGGAAGAGGATTGTTACGGTCATCTGTGATTCTGGTACGAGGCATTTGTCGAAGTTTTGGAAGCAAGCTGGGGATATTGCTGGTGCTGATGTCGAGTTGGAGCTGGACGACATTCTGAGTGGCGAGCAAAGGGCATGAGTAGATGTTTCGAGGGACAGCTCTCGCTGCTTCCCCTGAACTGGTACTCATATTTGTCAACCAAGGCAGAGCACTTGGCATACAGTTGCGAAGCACATCGTTGCACACCTGTGAGCATTCCAAGCTATTGGAGCCTGCCGTACTCCCGCAGATACATCTCTGTCCGCTGGCGCAGAACGTCTGCGTGATTTCCAATGTCTGGTTCATGCCTAGAAAGGCAGGAGCATCCCTTTTTCCGAACAAGCAATTCAAATCGCAAATGATGTGAGGGGGATCCGTCAAGCCAGGCTTCACAAGTGTGCGGCAGAATAGAGCTTGCCGTCCCGAGAACATTGATTGCCCCCTGACTGACATTCGCGAATTCAAATTGTAGACGCGAATGCACTTTTAGGTACTGCACGTTGGGCACCAGTACAGGGACACACGCGGCGACCTGCACACGTATACACAGACGCTAGAGAATAGCAATCAGTGTGAAGGGACTGATTCGAGAGCATTTCCAGAGAGAAGGGGGGTGGCCAAAGGCAGCCGCAGCGAGGGAATCCAGAGTCATATGCGTGCAGCTAGATTGCTGGATACAGGCAGTCAACAGCGAGGTAGAAGTTCTCGTCGCTGTCAATCAACCCTGTGCCTGTGCCTGTGCCAATGCCAGGGCCTTGTTGGGAAATCCATGAAGCCAAAGTACATCAAGCGACGTCCGGAGGTATGCCCGAGCACGACTCATGTCTCGCTCCACATGTGGCCAGACTGAAGCTGCAGGGACTGGGGCAAATGGCTGCGAGGAGCATTTTCCTGCTTGGTCTGATTGGCACGTTGAATGCTGGTGCTTCGAGAGACCTCATTGAGGAGTTTGATATTCGGAGAAATGAGCATTGCGACGTGTGCCCTTATCGGCATGATTCGAGCTTCCGAGTCCAGACGTTCGACAGGCTCCGGAGGTCCAGTTGTACCTATGCATCAACACGGAGCCGTGTTCGCAGTCGGGCCATCCTGAGCCATTTCGGCTTGCGTCGCGTCTTTGTGGTGAGGCTGTCATTGTGATTAGAGCACACCAGGAAGGATGCGATTTGGTTCCCTCCCCATGGGTCTGCAGATCCATGCGTTCCAATGCGAACGAGTGATGTGACAACCGGCGCGAGCTTCTCGCACGCCGTTGCCTGTGAGTTGAGTCGACGCTCATTTCCATTGAGACGTCTGACGTCTTCTCTCACGCGGGACTCGAGGGTGAGTGAGGTGGTACAGGACGTACTGCACCGGTAGCAGCCGGCTTTACTCACAGACTCTGCATGCTGTTGCGCGCAAATGGATACATACCTGTACTCTGTTCTTCGCAGGTTGATGGTCTCCTCTTCGTGCAGCAGGATTCCCGTGATGCATGTCTCTCGCACGTCGGCTGCCTGAGGGAAGCCATGTGGTGGTGAGGCGCCGTGATGGTGCGGTCCTCCTACACTAGGTACATGGAGGTAAGGTAGGTAGAAAGCGGCCACTTCACGACGTGACGAAACAGAACGTAAACGTGGGATTTCTTCCAGCTGCGCGGCAGACCATCTGCCTAGTGGCGCGTCTGCCGGTTCCGCCGTTGCGGTGGTGGACGGGGCAGTCCAGTGGTGGAGGTGGTGGTGTCGCTCGGGGAAGACGGCTCACGGCTCACGGCTATTCTGGCGTCTGGTCTGCTGAATCCCTTCCCTTCCCTCGCTCAGCTTCCCAAATTTCTACAAGCCCCAGTGGAGTGCAAAGTCGTCGATCATGGTCCAAACAGGCTAGCATCTGTCCGCTGGAGCCTCGAAGGAGCACTCTCTGGGCAGCTGCAATTCTATTGGTAAGGTACTGGCAGGAGATGCGCAACTTCCAAATAGGTCACTGTGGTCATCCCTTCAGACCTGTACCTGAACCTGTACCGGGCTTATAGACGTCCATACACCCTGCGGCGCCTATCCTCCGCACTTGCCCTGGCGCAGCTGCGAAGTCGTGCAGTGTACATCACTTGCACGTGTTGTTGATCTGTTCTGGAAGACCTCCAGGCTATGCTCGACGAGAGTCGTGTACCCCGATCGTTGTGGTTGGCTGCTTGCACACGCTGCACACACGTTCATGACGGCGAGATTCCCCAGCACCTATGACTCGTGAGCACTCGAAGCTTTCTCCATGGCCAGCACGCCAAACCCGATACAATGAGCAGATGCCAGAATAGGTGCATGGCATGGGAAGCTTTTGCAAGAGCCGTAGCATGGCTCTGTGTGCTGCGTACCACCTAGTGCATCTGTGGGCACCATTCACATCAGCATGGATCTCGAAAGCCAATTGTACGCGCATATCAACAACCAGGAAGTCTACCAATGCGCAGAATTTGCTGACCTCTTCATTGCAGACTCAAGCAGTACCTTGGACAGTCAGCAGCTAACTCCTACAAAAGGCCCACGCCAGCGGTACTTGGGATGAATACAAGCCGCAATCAGAGGAGTAGTAAGCATCCGGAGTGCCATCATCCATAACATCACAGCGTCGCATAAGGCAGTTACAGCGCCAATCCCTCTTCGGCGCCAGTCGAGCTTTTAAGGTTGAGGGTGCTTCTATAAGCATAATTGCGTGGCTGACCTCATTTGAGTTTGGCTGCAAGCCTTTTATCTTGGCTAATCGGGTCAACAGTGCCGTAGGATTGGAGCTTAAGTGAATGGCGTACGCCTTCGAGCCAGGAACACTCGCGATTGGTGCGGTCAGCGACACCGTAGAGAACAGTGGCGCACGCGACTGGGAACTATCAAAGTGGAATGATGAGAACAGAGAAGCCGAGGGCGTCACAGGGTGCGGAGGGATGCCTGCTGCGAGAAGCAGACAGATGCTGGAGGAAGAAGGCGTGATGGATGCAACGGCATACAGCGTGTGGTCGAGCAATCTATTGGAGGTGACGACAGCAAGCGAGTGCATGGAGGCAAAGGCGTGGTAGAGCGTGCGCAAACGAGGCACGCTAGTCACTCGTCTTGAGTCTCCTGACAGCACTGTGCAGTTGCAAGCTCCGGCTCTTCGCTCACCACTACAGTAAAGGGAAAGGTAACTTTCTGTCACTCGAAAAGGCCCGCTCGCTAAGGTACCTCCGCCAAGCGTGAGAGCGAGAGATGGGGAGAAGGGGGGAGAGAGAAAGAGAGAGAGAGTGTGTGTGTGTGTATAGGCGGGGATGGGACTGCAGTGTCCGGGTATCCTCGTATGCGACGAGCAGAGGCGGAGGAAAGATTGCAATTTACAGGCTTCGTCGAGGAAGCGCACTGGATGGCCTCTGCTGGTGGCGCGCGCCGTTGTGCCAATGAATTGCGCTTGTGACAACCAGCGCACCCAGTACCTCCTACCTCCTAGGTACGTTGATGCAAGACACGACCGGCAGATTGGCAAGCTTGCCATGTAGAGAAGCAGGTGTGCTACGCCACTGGCCATATGATGATTGCTTGTTGGTGGGGTGCATCATTGGAATGGCCAGCTCAGCAGGAGGTAAAATGGTGGTTTTTCGGCCGTGGGTGTGCAGCCAATTGAGCCAAGTAGTGGTCTGGCTCGGATGTGTGCACTCCGCGACGAGAACTACCCGTACCTCCTAGGTACCTGCGCCTGCGATAGGTGGCAAAGGCTATTCCCGCGTCCACGCACAGTGAGGTGGTGGCTCTGGCGAATGCGATGGCGCTGCCGACTTATGCACCGTGAATGTTTATACACGCCTGCTGATGAGGAGAGAGGATGGAGACTCCTAGTCTTCCTCGTCCTCCTCCACCACCTCCTCCCCCTTCTGACGGGCAGATGCGACTACTGTAGATTAGTGGCAGACCCACCCAACAGGGAGTGCAGAGTGCAGAGGAGGCGACGCGATGCGATACGCTACAACAATCACATTTCAGCCTCATTTCCGCGTCGCGATGGGCCGAGCGCAGAGTGAGTGAAGTGCACTAGGAGGGAAGGGTGCACTTACTAGTGCAGCAGGGCCAGAGCGAGGGCGTGAGGGTGGTCACTGGTCACTGGTCATGGTGGGAGAGAGAGAGATTCGAAATTCGACGAGGCAAGTGGGCGACTGGCAACGAAACGGAGGTGCACCCCTCGTACCCCTGCCGCCATGACGGAGGGCGGGACCGGGCTGCTCCCCCTCCCCACATTCACTGCGGGCGAGAAATCTTGCTTCGTTTCAGAGTTCACAGAGGGACCCTTCGCGCCGGGTGGCTTGCGCTGGCTGGCCTTGGCGCTGCCTCTGGCTTTTGGCTCTGGCTTTGGCGTTGCTCCCTGCCCTCCCTGCCCTCCTCCACTGAGGTCATCCGTGAAAGGGTGAGGTGAAGGGTGGCCGACGCAGCGCTGTGTAGTGTCTGTTCACTACATACATTAGCAGCTCCGGCTGCCCTTCGCTGTCTTCGTTCAAGATCAGCGCTCGCGGTCCACAAAAGATTGTCGCACGCACCTACTCCCTCCCCCATTCCATCAATCATCAGTCCCGTCCAGTCTACTGTAGCAATCACCACCACGCACCACGCCGACGCTTAATCCTATTCCCTCCCTTTCCCCCTCCCCGGGCGAGCAACGATCGACAGCCTCACTGCTCGACCTGCCCACTGTGCCCAGGCCGCGTGCCCACCACTGCCTCACTGCGCTCTCGCCTCCGCCCCATCACCGCGGCTGGACTGGACGAATGCTGCCCTCTGCCACCGTCGCCCATCTGAAACACCTACCCGTCAACGGCGACGGTTCAAGACCCGCTGCTCTAGCTGCATCCCATACCGGTGCCACTGCTACCCATTGAGACTCTTGACAGCGTTCACACTGCTCCCTCCAGGAACCACTCTCCCTTTGCCTTTGCTCGCCCCGATCGTCACTCGCACTTGCCTCGAGAGGACTTCCCAAGGCCCACTGCCTTATTTGGGATCCTTCCCAGCCTTGACAGACGGAGCACTTAAGCACGCTGATCCCGCACATCCTCCGTGGCAGATCGCCTCTCCACGTTTTGGGACGCTCCTTCTCCAGAGTTGATCACTACTCGCCAAGGCCTTTTGTTTCAACTTCGAGCCTGCGCCCTCTTCACTCCTCCTCGTCCCATCTTCAATATCATACCACGTCGATACCATGGCCATGGCTGTGGACTCTCGTCAGCAGCATCCCTTCAGCAACATGGGCTACGACAATGCGCGATACCCTCAGCCGCCGCACTTTACGAATCCTTGGGGGTCGTCGCCGGCTTCCACGCAGGGTCCTATGTACGCGACCCCGATGCCTCAGACGACCGTGGGTGCAGATTCACGTTACGTGCACGCACCCACTGCTTCTCCTGCCTATGCTGGCGGCCTTCCTGCTCAAGGTATTATCTCCCAATTGGACCCGGAGCTCTTCGAGGACACTAGCTTACAACTTGCTCAAGACATGAGTGCGCCCCGGCCGTATGGTGCTTCCTACACATCTGGCCCATCCCCGCAATCGACATATGCGCCCACGGCCGCACCTTCATACGCCACTGCATACGGATACGACAGGCGTTCATCGCACCCGTCAGTAGCTTCCAGCGCCTTCCTCGGCGAGCCAGTCGAGTCCCAACGACTCCGCCAGAGTTCACTGATTGACTTCAATACCAGACTGAACCAAGCTTCAGAAGCGGAGCGACAGAGCTTCAGTGATGCTCTGGACGCCAGCCGTGGCATGGTGGCCATGAGCCAATCGGACATCACTCCCAGAAACATTTACGGCGCGACGAATCCCGCCCGATCAGCTGCGACAGACTCGTACGGGTTCCCCGCAGGACATTCGTCGCACTCGTCGATTTCCTCGGGGAGCACGTACCCGACATATTACAACAGTTCCGTGAGCGAAGCTTCGGTGGACTACAGCTCCGCCAGCGAGTCTGCCGACCTTTCGCACTCCCGAACACTGCCTCCACCGCATGCACTGCAAGGCATGCCACCAGCACCGCAATCGATGATGGGACAGTTCAGCTCCAAGGTGTCGTCGAGCTCGCAGAAGAAGCACAAATGCAAGATTTGCGACAAGCGATTCACCAGACCAAGTTCGCTACAAACACACATGTACAGCCACACGGGCGAGAAGCGTAAGTGAGGTGACTTGTTGTCACGTCTGAACATGTCCACTGACCCCAGTCACAGCATTTGCTTGCGACGTGGAAGGCTGCGGACGTCATTTCTCTGTCGTCTCTAATTTGAGAAGACACCGCAAGGTGCACAAGGGAGAAGGCGGAGACGTCCACTCGCACGACGAGGATGAAGAATGAGCAATCACCACTCGATGGTAGCACATGTCCAGCATTGTACAGACCGCGACAGGAAACGCGACGAGGACCAGGCGCATATATTGGATTTTTTTAATTTTCGACGATTCACTCGCTAGTCATTTCGACTTGATACCCCCGATTCGCGCGTAGAAGTTGGAAAAAAAGGTTTCAGGGCTGCAACAGGCGTTCTAGGTGCATGGAGTCGGCTACCCAGGAGCGGCACGCGACAGGCAAGCAATTGATATCGACAGATTTCAGGGTCATGGGCAGTTTTTTTTCTTGTCGACATGGCCACGGAGAGTGATGGAGGAATGTAGGCAGAGCAGCAGGAGTAGCTTGTATATTATGTTGCGAGATAGCCAACGTCTCAAACACATGCACACACATACAGAGGGAGTCAAAGAGTGGTCAAGACTCACTTTTCCAATTGTCTTCCCCACTCACTCACTCACTGACTCACTCACTCCTAGCCCACTCACCCACCCATATCCCGTCACACTTCTGCAGTACCTCCCTCCTACAGTGCAAATTCACATGTTTCCAAAGTCAAAAAAACAAAAAAAAAACCTCAGAATCAAATCGGCCGAGGTACATGACATGCCTGCCTACGAGGTAGGGTGGGTGGGGGTCTCTCTTCTCCACCTCCGACATCCCGTGTCCAGTCAAAGTAAAAGTGTCTCGTACATGTACATCTATGTACCTAACTATCTCATGTATGTAGGTATCCACTACAACATACATGTACCTATGAAGTATAAGGTAGGAGGAGGTATACGCAATCAGGCGTCTTGAATCTATAGATTTCTTGGGATAGGGATAGGGGACCCTGCATTTTTTGTCTTTTCTTTTTGATTTTACTTTTTGAATTTCTTGCTTTGTTTTTCGCGCGTATGATTACGATATACGGGGAAGGGAAAGGAGAAGGGGAAAGGAAAAAGATAGATAGAGCAACAACGCAATGTAACGTTGAGGGATTTTTTTTGAAGTGTAGAGAGAGAGAGAGAGAGATTTCTCTTTTGTGTACGGGGTAAGGTATATGAATCGTGTATACGGATTGTATGTAAGATAAGGTAGGTAGGTAGGTAAGTTTTGTATACCCTCTAAGAGTTACGAGGTAGATGGTAGAAGGGTAAGACGAGTAGAGTGCCTCCTAGGTAGATTGACACTCTTAGGTAGGTAGGTTTGATCGTAGTAAGTAAGAGGGATTTCGCAAAGGTAAGGTAGGTCACTATACTAGGTACTATGTACTTTTTGATGTTGGATACCCTTTTGTATTTACTACTACTGTTTGTATCCTTGTTCTTCACCATCACACACCATCCATGCTCACACACCTCATGAACCTGGTATGCATACATACCTCATGTATACATGCATATGCACTTGAGCTACATTTTAGGCCTCGTCTACTCTGTCGATATGTCGATAGTTAAATTGTCGATAGTTGTCGGAAATTATCGTCAGCGTCCATCTGTCGATAGTAACGATAGCTGAGTAGACACCTGTCAATAGTTCTATATAGGGATACCCTTGTCTCCGCGCCGTCGTCGCTGTCGTCGCTGTCGTCGCTGTCGTCGTCGCTGTCGCTATTATTACTGTCGCTATCGCTATCGCCGCTGTCGCCGCTGTCGCCGCTGTCGCCGCTATCGCCGCTGTCGCCGCTGTCGTCGCTGTCGTCGCTGTCGTCGCTGTCCGTCGTCGCCGTCGTCGCCGTCGTCGCCGTCGTCGCCGTCGTCGCCGTCGTCGCCGTCGTCGCCGTCGTACTAGGAGGTACAACGCGTATATAAACAGTGCCGCCGCCCCGGAACCTAATTGAATATGCACGGAGCGCAAAATGTGCCTCTAAGAGGACCATTTGAGATAGTAGACTATGTCCGAGCGTTTACTAACCGGATATGGTGCGTAGGCAGCGACGGCGACGGTTTACGAGGGTATACGAGCTTTTTACTATCGACAGGTAACTATCGTCCATTTTTGGTCGATAGCTGAGTAGACAGGTGTCAATAGAGTGAGCGATAGTGACCGGAAACTATCGACCTGCTTACTATCGACACAATTATCGACAAAGTAGACTGGGCCTTACCTACCTATCTACTTGAAAAATGACGTCTTGGTCAGGAGCCTCCTAAAGGTACATGTACCTACTACCTAGGTATATTACGACATACATCTGTATACCAATCCTTCCTGGTGAGAGTCAACATGTGTGAAACATCGGGTATCGACCTGATAGATTGGATTGTTTACAATGACAACGACAACAACAATAGGTACCTGACCTGGTAACAACAACAAACATCTCGTGATATCTCAGGCCAAGACTAGCTGTTGCTCTTCGTGTTCGGTTATAAGGTCAGAAGTATATAGGAGTACCTGGTAGTCTTGGTATTGGCAATTGCGGAAAACAATTTCGCATTTGAAATCTACCTTACCTTGGAGGCTCGGTATATCGGAGCCGGACATTTATCCGCAGTCGACGTGTCTACTCCAGTAACTCCACCTCATCTAATGCGTCCGCCTTGCGTTTCTTACCGACGAAACCATTCACCAGCTTCTTCCCTGCACACGACGGATTATAAGGCTCCGCGCCAACCTCGGCCTGCACGACATGCTGCTGCTGCTGCTGCTGCTGCAACTGCACAGCAGGGGGTCCCCCTGAGAATCCTCCTCCTCTTCCTCCTGCTTCTGCTTCAAGACCACCTCCATTTCCAACCGCTTTATCAACACCTCTGCTGATTTCCGGAAATGGAGTCAGAATATTCGCGATATCCCCCCACCACGTCGAATACTTCCGATACCAATCCACGCACTGCGCCAAACCATCTTCAAACGCGACTCGTTGCTTCCATCCCAGCGCCGCCAATTTGTCCCCATTGACTGCATACCGACAGTCATTAAAAGGCCGGTCGCGCGTGTATTGGATGCGACTTTCAAAGCCTTCTTCTCCGATACCAAATGCTGCGCAGAGCTTTTTGGCCAAGTGGAGATTTTCGATCTCGTCCTTCGAGTCGACGTTGTAGATTTCGCCAATGCTGCCTTTGTGGAGGATGGTGTCGAAGGCGTCGGCTGCGTCGCCCGCGTGGAGATAGCGGCGAGAGTTGTCGCCTTTGCCGTGGATGTAGAGAGGTTTGTTACGTTGGAGGAGATTGATGAATTTGGGGATGATTTCTGGAGGGGCAGGGAGAGGGTCAATCAGTCAGTCAGTTGTTCGTCCGTCTTTCTTTTTTTTTCCCTTTATTCTTCACATTTATTCTTATTTTCTTTTGGGGGAAAAAAGAGATACGTACTTTCTGGAAACTAAAATCCCCCCAAAAGAGTTAGCCAGCCTATCCTGGTGAATGCAATCGTGTGCGTCACCTACCTGGTGCGGACCGTACACGTTGTTCAATCGAATCATCACCACCGGCAACTCGTAACTCTTCACATACGCCCTCACCATCATCTCGGCACAAGCCTTACTTGCAGAGTAGGGATTCGTGGGATGCAGTGGACTGTCCTCGTGCAACTCTGCCTCCCCTTTGGGAACCTCTCCATACACCTGCGCATCGTGTCAGTACCGCTTTTTTCCTCCCTTTCTGTGTCGTCACATGGCTGAATACCTCGTCTGTGGAGATGTGGTAGAACCTCTTGATCGTCTTCATGACTCTCGCACTCTCGAGCAGCACATGCGTACCCACGACATTATTGTGGGTGAAAGTGAAGGAGTTGCCAAAACTCAAGTCCACATGGCTCTGCGCCGCCAGATGGAAAATGGTGTCGATTTGGTACATTTCCAAACACTTGAGCACGTCGGATTCTTTGGTAATATCACCGTGGAAGAAGCGGAAATTCCGTCGTCCCTCGAGCATGCGCGAGTTGTTCAGAGAACTGCAGTAGTCCAGCTTATCGAAGCAGACGACATTGTAGAAGTCGGCGTACTTGGTGACTAAATGTCGGACCAACCATGAGGCAATGAAGCCTTCTCCTCCCGTCACCAGTATGTTGCGAACATCCGGCAATGGTTCGAAACATGTTTGGCCTGTCAGTACGGGAGCATCTTTCCAGCAGCCGTCGTCGACGAAGAAGCGCGATTCCAGACGGCCTGTTGGATGTGTTAGCCCAGAATGATGAGTAGACTGGGGGAAGGGTTCTTTTTCCTCACCACTCGAATTCCATCCTGTTGCTACTGTTTCCATGGTATCTATTAATCGCCGAGTATGGTTTGAGAAAAGCCACGATCATGATTTTTCCAGATGGGCAGCCTATGAGGTACATCACATACCCATGATGGGTGGCGTCTTTGCATCGCAAGGGAGGGAGACATTCTTAATCTCTGGAATGTAAGGAGGAGAACGTGTGTGTGTGGTCAAGTCGACGCGTCCCAGGCGTAAAGTACATGCATGTGCTAGATTTGCAAACACGCAATCTTTTTTTTATTCTTCTCTCGACAGCACACATCACTTGACGACCATGGACCAAGAAAAGAAGCAGAGAGAATCTATTGACGACTATGAAGAGGCTCAGTCCTTTCTCAAGCAAGAAGAAGAACAAGAAGAAGATCAAGACAATCTCGACCTGGATAGATTTCCACCACCTCCTACCATGATCGCCTCCTCCTCCTCCTCCTCCTCCTCCAAAGGTCTCAGTAATCGATTCTGGATCAGCGCGTGCGTCAATACCGCATCTACAGCAGCCATTGTAAGAAAAAATCCCCCCAAGACCAAAAAAGAAAAAATCTCCCAAAAAAAACCAAAAAATTCAGGCCCCAAAACATCTTTCTCACAACCCAAACCCCCCAAATCTAGGTCTTCATCAACAAACGCATCTTCCAAACCCCCTCCCTCCGCCACACCCAAGTAACCTTCGCAGCCTTCCACTTCCTCATCACATTCTTACTTCTCCTCCTCCTCTCGCGCCTCGCCCTTTTCACTCCCATCAAACTCGACTCCTACACCTTGCTCCCCCTGGCGCTCGCCATGATTTGCAACGTCGTCCTCCCCAATGCTTCGCTCGCCTACTCCAGCATTCAATTCTACCAAGTCGCTCGCGTGCTGTTAACGCCTTGCGTTGCAATTTTGAATTTTGCGCTTTATTCACGAGGAATTCCTGCTAGGGCGGCTTGGACTTTGGCGCCGGTTTGTTTTGGCGTGGGTGTTGTTTCGTGGTTTGATACTACTACTACTACTAGTAATCCTACCAAGGGCGATGACGGTGGAGGAGAACGATTTACGACTACGACGACAACGACTACGACGCCCTTGGGAGTCGCATTTGCGATGATGGGAGTTGTGGCGAGTTCATTGTATACGGTGTGGATTCAATGGTATCATGAAAAATTGGAATGCTCGAGTATGCAATTGTTGATGAATCAAGCGCCGGTTAGCGTTTTGGTGATGTTGTATGTGATTCCTGTGGCGGATGATGTTACTGTGTGGAGGGATGTGGGGTGGGGGGTTTATGGGTTGATTGGGATTGTGAGTTGTTTTTATTTTCTTTCGCTTTGAGCTTTTCGCTGTTCGCTGTTCGCTTTTCGCTGTTCGCTTTTCGCTGTTCGCTTTTCGCTGTTCGCTTTTCGCTGTTCGCTTTTCGCTGTTCGCTTTTCGCTGTTCGCTTTTCGCTGTTCGCTTTTCGCTGTTCGCTTTTCGCTGTTCGCTTTGAAAAGGACAGAAAACATGTGCCATGGCTGACGATATTTTTTTCTTTTTTTTAATCAAAAAAGAGTGGATTATTGGCTTGTCTGATCAATCTTTCGCAATTCGTGATTATTCACGAAGCTGGTCCTGTGAGTAGTACTGTCGTGGGACATTTCAAGACGTGCTCGATTGTGGCTATGGGGTGGATTGTTTCGGGGAAATCTTTGACGGATGGGAGTTTGGTGGGGATTTTACTTGCGATTGGAGGTATTATTTCGTAAGTTTTTTTTTCCCCCTTTTTTCTGAATGAAAGGACGGGATGGGATGGATGGATGGATGGATGGGACTGTTATGACACATGAACTAACGAAACGGCCAAGGTATTCCTATGTGATGCAAATGCAGGGACGGAAATGAAAAGGGAAAGAAAAGAATGAGGAGGGAGGAGGAGGGGGGTGTGACACGAAGAATTTCGACTCCCCTTGCTGTGATGATTTGATCTATATATCCCTTGCTTTTTCTTTGTGCACGTCAACATTTTTTTGCAACCTGTCACTTTTACAGAAAGCGTAGTATACTTAGCGAGCGAAAGGGTACCTGGAGTTGAGATTCTTCTTCTTCTTCTTCTGCAAGAACCAACTTCTTCATGATTTCTGCAATTCGATCTACCCTTTTCACTGAACAACCCCCTTCCACATCAACTTCCACTTCCACTTCCACCACCATGTCCTCCTCCTCCTCCACCACCACCACCCCCAACCGTTTCCTCATCTGGGGCGCCCACGGCTGGATCGGCAGTCTCCTCATCGATCTTCTCCGGCAACAAGGCAAAGACGTCCACGGCACAACCACGCGCATGCACGAACAAGAAGCCGTACGAAAGACGCTGGACGAAATTCAACCTACGCATGTTATCAATTGTGCGGGGAAAACTGGAAGGCCGAATGTGGATTGGTGTGAGAGTCATAAGTTGGAGACGATGGAGAGTAATGGGTTGGGGACGTTGATGCTTTCGTATGAGTGTGAGAAGAGAGGGGTGCATTGTACGGTGTTGGGCACGGGATGTTAGTTTTTTTTTTTTTCTTTTTTTTCTTTTCAACAACAGCCCAGAGTTCCGACTTACTAACAAACACTCCGAAAAAAAAGGCATCTACACTTCCCAATACACCCCCGACAACTCTACCCTCCTCTCCCCACCCTTCACCGAATCCGACCCAGCAAATTTCACCGGATCCTTCTACAGCGCCACCAAAGCTCCCATTGAAACGTTTCTCAAAAATTACCCTTGCACCCTCGTCCTCCGCCTCCGCATGCCCGTCTCCTCCGATCTCCATCCTCGATCCTTCGTGACGAAAATTCTCGCCTATAAAAAAATCGTCAACATTCCCAACTCGCATTCCCTTCTCCCGGAGCTCCTCCCCATCATCATCGCCATGTCCGAGCATCGCGAGCAAGGCGTTTATAATTTTACTAACCCGGGTGCGATTTCGCATAATGAGGTGTTGGAGCTGTATCGGGAATTGGTGGAGCCCGGGTTGGCGTGGGAGAATTTTTCGCTGGAGGAGCAGGCGGAGGTGATTGTGGCTGGGAGGAGTAATTGTGCTCTTGATAGTGGGAAATTGGTGGAGAAGGTGAGGGAGTATCAATGTGAGGAGGGAAGGAAGGATTTGGAGGTGTTGGAAATTCGGGAGGCGTATAGGAGGTGTTTTGGGAAGATGGGGAGGGAGAAGGGGGGGTTGCAGCAGAGGGGTGGGGCGGGGGTGGTTTAGGTGACTTTTGTTTTTTTTTCTATCTTTAATGAAGGGGGTTTTTCTTGGGTTGGAGTTGGGTACTTGAATATGAGTGAAACTTGTTTCTCTTCCATCTTCTTCCACGTCTGCGTAGTGTCTTCTGAACGATGAAGCCTTTTGCAAGTCCGTTAACTCGTGATTGTTTTTACAATCTCCTCGTGTGACCTCTTTAACCATTCGTCACGTCGCGATTCATCGAGAGCAGGTTATACAATCAGGTCAAATCTGGAGACTCCATTAATTTGTCCCGATGCACAAGCTGGCCTTTTTTAGGCGTTGTATTGTTTAAGTGTCCCAGCCATCGCGATCCTCATGAAGTGCTTGCTTTGCCGGTTCTCTGGTAAGACGTGTTCTTTGCGATTGCCTACAGTATGACTCGGTCTATACGGTTTCTCAAGAAGTCGTCCAGGAGGGTGGTACTAATGCTCTTTCGCTGAATCACGTCTTCGGGTCGGGTACGGACTTTCAACAACGATCAATGGGGTGAGCTCAAGCTGATGACTAAGCAATACCAATGCCAAGAAACCCACGAAAATTGAACCTCACTATTCTGGCGTTCACTACTCACGGCTTCACTACCACCAACAACCAATCCACCACAAAGTCCTTAAACAGCCTATATCTCACCGAAGACATGGGGGGCAAGACTGGAAACAAGGCCGGCTACTTCGACAAGCTCAAGGGCTTGCTCGAGGAGTACAAGACCATCTTCATCGTCGCCGTCGACAATGTCTCGTCGCAGCAAATGCACGAGATCCGTCAGTCGCTGCGTGGTGAGGGTGTCGTGCTGATGGGCAAGAACACCATGGTATGGAACATGAACAAGCAGTGAAAAGAGGCGAGATGTGCAGGATACATACTGATACCGCTGAAAAGGTCCGCCGTGCGCTCAAGACCTTCATGCCCGACTTCCCCGAGTACGAGCGTCTTCTGCCTCACGTCAAGGGCAACGTCGGCTTCATCTTCACCAACGGCGACCTCAAGGCCACCCGTGAGAAGATTCTCGACAACCGTGTCGCCGCCCCTGCCCGTGCTGGTGCCGTCGCTCCCGCCGATGTGTACGTCCCAGCCGGAAACACTGGTATGGAACCCGGAAAGACCTCTTTCTTCCAGGCTCTCGGTGTCCCCACCAAGATCGCTCGTGGTACCATTGAAATTACCTCCGATGTCAAGGTCGCCGAGGCTGGTAGCCGTGTCGGAGCCTCCGAAGCCACCCTCCTGAACATGCTGAACATCTCTCCTTTCACCTACGGTATGAGTATTGCTCAGATCTACGACCAGGGACAGACCTTCGACGCCTCTGTTCTCGACATTGAGGAGAGCCAATTGCTCAAGGCTTTCAGCTCTGCCATCACGGCCATCACCTCCATCTCGCTTGCCACCAACTACCCAACTCTGCCATCCGTTGTGCACAGCTTGGTCAACAGCTACAAGAACGCCATCTCCATCGCCATCGAGACCGAGTACGAGTGGGAGTCCATCCACGAGCTCAAGGACCGCATCGCCAACCCCGATGCGTACGCCGCTGCTGCACCTGCAGCTGCTGCGGCCCCTGCTGCTGGTGGCGACGCTGCCCCAGCCGCGGCCGCCAAGGAGGAGGAGAAGGAGGAGTCTGAGGACGAAGACATGGGTTTCGGTCTCTTCGACTAAGCGTGTCGCCGGAAAATCACGAATGATTGCAAAGAGGTGGTCTTCCATACTGCGTGTCGGCTCAGATCAGCCGACTATGAATGAAAGCACAACTTCCGCCGCGGAACCTTTTTTCCAATGTGATGCTGCGATGTGTTGCCGTGACACTTTCCTCTGCTGGAGACACATACTGGTGAGTTCTTGGTCATCTCTCACAACCCTCGATTTACATGATATGAGAACCTTTTAACTCTTACTTGGAAACAAGAAAGAAGACAACACCGCAACAACAACTTTAATACAACTTCTGATACAGTCCGCCTTCGCACACTTTCACTCACGACGAAGCCTCTTGACCATGTGCTGACTTGCGAAAAGACAGTAGCATCCGTGCCACAGATCATCTTCCTGACAGCATTATTGACCTGCGAGAACACAGCCCAAGCCTGCGTCGTTCATCAGCTGGTGTAGCAGAATACTCTGAACAAGATGGTACGTTCCACCCACTCCAATACTTGCCCCTTCACTCCTATATGATGATACATGTAAACTCCTCATGCGCAAGCAAGTGCAGGCACGTTAACTCTAGTTTTTTCCTGATTGACCCCCTCATCGCATCTTTTGATCCTATCGTCACGTCGCGGTTTCCGTGCTGACCTTTTCTCCAGAAATTTCACTCGGCACCAAATGCTCTGTAACGACCACTGCCCTGAGTCCTCTCCACTACGCCTGATCCCAGTCCACTGATACCGCCTCGATATGCCGTGATGGCTTTTGTCCCAATGCAGTGAAGATCCAGCAGCGGTTCGTCCTGCAGCATTCGTGCAATTTCTGTATTCAGCTCAGAGCTGTGCTTCCAACAACCGCGGTAAAAGTCCTCCGATGATGAGCGCAAGGTTCAATGTAGTCTGCCAAGCCACAATGACTTTAGCTCATATCAAAAACTATATATCCTTGTCCCTGTGAACCCAATCCGAACATTTCCATCTTCAACTCTGTGTAGGAGGTATTTCCGGCGTTCCCGCATCGTGACGAGCCGATGAAACGGCCACTACATGTACATGTATCATAAGATATTGTGTCATCATCATCATCATCCATCACTTCACATCACTCATATCTCACTCAAATCACTCATCATCACACCCGGGGAGGGGGGAGGGGAGGGGGGGAACACATCCCAACAATCCCAACAATCCCCAATCTCAAACGCCAATCATCCGATATGAAACATACTTGAATACGAGAAAAAAAGTAGGTAGTGTTTCGCAAAACTTCGCGCGCGCGCATCTTCCGAGAATAAATAATCATCATAAAATAAAATCCTACCAAAAAGATCCATCCATCCCAATGACTAGGAGGAGGTAAACCCCCCGGTCTTATCTTTTGTTTGTGTTTGTGAATGAACGACCGCGCCAATTTTCTTTTTTTTCTCGGTTTCCCTTCGTTGCAGCCCAAAAGAAAACCGGGATCTTGGATGTTTCTTTTTTAGTGTCTAGTGCTCTAGTGTCTACACAGTGCACAGTCTTTTTCATCATCATGTACCTAGTCTAGTCTCTTACAGTTCCAAATTGTTTAGGTAAGGTAGTTGTAACTTGTTGCTACCCAACTCTACAGGTACGGTAGAGACTTGCTTTTTTTTTCTGTCGTCTGTGTGTGTGTGTGTGCACGGTTTGGGTTCTTTATGTCAATGGGACATGGGACATGATGGGACTGGGTTCACAAGTGGTGTTTGTTTAGCACGGTTCGCTTTTTCTTCTTCTTTCATTTTTCGGCATACACGGAAAAGGACCAGGGGGGTTGGATTTGGGTTGGGTTTGGGTTGGGTTGTTGGTTCATCACAATTTTTATTTTTTCTGGAACGCATGTATGGTAGTTTACGGTTTCGCGTGGTTTGACAGGGTTGGTTCCTTTGGGAGAAAAAAGTAAGCAGTCAGAGAGTGAGAGAGAGAGAGAGATAAGGAAGATTTTTTTTGTGGATACATTGGAGGTACTAGGTCAGGTCAGGTAGGTAGGTAGATAGTATCTTCATTCATATAAAACTGCCGGAACTACTCTTTTTTCATCTTCCCAATTCCTTTTGGGTTTTTCTTCGCATATCAAAAGTTTGGTTGGTTTCTTTTTGGTTCTTTTTTGATTTGGTGTGATAGAGGAGGAAATAGATTACGCTCGCTACGCTACGTTCGCTACGCTACGATCGCTACGCTACGCTACGCTACGCTACAGACAGAAGAGGACAGAAGAAAGAACGACGAGGGGCTTTTGTTGGTGTCGGATAGAGAGGGGAAGCGAAGAGAGAAAGAGGGAGAGGACAAACGCGATACACCTGAGAAGAGGAGATTGTACACGAAAGACAGAAAAGTACAATCCCGAAAAGCAAAATCCCGAAAGGGAAAGAAGAAGAAGAAGCAGACATGGAAACAATAGCATCATGCTTCGAAACCACAGCCATCACAAGCTACCTCGGTCAGTCCCTCCCCAATCGATCTCTCACAAACAGAAAAGAAGCAAAGACCAAAAATTCTAACCTTCCTCTTCCACAACAGACATCCTCCCCTCCCCCTCCCCCGACTCGACCACCCCCGAAGCCCAACACCCTGACATCCCCACGCCGACCTCCCCCCTCAAAGCCACCGACTCCGAACACCCCTGCACAACCTGCGGCGGCCCCCGATCGCGTCGAACCTCCATCGTCTCGGACCCCAACGTCTTCAACTCGCGCGCCGGCCGAACCTATCATCCATGCACCAACACGCGCTGTCCACGCGGAAGAGCGAATACCCTCGATCGCGATTGGCATACGTGGCAGGTTCATGGAGAGAATCCGAAATGTGATTGTGGATTGCCGAGTCGACAGAGTCGCCAGGGGACGGGGGAGGTTTGGCCTGGTTATGGCGTTTGGGAGTGTGCGTTTGGGGGGTGTGGGTATCGAAGTCGTGATCGGAAGGGGAGGAGTGTCGAGAAGGGGGAGGTGAGGGAGAGGGATGTGGATCGGTTTATTCCGTGGTTGTTGAATGGGAGGTGAAGGGTGTGAGAAGAAGGGTGTGGGTCTTGTTGGTGGTGGTGGTGGGTAAGAGAGATTTTTTTTCTTTTTCGTCATGTGGATATTGGTAGCGTTTTGTTGGTTTGGAACTCTTCGTAGTAGATACCCAAGCGCAGGCGTTGGATTGGGGATTGATTTTGTTTGCATATCAACGTACCTAATAATGAGTGTTTCTCCAGTCTTGTCAAGTTTCTCGGCCATTATCTGGTTTCCGTTGCAGCATCATACTCTCCTCTATTATCATGTCTGTAAAGATACCTCGTGAGGACATTCTGCGGGTTGTGCTATTGGCAGGTCAAATGCAGAGGTTTACTTTTTCATCGTTCTCTACGACTGCGAGTAATGTCACTATCACTACTCTTCTTCGGCGGCAGCGTCCTGCTGTTCCTCATCTCTCCGCTTCCTCAGGTTTGCCACGGTATACAGAAAAGCATCCAATTCCTGATCGTTCGACTCTGTCACCAGTGAAGGATGCTCATTGACTAGATTCAAGTCGAAGCTCTCCGCAACGGGCTGCCAAGCACTGCATCGGACGGGAACTTCAGGACTGTCGTCTACACCAATCACCACCGAACCCAGTCGTTTCGAGCCATCAATGCGAACATCCACAGACACTAGTAGCTGGTCTCCGATTGCGGCAACGTCCAGCGGCGCGGCTGGTAATGGCACCGTAGTGGAGGCCATTTTGCTGTAGGGTGAGGACTCATCGGACGACTTTGGCGGGGCTTGTTCCAACGCTGCTCTCGAGATGAAGAAAAGAGCCGAGACTCTCTCGCAAGCAACAGCAATGACACAGTCGGTTCCGTAGCTGGTTTGTACGTCAAAACTCCAGATTCCGGACACTGCAATCTTTGCTTCGGAATCCTTGACCACCTCTTTCACCAAACTTTTAAAGTCGAATTTCTTCATCAGCTGGAAGGTCTGCCAATTCCAGATTCCCAACCAATCATCGCCTCCTCCGCTGACGAGAAGATCGCTGTGGCCAACTCGGGAGATTCGGTTCACGAACTCTTTGTGTCCCAGAAGATAACCTTCGATGATGTGAGCTTGAGGGGGAGCCCTCGAGATCCGGATATGTTCATCTCGGTCTGCGGTGACAATATACCCTCGCTGCTTGCCCTCTACTTCACGAGTCAAGAACTTGAGGTCTGTAAGCATGGACACATGACCCAGCTCCAGCCGATGCTCGAAATTCAGAACCTCTTTCTTTGGCGTGAAGTTCTTCTGATTCATTTGTGCAGCCAGCGCTTGTCGATTGCGCTGGCTGTGAACTGTGGCTTCGCTCGCGGACGGCTTAAAAGGCGTATTTGCGGGTGGCTCCGTCTCTCGTCCTTCCGGTTGCACATCGTCAATCGTTGCCGCTATGAGTGGCAAGGAGTATACATCGCCAAACTTGTCGCCCACAAGAATGGTCGCGTTGTCCGGCAGAACCTGCACAGCGCATGGTCGCTTTGGCATGGGCCGCGAGCTGAGTTCGGTCAGTCGTCCTTCTGGCGCCTCGAAGACTCGGATGCACTTGTCATCAGTCACAGCCACCACATTGCGGCTATTGGGGGTGGCGATGAGCTTGATCACATTGGGTGATTGGGGCGGTAGCTTGGGAGCATCGTGGCTCGTCTTTTGTTTCTTCGATGGTCGTTCTCCATTATCCACTTCACTAATCACCGGCGCCAGAGCGGACTTCTCCTACAGGGTACTCAGCATGTTGTGGTCTCCGGGTGAAGGTGGACTTGTGCAGCAAATACACGTTTGAAGTCACTCTCGCCGTCACCTACTTGTGGAGTCTGCGGCCACTCGGAGATGAGCTCGTTGGAGGCCAAGCTCACCGAGACCAGCTTTGGTCCGCAGGCGACGACCACGAAGCCTTCACTTGCAACATCGGTGGGGTCTCGGGCGTGCAAGATGCATTGAAAGGGGTGACGCATTGGAGATTATTGGATGCGTGAAGGATCTGCCTTGGGAGCCGGGGTATATGGGGCGATGGTGGTTATGGATGTAGGAGGATGTATACATGTAGTATACCGGTAGTGTACAAGAAAAAAGACTTCGTCATACTCCGAGCTAGATTCTCCATGTACCCTGACCTGAGTCGAACATGACCGCCAAGACATGGGCCATTTCAGTCGCCCGGCCTGAGGCAGTGAGGCCATGGGACGATAAGTATGGCGGTGGGAATGGCGTCGGTCATACGGGACTGCTATTCTGTGCTCCAACAATCACGGACATACATCGATATGCTGAGCTCAGCGATGAATAATGATAATGTACCTACATAAGTGTAACCTATACAGCTTATGTTATTACTACGATCGAAAGAAGAGTTGCCCAAGAAGGAATGGGCGTGGAAGGAGAGAGAAGTGGCCAGAAAGCGGGTGGCTCCGCCGGATGCCTGTCGACCCTTTGGCGCATGTCTTTTTGAACTGACGAGACCGACGCAGGCCAAGTGCTACTGTTGCTGCTACTGCCACATTTCTTGCATAAAATCACCAACTGACGGGCACAATATCAACAAGCCTTATAACTGCTACTCACACTACCTTACTCATCCTCCCATCCAGACGTGTCTCTGCTGTAAAAACCAGCCACTCCTGCTTCGGTATGTGAAACTCCCTCTCAACATCAACTTCATCATTGCCGAGACACTGCCTGCTCCGCTGCGACGAATCATCACTTGCGTGCGTGCTAGGGCGAGCATGTGCTGACCCCATCTCCCGCCTTCAGCTTCGACTTCCACTCGCCAAAGTCCTACCCGCATCGCATCCCGATTGTCGACCAACAACATCACCACAACAACCCTAATCGTACCCCGCGCTTCGCCTCACCATGGTGCGAGAAACCAAATACTACGATGCCCTGGGCGTCTCCCCCGATGCCGACGATGCAAAACTCAAGACGGCATACCGAAAAGGCGCTCTGAAGCACCACCCCGACAAGAACGCCCACGACCCTGGAGCTGCCGAAAAGTTCAAAGAGATTTCACATGCATACGAGATTCTGTCAGATCCGCAAAAGCGCCAGATTTACGATCAGTATGGTGAGGAGGGGCTGGAACAAGGCGGTGGAGGAGGCCCGGGCGGCATGGGCGCCGAGGATCTCTTTGCACAGTTCTTCGGAGGCGGCGGAGGTGGTGGTTTCGGTGGCATGTTTGGTGGTGGCATGAGAGAACAAGGTCCCAAGAAGGCGCGGACGATCCACCATGTACACAAGGTCTCGCTCGAGGATGTCTACAAAGGCAAGGTCTCCAAGCTCGCTTTGCAAAAGTCCGTCATTTGCTCCAAGTGCGATGGGCGTGGTGGTAAGGAGGGCGCAGTCAAGACCTGTACCGGCTGCAATGGTGTCGGTATGAAGACGATGATGCGCCAGATGGGTCCGATGATTCAGCGTTTCCAGACCGTCTGCCCCGACTGCAATGGTGAGGGAGAGTCGATCCGAGAGAAGGACAAGTGCAAGCAGTGCAACGGCAAGAAGACGGTCATCGAGCGCAAGGTGCTGCATGTGCATGTCGACCGTGGTGTACAAAACGGCACCAAGATCGACTTCCGGGGCGAAGGCGACCAGATGCCTGGTGTGCAGCCTGGAGATGTACAGTTCGAGATTGAGTGCAAGCCGCACCCACGTTTCCAGCGCAAGGGCGACGACCTCTTCTACCACGCCGAGATTGATCTTCTGACTGCTCTCGCGGGTGGTGCCATCTACATTGAGCACCTTGACGATCGGTGGTTGACGGTGGAGATTCTGCCCGGAGAGGTGGTTTCACCAGGTAAGCACCTTCATCACACTCACATTTGCATCATCCGCTAACGCAATTTCTAGGCGAGGTCAAGGTCATCCGCGGGCAAGGAATGCCATCATACAGACACCACGACCACGGCAATCTCTACGTCCAATTCGACGTAAAATTCCCCGAGCGCCTCAGCGGCCCACCCGACGCAGACGGCTACCCGACATCGCTCGCGCCCGAGCAGATCAAGGCTCTCGAGAGTGTCCTTCCTCCACGCCAGCCACAGAATATCCCACCTGCCGATGCCATGACCGAAGACTATGCACTCGAAAAGGTCGACCCGTCACAAGAGGGCGAGCGCCTGGCAAGAGGTGCCACTGATGAAGATGACGACGAGATGGGCGGTGGTGAAAGAGTGCAGTGTGCCTCGCAGTAAACGATACCCATGATGTGCGGAGGCAGGCAGGCATAGACAGAGACAGACACGAGATTTATGATGCACGACATGCCGGGGCATGGGATAGAGATTGAACGAGTTGCCGCTACCTCTACACAAACGAGCTGCAGTCTCGACCATTTCGGCAGCGGTATGTTTTTCATCCTAATTCCATCGATCGAGCAGACTCGGCATGCTCCCATAGTATAGAGATTTTTTACCTTTTTTTTGGCCAAGTCTATGCTTTGCTGGTATCTTTTGGTTTTTGGTGGTTGCGATCAACATATACATATTACGTGTGTGTGTGTGGCATATGTATTGTATCATACCTAGGTAGGTAGGTAGGTAGGTAGGTATCTAGGTAATTCTAGATATCTATTGGATGTCTTGAAGGAATTGACTGGAGCATGAACTTGATTGCCTAGGTACCTGTATGTACCTACCAGGTGCCTCCTCATGTTAGTTACCTAAGGTAGGTAAGGTAGTAATGTATATTGATACTTGACGTCACGTCTTCTGTGTACAGTGTCAGGTATATGTACCCGACATGTTGATGTACTGCGGGCATATACCTCACTCTACAAACATAACTGCTAGGAAGGGACATGTATTGCATAAGATTCAATACAGATACAGATATTCTATGCTAGGTATAGATTTATTGCCAAGGTAAGATACCTATGTACCCTACCCTATTATTACTATTTGAGTGATTAAGTTATTAAACATTACCACGTCTTTCTGCGTCAGCAAAAGTGATGCATGCCCTTTTACTTTTCTCACTCCACTACTAGAGACGTAGAGCTAACTTCCAAAGACATGACCTCAAAAGACTTGGCCAAGGACGAAGCTCTCGCCTCGTCATCCTCCTCCTCGTCGGTCTTCTTCTTCTCATTCTCGTCAGTCTCTTCCACTTCCTCCTCCTCCTCGGTCTCCTTCTTCTCATTTCCACCAGTCTCTTCCACTTCCTCCTTCTTCTCATTCTCACCAGTCTCTTCCACTTCCTCCTCCTCCTCCTCGGTCTCCTTCTTCTCCTCCTCCTCCTCCTCCTCCTCGACCTCCTTCACCTCCACCTTCACATCATCATCGTCATTACCACCCTCCTCCTCCTCCTTCTTTTCTCCCTGCTCAACACACTCCCCTCTCTTCTCCTCCCCAACCTCCTCCATCTTCTTCCCCATCTTCTCCCCCATCTTCTCCATCCCCTCTTCCATGCCCTCCTCCATGCCCTCAAACCCCACACTCCCCTTTCCCTTCCGCATACCCCCCCAAAACCGGTTCGCACACGTCGGATTCGAGCACCGAAACACCGCTCGGAGTCGGACTTGGCGCAGGAAAACGCAAGGGCGGTAGTAGCGTGTAATCGTTGGTTGGAGACAAAGTGAACAAAGGACTTGTTGGGAAGAAGGGGTTTCTCGGCTGTTGTTATCGGTGGTGACGGGGGAAGAGGAGGAAGAGGAAGAGGAAGGGGAGGAAGAGGAAGAAGAGATGGCGAGCGAGCGGGGGACTTGGTGGGCGATGATGTCTGACCAAGTGACTTCTGGAGCAGAGCGAAAAAAAAAAGAAGAGAGAGAATTATTAGTACACTTCTGATGATGACGATGATGGTAGTAGTCGTCTGTAAGGTCGAGTTCAAAGTAAACTACACAAGGCTACTTACCCGTGCCTGGACCCATGGCGCGGTCGATTTTCTGGTTTGTCCAGTCGAATTGCTTGATGGCGTAGTCGATCTGGGCGGCGCTCAGGGGCTTGGGCTTTTTTCGGTCTCCCCCTTCTTCTTCTCTAACTTCTTCTTCTTCTTCTCTAACTTCTTCTTCTTCTTCTTCTTCTTCTTCTTCTTCTTCTTCTTCTTCTTCTTCTTCTTCTTCTTCTTCGGGGGAGGCCATATTGCGGAGCTCCTCCGTATGTGGCTCTGTAGTGTCAGCCATGATCTGAGTGTTGCAAATGGTGTTCTTGAAGGTTGTGTGTATGTGGCTCTGCTTGATGCCCGAGATCTCAGAATCGGCTGACGTTGGTTCAGAGGTAGGTACTGATAATGTGTGAGTTGGTCCGGAACTGAAGTGAATATGGCCTTGGAATTTAAGAGTGCATTGCCTTTGACCGACCGCTGAACGAAACATGAGGTGCTCTTTTATAGACTCCGTCAATACGCAGTGCGTCACAATCATGATACTGGGGAGGTACAGTGGTCGAAGAGGACGCAAATGGCGGTTGTATGATGGCTGTGCCGGCCGCAGTGCTCCGGTCACTGGCAGCCAGAGGAAAACTGGCCACAATGGGATGGAATTTCCGGTGGTCTCACTGATGGGAAGTCTCGTAAAATATTTTGCAGTGAGTGAAGTGTTGACGTAGCACACAGCAATCAGCTATGACAGAGAAAAGTGCGAGGTTTGGAACACCTGGCCACCTTTCTACGGCTACATTGCACTGTTAGGAGCCGCTTAATCAATAGCCCACGGATCTCAATGTCCACTCCAACATGAAGCTGTCATTGTTGCAAGACTTCAAGGGTTTCCGATTCAACAACGGTGGTCCTGACCACATCTTGTCGCGTCTGGAAGCCATAGTGGTCGCTGCTCAACCAGAGGACCAGCATGCACTCTGACCACGGTGTTACTACCGGTCCGCACGCTGAAGCATGTCGGGCACGAGGTAGATGTTGTTGCATCATGAAGCAACCAAGTGCATTACATGTATCCATGCCGATTGTGCTTGTGGTGGGAAAATGTGCTCGCTACGGTGACTTGCTGGCTGAGAGTGGCCACTTCTCGACGGTGAACTCGTATTGACATTGGTCGCGTTCGTCAAGTGATGTCCCATCGCTCGTCGTCGTCAATCAGGACGTCAGGCATACACTCGCAGCAGTCATTTTCTTCTGCGACTGGGGGTGGTGGCGCAAGGTGCTTATATACACTGCATAGGTGCCGACCTTGCCTCACCAGAATGGCAGCCAGGCAGTACACGGGCGGTACGAACTTTCTCCTATCGTGGACTGACAAGGAGCCATGGGTGGTTCCGCTCGTTGCAGTATTAGATGGCCGCTTTCGTGGTGTGGAGTCGATGCTTCATGTGCACTCCCATGGCTCGCACACGATCCGAGGCAGTCCGATCGAGAGGTACCGCTGTTTCTTCGTCGTTGCCCGGGCTATTCCGTCCACGACGTACACGCCTGTGGTACAAGAGGCAGGTGGTTCGGTCGAAGGGAAGCATGAATCAGGACGGTGTGAGGCGGAAGCATCTCTGGCATATGTCCAAGCATGATCGCTCGCCATCGGGTCCGAAATTCGGATAGACCGTGGACGACGCAGCTCCAGGAAGCCATGGCAGTCTCCGTTTGTATGAAAGAGCTCCTTCGACGGGCTGTCGTTTCCACCGCAAGTGCCTCAATGGGCGCGTAGCTCATTGCCGTCAGCTTCTCCTCACTGTGTTGGTGTACCCGGACATGCTCGGTGTGCTACAGCCCATTGGACTTCTGGATGGACCACGTTGCCAGATCTTCAGGTCTGCTCGCAGGATGTCGAGCTTTTTCCGAACATTGGATTACACGCTGGCGACCAGGCTGGTCACAATGGCCTGACGGATCGGTCTTGCAGACATCCAAGGCGATTGGCCCAGCAGATATCAAGCTTGCTTTTGCATCTCCTACATCTCAGTCAGCCTCTGCCTGCGTTACTGATCTTCCTTTGATCGCCCACAAGCCTCGAGGTCAATGTTTCACTACCTTTGCATTTGAGACATACCATCACTGTGTTCCGAGGACGAGAGTCGGTGATTGGTCGCTGTGAAGTGTTGTTACATGTATCCTCGGAGTGCTCTGTTGTTGTTGTAGGTAGAGGAGGGTCATGGTGTGTGTTCAAGTTGCTCTTGACGGGACATGTTGTGTCGCAGGGTGACTGCGCTCCAGATAGCATACGTACCTACCTTAGGTAGGTACGATGTAGCTACATGTACATACCTATACCACACTGCCCCCCTCTCTCTCAGTAAGGTAGTGCTGTAACAAGTGAAGTCAATCGTAATAGCCAACCGACTATGTAACCAACCAACCTAATGTACCAACCAACCACGCCGATCGTGCTCTCGCCGGGGAAACACTAACCATACCACTAGTAGTAAGGTAATAGTACGCCTGCGCGCTCGTGAGATGCCGATCAAACGTGCCAAACGTGCCTTTTCTAGCGTGAAAATGCAGTTTTTGACAGCTTCCCACGCGACGCGACGCCCGACAGCCGGGAAGCCAACGACACAATTGAGTGGCTGACAGCCTTTATCTTGCTTGGCTCCCTAGGTACCTACTTTCCCACCGCCACTCCATCCAGTGTCGTGACACTTGCAGAAAGAGGAGCAAGAACCGATTGGGCGTCCTTGTTCGTGGAGCGTCCTACCGACTGCCCATTTATACTGTATACCGTTGGAGGTACCTCCTAGAATAATAATAATACTTTGATACGCCAGCGGCCAGCCACGCCCTATGAGCAGAGTGGGTCGTGCTAATTACGGTCCTCGAACTACTCTCCATTTGTTCTCTCCAGCACTGTAGTACATACTACAGTGGTGTAGTTCTGGCCGGAGGATGGGCCGGAATGTGGACACCAATCAATATCATCATGATGCTCGCTTTGATTACTTCTAGCTCATCTGAGAGTCTGAGCTGTATTTATCCATAGTGTTTCTTGGTTAGGAGGCAGTGACTAGAATTAGCATTAGCATCGAAAGCTGCGTACGGTACCTAGTTCTCAACCCTGGCGGCCGTCGACTGGATCGTAGATGATCCCGAGGGAATCGGTGAGACTGTACGAGATGGAATTAGGTATATTGATGATGATATTGTTGTTATCTCCTTGTTCTTCCCCTTTCCCTTCCCCTTTCCCTTCTCCTTCTCCTTCTCCTGCCCCTTCTTCGTGTGGTCCCGTCCATCCTCGTGCGAGGCGGGGTGTATAGAAGAATTGGGAGAGCAAGGGCCTGGGCCTGAGCGAGTCTCACCGCAGCCCGGAGCGCAGCACCCGACCGACCACCCGCTCGCCAAGGCCTGCGCTAGAACGAGAAGAGTTGCTCCATGGACCATGTGCTACGGCCGAGGTTGGCATAACTCTGTCTCTGTCTCTGCCTCTATTTCTCTATTTCTCTCATTCTCTCACCATTCACGCCATCCCATCCTCGTGAATAATTAGTCAAGAGGTAAGAATGATAAAATGCCCCGTTACCGTACTGCACCGTAGCTGCATACACGGTGGATCTGAACACAGACGTCCATACTCCACTAAACACTCTACTCTGCCCTGCCCAGCCCAGCCCAGTAGATTGGATGATTTGGATGATTTGGATCCATTCAGGAAATTCCGAATTTGCCTGCTCTGCTCTGCTCAACTCAGCAGCTCAGCTCCAGTCAGCTTCAGCGTTCAGGTTGCTTTGCTTTGGCTGTGCTTTGCAGTTTGGACCCTTTCTTTGCACCCTTTCTCTGCACACGCCCTCCCCGAATAATCCTCGACAACAGGACAGGGTGTAGTACTCCACCGTGCTCATCGTATTTGGTATTCGGGGGGGCCTTCGCCGCGTCACCCCAACTGGCAACGGTCCACCAGATCATCTCATACCGCCAGCATTGCAAGTGATATTCCATTCCGCATCCCTACCTTATGTACAGTGCTGCTTACCGAACCCAGTCTCTCACAATCCACATTGCCCAAATCGAGAGGGGAGACTCCACCGGACCACTGCGTAGTGCGCACACGCTATCCTCTAACCATGCTGAGGCTCTAGCACTTGCCAGGGTTCATGCTGCATAAGTGAAGCCTTTTCGCCACTACTCCCTACGCCTACGGAATTCACTGTACTCAGCTATTCTGATGCATGCCCCCTTCTTGCAACCTCCGTTCGCATACCGTACCGTACCGTAGCCGCATGCCATTGTCCGTCCCTACTTTGCTACTGTACGTCCCACTACAGGAATCCCTCGGCCTCGTTGGCAATCGGCCTTCCTCTGTCCTTTCTCGACACGCCTCGCCTCAGCCTCAGCCTCGCATCCTCTCCATCCACTGTCCGTCCGTCCGCTCTTCTCCGCAGCCTCGCGACGCCTTTTGCGGCTTGGTGCCACCCTCATTATCCACCACCTAACCCGGTCCAGAGCAGCCCGCACCCCATCCAGCAACACCACACCGTTCATCTAAAGAACCATTCTTGATGATCGCGCGTGCCACGCACTTCTGCACCCGCTGGGCTGAGTCGCAGCCCGGTCTCACTCCTCATCATACTACTGCCACTTCTTCATCTTGGCCTCCACTCCCCCTCCCTCCCGGTGTGAACTCTTGGACTGCCTTGTAACGCTGACTGCTCCACCAATTCTTGGCCAAACGTCTCAAAAGACCATGCGAAAGCTGGGTGCATACCTATCTACTCCATCATATGCTGCTTTAGTCCTCAATGCAGCTCGAACACGAACCCGGACATCACGACCGTGAGGTCATCAAGCAGGAGACTGCGGATACATCTGCCGCTGAAGCTGCTCTGAAGGCCAAACTGTCCAGAAAGCGTACTAAGACCGGATGCCTCACGTGCCGCAAGCGTCGCATCAAGTGCGGCGAACAACGTCCCATCTGTTCGAATTGCATCAAGAGCAAGCGGCATTGCGAGGGCTATAGCCAGCGCGTAGTATTCAAGCCTCCCACCTTTGAATATCAGCCTGTCGCGAATGGAGCCGCGCACATCACTTTTCAAGCCGGACCTATACATGTACCAGTACCGGGAGCCGTGCCGGAACATCGACACGATGCACAGCAGACAGCACTCCCGGGAGGGCTCTCGAGCTACACGCATCTGCGACCCAGGCCAGTGTCACAGCAATTGGTGACTGTATGGGACCAGCGTATCCAGCAATATGTACTCATCTCAGCCCCCGACATGGAGCATGTGCCGAATGCTGCATCCGACGTCCAGATCTTCCATCCTCCAGGGAGCAGTGCTCCCATCGGGCCAGGTCATATCGCGCAGGGTCCCTATGCGCCTCAGCATCAGCATCAGCATCAGCATCAACCGCACGCTGACCTGCACTCTGCTCAGAAACTTGCCCCATCAGGCGCCTTAGACTCGGCGATTCCGGTTGCCAGACCGTTCCTCGATGAACACAGTGCATATGGTGGTTCACAGCTCATCAGCGGACCTGCTGGTGCCTCTACTCTCTCCGCGACCGATTCCATGTTTCCCGTGTACAGCTGTCCGATGCCACAACCTCCCACAACGCATGTAGCAACATGCGAAACATCGACCATGCCCACCCCAGACCCCTGGACCGGTGTTTCGTTTGAGCCTCCTAATGGCATGCCCACGGTGCAGACCCCCGGCTCCAGCGCATCCTCGAGGACATTGGCGCATTCGCAGCAGAACTCTTATGCGACGCCTCAATCGCAGTGGCAGCCGGAATGGCAGATGCAATGCGACTTGCATCACACCCAACACGCGCAGCATGATCCGCTTCACCACGATCAGCCTGTGGAGTACGATAACCATGCTCCACCCATCCTTGATCACACACATCTGCTCCATGCAGCTGCAGTGGAGAATCAGGACGATGGCTACTATGATGTGGATTCCGACGACTCCGACGAGGAACAGGATGTGGACACGTCAATATCACAAGATCGAAGTTACAAGCGCCAACGGATGCTGGGGAGGGTGTTGGACGGTAAGCAGATCAGCATCCGTGGTCTGCACATGCGCCGATATGACACCTTCATCTACGAGGGGGTCCTCGACACGTACCGCGTCGAGTACGTGGCGAGTCCGCTGAAAAATCCTGCCACCGCGCGGGTGTTTGCACACTTCATCTCCGCAACGGGACCAAGCTTGTCGATTTTCGAGCGAGCACCGATCAGCTCCTCTGTGCTGTTCAACCACGGAGCCGTCCCTCTGTCGCAACAGGGTTTATGGACATATACGCTACCGATGGCTGCGTTGCATCACCAAGGCCTGCTCCACGCCATGCTGGCACTCGCAAGTCTGCACATCGCTCGACTTCAGGGCGCATCAACCACGCCTTCGATGCAGCACTACGCGTGGGCGCTTCGGCGCATACACGCTGCAGTCAGCAATCCCAAGAGTAGGCTCAAGGTCACTACTATTGCAGCCTCCATGTTACTAGGCTTCTACGAAGTGATGACTGCAGATCATATGAAATGGAATATGCATCTCGCTGGAGCCAAGCAGCTGTTTGTGGAAACCGATTTTATCAAGATGACCAGCGAATGCCGGCGGATGAAAAAGGAGAGAGCCCTGAGCCTGCAATACGAGTCCAATTTCGGCAAGAAGGGACGGGATAGTTCAGAAGAGACCTTCTCGCAGGCCGACTTGCTGGATCAGATTCCGGACATTGACGAACGTGTGGTCAGTCAAATGGTGGGCAAAGAGGTCAAGTATGACAACTTCGGCCATGTCGAAGCCTCTACTACCGTGAATATTCCTCCGACACTGGATCTCAGCAAGTTCGAGATCCTCAAAGACCTCTACTGGTGGTACTGTAAACAGGACGTCATTCAGAGTATCGTCAGCGGCAACCCTCTACTGTAAGTCGAGTACGGAGACATGTCAGACGCGGGCACTAATCAAAAGCAGCATGGACTTCAGCAGATGGGCAAACTGTCCTCCGCGAGCACCACTGGGTCGAGGCGATGCCGTGTATGGATCCTTCGATCATCTTGTTCTACTCCTGGGCCGCATCGCAGACTTCGCGTCACGGGATCGCAAGAGGAAACTCAAGCAGATGGACGCGAATGGCGGCCAATGGAGACCTGCAGCTGGTATGAACATTTTCCGACCACCACAGACTCCGACGCCATCGAGCAGCTTCAGGCCGCCCGGAACAGTGCCCATGGGTGCTCCTCCCCCCATGCCCGACTTCTACGGCATGGCACCGCCTCCACGAGCTGATGTACAGATGCCACACTCGTATGCATCATTCCCTCATCCCGATATGCCTCCTCCCACTCCTCCTCCAGATGCACACCGCTTCCACCACTCGATCGACCACGATCTACCACGAGCCACGCAGGAAGCCCTGGAGGAGCACCGTCGCATCCGTCAAGCATTAGACCTCTTCCAGAACAGCTTGAATGCCGTCCCCTCCTTCCAGCCTCTCGCGCCCGATTCCTACGACTCGCTCCACTCCACCGACACGGCCTTTGGCCCCACACAATTCTACCGCACCTACGACATTGGCTGCCTATGGGCCCTCTACAACATGGCCGTCATCATCGCCATCCGCGCACACCCCCACATGCCTCCGGCCGCGCACGTGGCAGCAGGCGTAGCCGCCCCCGAAACGCAACCCTACGCGCTCGAAATCGGCCGCATAGTCGCCGGCATAGTCCCCGGCCCAGCCTCTCAAGCCCTCAACCCCAGCCTCGGCGCCGCGCTCTCGGAAAGCTGCATCGCATCCTTCTTCGCCGCAATCCAATACCAAGACCCGCATCAACGCCACGAAACTGTAACGCGCATCTTCAGCATCTCCCAACGCACAGGCTGGGGCAGCGCCGAACTCATCGCCAACGGCTGCGAAACCGCCTGGGTCAAAGCCGCTTCTGCAGGTCGCGGACCTCCATATACGAGGATTTCTCGACCGCAAAATTCTACGAGCGATGATCCGAGATTAAATGGTAGTTGGGAGAAATTGGATCCTAGAGTCCCTCCTGTGGATGGAGATGAGGGAGATCGGAGATTGGTGAGGACGAAGAAGGAAGCGAGGTTGAATTGGGCGATTGGATTGTTGGGGTTGGAGGATGATGTGGAACGGGTGGGCGGCGGGGGGAGAGGTGGGGTGTGAAATGTTGAATGTTGAAAGTTGAAAGTTGAGAAGAAGTAGGTAAAGGTACCTTAAGGGTTAGATGGTGATGAGCATGAGGATGAGAATGGGTGATGACTTGATGAAGTGATGGATAACGACGATGATTTGATACTATCTACCTTACCTACAGGTATCTATTGAATACCTAGAGTAGAGTAGAGTAAAGTAGAGTAGATGTAGTTTGTAGTTTGTAGTTTATATACATGAAAAGATATATACCTGAGGTATCTACAAAAATTTCCTAAAACTTTTAGAGTTTTCTCTTCTCTTCACTTACACACCTTCTATCTCTTCTTTTTCTTTTTTCGACTTCTTTTTTTAAAAAAAACCCCCCCTCCCTCTTTGGCAACTCTCCATCTACCCATATAGCGTGCGGGCGAGCGGGTATATACCTCTCCTATCACAGTATCACAGAAAAGACGACAAATAATAACATCGAGAAAAGAAGAAGAAACCAGAAATAAAAGAAAGTAGGTAGGTAAGGCACTCCAGTATTCATTCATGTTGACTTCAGCATTCAAGTATTTTTGCTTTCTAAGCTATTGTTATTGTTATTATTATAATCATCATTTCTTGCTCTTATCTCTATATCCAAGAGAGAGAGAGAGAGAGAGAGAGAGAGAAGACTACCACTACACTACATACCTTACTACTACATCATACTACCCCATATTCCCCTTTTTTTCAAATTCCTCCATGTATACCTTACCTCTTCCCTTTCCTTCTTTCTCTTCCCTTTCTGAAGGCGAGAAGAAGTAGGGTCAGGGCGGGTGAGGATACTGCTGCGTTGTCACAGTAGTAGTAGGCAGAAGCATGTGCTACTCTTCTTCTTCTTCTTCTGTCATGGCAATAGTGTCTTCTGCTTCTTCGGCGGCGGCGGAGGAAGAGGAGCTGGGGATCCTTCTTTCTTCATCTTCTCTCTCTTCCTCCTGTAACACTACTTCAGAACGTTCGACAGCCTGCCACGCGTGCTCTTTAGTCCACTTCCCCACGGGAATGGGAGGAGTCAGATCCGATACGCCATGGACTTTCCGCGCATGACTTTGTTCCTTCCGGTGCGCGAGCGCAACGGTAAGTTCGCGCAATTCGCAATCTTCTCGGGGGGTTTTCTCTACCATGAGCTCGAGCGCCACCATGAGGTTGCTGTTGCCCGTTTGCAAAGGCCAGCCACATGTGGGATCCAGATCGTAGAGGATGAATTCGATCGTGTAGCGTTTGACATATGTGAAGCTGTCGCGCAGAGCAGTCGTGATCCATGCCATATGCTCTCCAATCTCTTGCTCGATTTCGCAATCTGCCATCCACGGTCTCCTCGCTACCGTTGCCGCCCGGGGACCATGTATCTCTAATTCACCACAAAACGCACAGCCCGACAAGAGCTGAAAATGTGCGGCCTGGATCTGGGAGGGATACTGGGTAGCGTTCAGCTCCACAGAAGTTGGGATGCGATGGTAGGTATCGCTGAACGTCCAGGTCGCTCGGGTTCGGATGCGTGCGGCATACTTTTCGCTGAACTCGTGTGATACTAGCAAGAGATCGAGGCTTGGTCCCTCGCTCACACCAAGCACGACGCCTTGCTCGCTAGGATGAACAAGGGATATGCTTTCGCTGTTTCTCCGAGATCTGAACTCGACAGTCGGACATGGGCTGTGATCTGAGCCTAGAAGCTCGTAGATTTTGTCCCGCAGCTCATCCGGGAGACTCATGAATTGAGAGGGCGGAGGCCGGGGCGGGAATGGATGGAGGATGTCTGCATCGCTCAATAAGACGTGCTCGGGTTCAGAGGGACTCGGTCTGCCGTGGGGATGGGGAGCAGCAAGTGGTGACCGGACACAGTTCGCGAAAGCTCCGTCCTGCTCATTCGTGAGATTGCCCTCGGACATCTCCAGAAATCGATAGATTGCGTCGAGATCGTACGTTGCCATGATGCTGGATGAAAAGGTAAGGTATGAGGAGGACTCTTGAAGCATTTGTCGACGCGACAAATATTAAGTACCTGTGGCCAAGATGGCAGCTCGGTACGGAACCTTGGGTCTTGGTGAATGCAAAGGCCCACTTCAGACTTCAGCTCAGCCTGAGCCACTTGACTAAAGTCTCAAGGTCTATCGATGCCGATGAAAAGTTCGTACGGTGTACCTCGCAAATGCCGCACAGTCTCCGTGCTGCCAAAGGTATTGATTGTCTTTTCCTCGAATGCATCTGGCTCAAAAGCGACCTCTCTGTATGCACGAAACATGCGCCGCCAATAGCATGCCTCCGCGGCAGGTGTGGTATACCGCTCGCGAAACGTCTTGATGGAGTTCTGAATGATCCTCTGAGTGTGTTCTGGTCGTTCCAGATGGTATTTCACCTTCTCTTCCAGATCAGACCAGTCGCGCTTCACTTGAATGTAGTTCTGGTCCGGACCGGAAGGATTCAGCAGGTGATAGAAGGAGGTTGTAAACTCCAGCTCGTGTACGATGGCTACTGTGTCGCAGTTCAGCAGATACTTCAACCGACCGGACCAACTGTGTCCTTCCGTATACACCGCAAACAGATACCGACAAAAGTCGGCAATATCAAGCCAGCCTCCTTCCACATCTGCCCACTCCTTTCCCTTGCCAGTCTCGATCAACGCCTTTCTCACTTCAGGATTGATATGTCGGTTGCCCCTCCACACAATCTTCGGAATCTTCTCCTTCACAGCACTGTCGTGTGTCATCGCACGTCTCCTCGCATCCTCATACGCACTCCCCGTAGGTTTCCACGCCCAGAAATTGAAATCCGGCATCAACCACATCCGTTCATCCTTGTCACTCGCAATCCTCCGATCAAACGTCCACACCGCATGGCTATCCCCACGCTCATCCGGCAGATGCGCATAGTCATTTACAGCAATCGCAAATTCAATGTTGGGGACCTGTTCGCCTCGAGCCGTCGCTCCCAACAACGCACGATGGATCTGACTGAGTACGAAAATCGCCCGTCGCGCATCATGGCCGTCTCTAAAATGATGTATATCTCGTGTTTCTAAGATCCGCAGTTCGTTCTCATATATCAATACGCGTAAGCCTCCCTTGCCTGTCCAGGTGATGTTCACATCTTTCGCGCTGATGGAATGATTGCGAGTATGCTTCCAGTAGGTAGCACTTCTTTCGATTTCATGGTACAGTTTCGGAAACGCGACAGTGCATTGTTCGTATGTCAAGGCGGGATTTCGAGCATCCCGAGTAGAGTTGAAGGTCCATGGGGAAGAAGGAGGAGGAGGAGATGTGGTGTTGGTTGACGGCGGGGATGAGCTCGTATCGGTTTGCTTCCGTGGGTGTGAACCTGGCCATGCCCGTTCGGGTATTATAGCGTCTCGGTTTCCCAGTAGGAGAAATAGTTGAATAATCACGACAGCTGACAACAGAGCGACGGCAAAACGCGATTGAATCAACGACACTCCCTGCATGGTATCTGTATACGTTCCAGTGTTCCACACTGAGGAGAAGGAGAAGAGGCGTCGTGCTCCGGAGTGACTCCTAAATAACAGGCCGAACTCGTCACCTACTTGGCTTCTTGGCTATACGTTTGGGCTTGGTCTGCTTGGTGCGAGGCGCGCTAGACCTAGCGGCGCCTGCACAAACGGCGCCAGGCCGCGGTTTAGCGTCCTGATACTGGGCGCCCGTGACGAGAACAAAGCATTCCATTCTGATATGAGTGCAGCATTGTCAACGATAGAAGGAAAGACTCGCATCGACACGAGCGCCCAGGAGCAGGACCCCAAGGCTTATTTGTTGCCTGTGGCGAATAGGTAGGTGGTATATAGACAAGCAACTCGAACTTGTGTGTCAGGATATGTCGTTCATCGCTCTGCATTTCCAAGCAGCCTCGGTTCAACGAAGCCCTATCATGATCATCCGGTTGTTTGATGATCCTCACTTCGGTTTCCCTAACAGCAACATCCACCGGTCGGAATGAGAGAATGCCTCGTCCAGCAAGCGATCACACGTGACAGCAGGGTGATGGCCCCAGCAGGCATCTGATGTACACCCATGAAGAGCGCTTTCTTCATGTGCCGCAGTTTCAATAGGGGTCGCGTGAATAGGAGTGAGATGGGCGAGAGAGCCGCAAACACTCATGGGCCAGCTCTTTCGTTTGACTACAGAACAAGCTCAAGCGCATTAGACTCGAGGCTCGGGCTTCGATTGCTCGACAGGAGGGGGTATTTGCGCCTGCGCTTGTACGTCCAATGTGTCCAGCTCAGCATCGCTCTCAGTCTATTTCAATTTAGCTCCCTCCGAACTGCTGGGGCCTCAAAAGTGTCAACTTACTTGGTCTTTGGGCATATATGCCAGCTCTCCCGCATCTACGTCGGCGGACAGGTTGATCTCCTTATCAGACATGGCCTCATTTCGAGCGTTCTCCCAGGTATACCAGCGTTCGGTCAGAACGAACTTGATCCTCCCCATCGTCAGTCGGATCTGTTGCCCATGAAGTCAGCTCGGCCATGTTTCACACAGCATAGTTCATCATTTGGCATACCGTCTTCGTCCGCTCATCTGACTCGTATCGGCCGTACATATTACCAACGCGCTCACGCTCGATCTGGTATGTGAGCAGTCTGTTCCGCTCTTTGATACAGGCCCACCATAATTTGTGTAGACACTCCCAATCTTTATGCCTCAGCTCGCGAATTTCCCATGCTCGACCATGAGAGCCCAGTTCCTCGGGGTTGGCCATGGACTTTTGGTCGTGAGGAAAGAACTCCCATAGCCCGTGATCATCGTCCACCTGTACGGGTGCTATCCTTTCTCTGTCCACCGGCTTGGGCAATTCGAAAGGCTTGATGGAAACCCTTTGCTTCTTCAGGCCAGTCCTTCGCAGCGCGGACACACCGCGCGCTTTGTTGCCATCCTTGCGTGCGGAATTGGTATGGGTGGTGGAGAAGGAGGATGTTTGTGCTGCGGCAAAGGCTGGTGCGAGAAAGGTTGGCGGGATCGTGGCAGCGCAGGACCGCGGCGCATTGAAGACACCGCTAAGCAGTGTTTTGCACGTGCAATGCATGGTCGCGGCGAGCTTGTCGGCGAGTACCTGTGGAGATGTGTAGGGACGACGGGGTGAAGATGGCTGTGATCATGTTCATGGGGGACAAATGCTCTGAGCGGAGCTCTCGGGAGTCCGCTCCCGTCTCCGCAACTCCACTCCCGACTTTCTTCACTACCTTACCTTACCTTACCTCCTACTTCCTGCATGTATCCTACAATACCCAAAACTTCCCTTCGCATATTGTTCAGGATATGCATCACCACATTTGAGCCCACGCACAGCCAAACATGCCCATTCTTGCGACAGCTTGCCAGGACTACACTACGAATTGCTCCATTCGGCGAATATCCAAATGACCGTCCTTGGCGATGTTTCCCAGCCTGCTATGAGGTACCTACTGGATGGACTGTTACTATGGCATATGGCACGGTATCGCCAGGTCTTGCTCGAGTTCCGTCGGCAGTGAGTAGGTGACACTGTCGATATAGACTCGTATCGAGCACAGCCAGCACCTCACTCGCGAGCCCCGTGCTTGCACAGTGCCACAGTGGCGTAAACCCATCAGCCATGGACATTGCTCACAAAGCAAGCAAAGCCTCCAGCTAGATACGGAGGTACTGTAGGTTTCATTCGCAGGCAACGAATGTGACCACTTCCAACCTGTGGCCTGCTTACTTTCCTTGTCCACGGCAGCACAACAGTTGAAAAAAGTAGCATGCGACACCCCATAATTCAAGCCTGACCTTCCATCAGCTGACGGGGGACATCTATGATCTATTTCCCCGACGCCTGCTCTGCTCTCACCTACGGCCGGCCCTACGCCTGGACAGCCTTTTGGCACATCCCAAATGCCAGCAAAGACGAAAGACGGCAGATAGCGAACTCGTCATGCTGTCCAATCAGAATGTGCCATTCTTCCTTGCCGCGCCTCCCGCCTAGCTCTGGACTACCACTCGGATGTGGGCGTGGGCCGCATGGGCAGGGCAGAGCACGTAACCTAAAGCGCTATGGTAGGCTAGCTTCCCCGATGATCGATAAGCGCCTCGCAACTCCTACGGGCTCGTTCGTCGACTTTTGATTAAATCAATACAAGCTCTCCACCGGGAGTGACAACGTGGCTCGCGTGCGATAGGATATCCTCCGCCGTCATTCGACTCGTACGCTCTCATTTTCCACTGCCGTACTCGCCCAACAGACCCACCGCCTCCCTTGCAACTTTTGCTGCTGACGACTTGAACGACCCGACCGACGAAAGGTGTGTCGCTCATAGGGTTTAGCGCGTCCGGAATGTGCCTGGCGATAGCCGCCTACCGCCTTCTGTAGGAGCCACTGCAAGTGTTACTATTTGAGCCAACCACATGTGAATCTGCCGAAGCAAAAGCCGAGCATCCGTTAACCGACCCAAAAAGTATAATAGACTAATGGGCCATAGGTTGTATTCCATCGCCAGATCGAGGATGACATCGCCAGATCGTACCAAATCCTTGCAAACTCTCATCACGGCGCCGAATTCTTTTTCTGTTTTTTCTCTAGGCATCCATAGATAGATAAGAAATGCATCTTTCCACCGACACATCCGAGGCGGAGACTGTGCCAGCTCATCAGCGACAATGAGTGTACAGCTACCGGTAGTAGTGCCTTACCGTATTGATGAAGCATTTCCGCTTCTATTGCGATAGGATACCTATCATTTCTAGACAGAAGACCGTTTCAATGCTCCTATCCGCTTTTCTTCTCTCGGCAGGTAGGTATTCCTCTCCAAAAATGAAAATAGAATGAAGTAAAAAGCAATAATAACCTTGTTCATCCTCGTATAGCCTTGTACAAAAGAAGCATCTCGCATTTTCGTATTCACCCTCACTCACTCTCTCTCTCGTCTTGCATAACCACCACCACCGGTACCGAGAAGAAGTACCCTAGTGTATCTCGATTCTCGACAAAGTAGGTTAAACAGTACATATACCTCTCCCCCCTACCCTACATGTACCTTTCGATAAATCCCCCAAGTCACGTCACGTCATGTCAAAAAAGAGGTTGGTTCTAGAACATCATTCCTCCTACCTGACCTGTAACCTACCTGACCTGTACCTTACCTGTACGACTAGGTTTGATATACTGTAGACACATGTCGAATATGTACAATGTATATGTCTAACTAGGTAGCGGGGCAGAGGGGGGGAAATTCGGGCTTGTCATCAACCACAAATTCTAGCTTTAGGGCTTACTTTTCATTCCCTTCTAGCCCGGTTCTGTTGCATCCCAATTGAAAAAGAAAAAGAAAAAAATGTCTCGGAACGAGCGAGGGAAAGACTCTCTTGGAGGTAGGTAGGTAGGTAGGTAGGTAAGGTATGCGGAGGTATCTGTCTATCCAACTAAAATACAAAACAAAACAAAACGAAACAAACAAACAGGAAGGAAAAATAACAATTTCATTAAAAAAAAAAAGACGTGCAGTAAACACCCCTATCCATCTTTACACTTTATTTTACCAAATTTCTTTTTTCCATTTCTTTTCCATGTCTTTTGAATTCAATTATCCAAAACCTACCCTACCTTCTCTACCTTGCCTACCTTCCCTACCTTGCCTACCTTCCCTTCCCTACCTAGTAACCTGAGACCTAACCTGACCTAACCTGACCTGACCTCACGACATACATACATGACCTGACAACATGCAAAGGTGGTGACATTCTTGCATATGCAAATGCACGCAAGGTGTGTGGAAAAAACAAGAAAAATTGAAGAAAAAGAAGAAATGGATCCTTGAAGAAAGAAGGAAATCATGGAATAGAAAAAAAAGGAGCATCAGCAGGTGATTTTCGGTTCGGGGTTTCGGAGACTTGTCCGCCTCCGCATCCGCCTCCGACTCCGCCTCCGACACTTGCTTGACGCTGACACTGATAATGCCCTCTTTTAATTTTTCCGCCAGAGTGGGTGGGAGGATGAAGTTACATGTACATGAATGTACCTCAGGTACCTACATATACCAACTGACTTTCTATACAACTGACTTTCTTGTGACGAGTCGTTGCTCGCAGTGTTGATTTGATGGATCGATAATCGATTGATGGATTCATCCATTCCAAGGCACGTGCCGTAGGTACCTACCTATCAGCGGCATTTGATCCATGACTCCTTACCCCTCCTCATCCCCCTCCTCCTCATTCTTGACTCCTTTTCCTCGATACACTCTCCTCCTCCTCCTCCGCCTCCGCCTCCTGCTCCTCATCTTCCTCAAGGAGACGAGAAATGTGGTCCACGCGCCACCTAGCCACCTCCATCCATCATCCGCCTTCCCAATCCTCATCATATCATCCTTCTATTCCAACCTTCGAGCTGTCGCTCAGTTAGGTAGTCAGATAGTCAGTCAATGAGTCAGTTAGAATCCTCCAATCTTCATTTTCCTGTCAACAGAATGATCCCAAATCTTCGTTCTCTTACCGAGTCCAAATCTCACAATCTTTTCCGAAAGAAAAATAAAAAAGGAGCACAACAGGCAGATTTCCGTTCATGTTTCAAATTATTATTCTAGTCCTTCTTTCTTTCTTTCCTCGTCTCTCCTGCCTTCCTTCCTGCCTCCTTGCCTTGAAATGCCCCCCAAAGCCTACTGCAGACGGATATATTGCCCTGGTGGGAAAAATCTATTGCAAGCGAAACACGGTGGTGAGGACGGTGGTGGTGGTAGTAATGGTGGGGGTGGTGGTGGCGGCGGCGGCAGTGGTGGTGATGGTGGTGGTGGTGGTGGTGGTGGTGGTGGTGGTGATGGGTCTTGGTCGTCTCGCATCGCGTCGTATCGCATTGTATCGTGTCGTATCCAACCAGACAGCCAGGCCAAACAAACCAAGCAAGGCGCCTATTTTTCAGGACCCCTGAGGTCGGCCCTGCTGCTCTTGTTGCTGCTACTGTTGCTGGTGGTGGAAGCCATAACGGCCTCGAGCACCACCAGGACGAGACGGGCCAGCTTGTGGCGGCGGCGACAACGAGGACGACGACCGGACGTTGCTCTGCTCGAGCACTTGCGGGTCGATGTTGTCGAAGTGTTGTGGCTCTGGTGGCCAACCGGAGCCACTTGCTTCTCCCCATGCACCCGCGCCGCCCGGTGGCTGGTACTCCCACAGAGCTTGAGACTCTTCCAGGGTCATTGGAACGTCTGGAACGTCGGCGTTCTCTATTGAAGGTGGTGGTTGGTAACTCCACTGCGCCTGAGCCTCTGGCTGCGCTGTCGTCATTGCGTGAGCACCAGGGAGCGGCGCTGGTGCGGCCAACTGCTGGGTGGTGGCATTCTCTGCTGTGGATGCCGCCTGGCCTATATAGAACGGCTGGCCACCTGTACGCTCTGTGTTCATGAGGTTGAGGAGCCGTGATCTCTGCAGTGTGAGCATGGGGTCTTCGTCGCCATCTTCCGTCTGGGCCGCTCCGTCGGTGGTCTCCCTGGGCTCTCGGGGCTCTCTCGGTGGCGGGAATCGATCCTTGATGCGCCGGTACTCGTCCTCGAACGCGGACCCGACTCGTAGACGAGCAAGTGACTCTGCCGCTTCGTGGTCCGGCGCCATAATCATGTACCTCAAGAGGCCCTTGCATTGATCGAGCTGCAGTGTGCGCTCCGCAAGTTCATCCTTCTGATATTGACGCTTTGTCATGCCTTCGGCGACGTCAAACTCGCATGGCACATCCCTTTGCTCGCAACGCTGGCATCTAGGATGTTCACCCGTGCACTGTGCAGGATGGGAGGTCAGCGCCGTCCATTAGAATGATAGCTCGTAGTCGTGAGACGAGGGACGCCGAACCTTCACTTTCGAATTTCTGCAATTGATGCATGCGCTTGGTACTTGGATGCGTTTCTCCTTGTGGGCCTTGCCCTTCCCTTCTCCCATCTTGGACATTAGCGTGGCGGCGGGCGTGTATAGCTGACCATCCAGGCTGACTCTGCCGCTGCAAGGGGTTGTTTGTTTCGTACAGCCAAGCAAGGGATTGTTGTGGCACCAGCGGCGATGAGTAGAGGTCGTTCTGCGGATGGTGAGGGACTGGGTGTTGTTGTCACGCAACGAGTGGATCAGTAGCTAGCTGGTCGAGTGGTGTTGGTGCCTTGCCGCGCTGCTTCGGCAGAGAGGTCGTTGTTGTTGTTGTTGTTATTGCTGTCGTCGTCGTCGTTGTCGTTGCTGTGACAGACAGTGACTGGAAGAGGTTCCGAAGGTCTGGGAGCACTGCTCCGGAGCAAACTGTTCTGCCCAGTGGTGGGTAATGTAGTACAGCACACGTCTGTACTTTACCTACCGCACAGCTAAAGCTAGGTCGCTTCTACCGGTGTGACAGAGAGATGCCGTAGTTCGGCCATCATCCAGCGTCACGGTGACAGTAGGAGGAAGTAGTGAGCAAAGAAATCAGTTACTGGATCGTGCTGTCTGGCTGTTAAGTTGCCACTGGGGAGGCACAGCAGCACTCACTTGTTGTCGTTGATGAGCGCTAGGTGGGTTAGGCCTACAACGAACGAATCCTTCGACCGGGAGGCATCACGATCACCAAGCTCTCCCGTGACCACGGTCACCAATTCGCGCGCGGTGCGTGCGATTGGAGAGAAATGTCCACATGGCGTCCGAGTGGTGGCCTGCCGATGCGCGGATCACTGGCAGAGGGCAGACGGCCGAGCTCCATTGCTTCGAAAGTTATGTCGCGCGCCCAAGCAAGCGTGCAAACAAGCTATGCAGGTGCCGGGGCTGGGGCTGGGAACCAAACCCAGACTAATGACAGAGCAGCAGCGGCCGTTCATCTGACGGTGTCCTCGATCGGATCTGCGATGAGCCTCGAAGGACTCTGCACTCTGCAGCACTGCAGCCCCTTCCGACAGCCTGACCAGCCCAGTCGACCCTCCCGACGCCATGATCCAGTTCATCGTCGTGGCCCAGTATCGATTATCGAAGACCATCGAAAGGACCGGCAACCCGCTTCCACGCCGCCATGCCCTTGCTCCACCCTGCCTGCTAGACTCGTGCGCCGCGGCACCGGGCATCAGTCAACACCCACTGATATGAAGACAGATGTGTGGCGCATCACTGGCACGTCCTTGCTCCGCCACCGTCTTGGGTTACAGTTGATTTCACGGCAGCAGAGCTACAGACTAGGAGCGGCCTACTACACGCATACCAGGTCCGTACGATCGACGCCCAGACTTGCCTCTACGGTTCGGACATTGCCCCGAAAATCCTACACCACCTCCAGACGTCGCCCATGCGACTCTGTGAGACTCCCAAAGCGCCTGACCAAGAGCCCGAGAGACCTCCATGTCTGACGCTTGCATGGTCACCATCTGCTCGATCACAAAGTCCCGCGACTGGACCGGCGAGGCCACGACAGGCGAGTCAAGAATCGAGCCAGAGACTGATCGGCACGCGCTAGGACAGCACAGGAGCATCAGATGCCTCGAAAGACAGGTGGGAGAGAGCTCAAGAGATTGTCCCAGCGGCCATTGACGAGTTCTGCTTTGCGGTGAAGAGGCGGTGGCTATATATATAAACGTGTGGCTGAACTGGCGACCAGTCCATCGGTGATGACGAGTCTCGCTGAGCCGTCCATGAAAAAAATCGGTATACTACTTGACCCAGGATGGGCAGGCAGGCCACTGCTCCTTGCTTTCCGCGCTCAACAGTTCTGCCCGCGGAATTTCCTTTGGGATGCATGCTTGTTCGCGGCCACAAGTCTCGGTGTACGCGCGCAGTGACGGGGAACTGCATCTGCCAGGTTGAGGCAGCCTTGATGCACCCAGGCAGTGTTGCATATGCCGTCAAGATCGCCAGAACAGTCGGGGATCGGGAGGCGCTCGTTTGGGAGATTTGTGGGGCAGTACAAGTACATGTAAAGAGTGGGCACAGAAGGCACGCACAAGTATATGTTATTGGCAAGCAGTCGCATATTCGCAGCGCATAAGTCCAGAGTCGCAGGACTATCCGACTTGTCGCCAGATTATGGAAGGCCAGGCATAGGCATACCAGCCGCTCCATTCCCACTTCGCATGATGACGACCCGGTCGCCATCGACGACCATGACGAGGATGTGTGCATGCATCGAACTGAATGCTCCTCGCACGCCGTACGAGCCGTAAAGATGCAAATACTCCATGCTTCGACACGTCGTCGTCGCGGGACCAGCAGCATATGGCGGTCTCGACCAAAGCTGCGACTTTTTCACTCGAGCCATTGCTTGTTGGATCCCCGGAAGCAGGACTCTTCGAATATTTGCAGCAGCAGCAGACAGTGCTGTCCCATGTATGGCGTTTGGCTTGTGCGATCAACATTCGCCTTGAAAGGATTCGTCGTGGAGGTCGTGTTCATGTAAGATTAAAGCTGCTCCACAGCCGCATTGGCGAACAGGGTCCATTCAGTGGCGGGGCGGACCACGCTGTGACAGGACTGACTTACGACTTCGGGAGGGACAGGTATGCGCCACATGACATGAAGTCTGGCTGGTCCTCACGGCGGTACAGTGCTTGACATGGCCTGGATATGGTCTGGACATGGATCCGACGGCCCAGCAAGTGGTCGAAAGTGTGGTCCATGAGGGAAAACCATCTCGAACTGTTTTGCCGACGCATTGCATGCAACATTCCCCAACAGGCCTGTGCACCTTGTCCCGACTAAGCAGGATAGACTCTCTCAGAGATTCCGAACCATTCACCTCGCTCGCGGCACGACAGAGAAGTTCTTGAACGGTGGCTGTATCAGCAGGCTGCTTGCACACTGCTGAGCACCAGACCGAAATAGTGCATACATGTGCAGCCCCGCCGAAGCTGCTGTTTAGTTGGACTATCTACCTAGGTAGATTCCTTCTTCCTTTTCCAGATTGAATGGCGGGAGCGATTTGCTGTCGCTGGGGCCAACCAGAGGAAGGAGCCACCTCCAGGTGCACTGGTATCTCCGAGACTGCGAGAGCAGAACTTCGCTGAATGTCCTAGTTGCCAGGCAGACCATGCATGGAAAAGGTACGACTTTAGCGCGTGATGTTCGTCCCGGCTTGTTACTCCCAGGCTAGGTCGGTGGTCCTCGTGTAGCGGGCGAGCGGACGGACGAGTGAGTGCTGGATGGTCGGCAGCACGACAACGCAGTCGATGGCCAGCCATGGTGGTCGACAAGGGCAGTGGCAGTGGCAGTGGCAGTGGCAGTGGCAGTGGCAGAGGACATGGTCCCTCGTGCGTGGTCTCGCCGGCGTCTCAGCGATGCCCGTCTCATGCTGTGTTGTCTCGTGTCGTGCTCGTGTGGTGGGAGGGTGCCCGTCACGGCGTCGTGGTAGTGGTTGGTGGTGGTGGTGGTGGAGGTGGTGATGATGGTGGTGGTGGAATATACGGTCGGTAAGTAGTCCCAGGTGGAGGAACAAACGGACAGGTGAGGTCCATATCAGGCAGGAGTAAGGTACCTTAAGCTACCTAACCTGAGCGTACGGGATGGGGATGCCTTCTTGCCTCGCATGCGGTTGTCGCACACGGCGCTGACACCGGTAGCGCCTTCTAGATGGAAGCTCTCGTCGGCTACACGCACCCGTACTCGTACCCAGACGGCAGCCAGCCTGATTTTTGGGAGCCGACATCCCCTTGGCAAATGGATATGGCCCTATCATCCCGGCTAATTGTGGTTCTGCTAAGAGTCAGGTAGGTAAGGCAGCTCTACTACCTTATCCACATCGATGGAGTCACGCCCGGCTACCGACGGACGGCCACGCACCGCCTGCAAACGCTATCTTCGACACCGCACGCACCCTGCTCATCATGATGGACCTGTACCCGCCCTGACGGCCTGCCATATGCACATCAAGCCCGCCAGCCATGCATCAATGCATCAAGGCAGGACGCATGCGGGACTGACTTGACAGACGCCCCCCCTCGTCCCCTCTCGCTACCACCGCTGGGCAACGCCAGACCACGAACAGCATCGCCGCTCTTGATCGTCCCCGAGCCGTCCAGAGCAGCACATGGAGCAGGCTATCAACGGAGACGATTGCCGTCAACAGCCCGAGTAGACGCTCAGGGGAAGTGAGATTGTCCACAGAGACGAGCCTGCGCACAGTGTCGACCTTCGGACGAGCTCGTCCGGCTGGCTTGCACTTGACAGAGCGTCACGTTCATCCATGGCATTATGGGTGGCTTGCGCGCGCGCGAGCGCGTTATGTATCAGTGCGAAGCGCTTGGAGCACTGACCTGGGGAACGTAGCACGACACACGACCGCTACTGGGCAACGCCAGGCCGCCAAAATCCTCCGAGCACTTCCGGGTCATGCGTATGAGCGACCGCTCCGCGTGGCCTAGTGATAGGGAGATGACAATCTGTGCGCGGTGTCAGAGTATGTGGAGATACCAAGGAGCCTAGGGCGGGACTTGCTGCGCGCAGCGACCGCATGAATGCCGCTGGGGGTACTCTTAGACAGCACACGGCCAGCGCTCTCGAAATGGCACGACCTCGATCTTAGTGTCTGTAGCTACTGCAATGCCTCGCGGGCTCCCAGCGGGGCTTGCAGGAGCAGGCACGGGACGAGTCCTCGGCGTACACAACGCTCTGGCACGCGCTCGAAGTGCTCGTGCCTTTCGGCCATCACCTCTATGCCACGGGATAAGTCGAAGCGGTATGGCGACCCTTGAAGGAGTACACACACAGGTAGGACGTTGTTGTCAGGGGGCGGCAGGGAACGAGACACACTGCTGCTGGACGCTATGTTGTCGTTGGATGATGGTAAAGATGATTTGGGAAAGTCTTGCTCATCACGAGACGACATGGAATGCTTCACACTAACAAGAGACGTGCGCCTGTGGTATGTGTGGTATGTAGGTAGTGCTGCAAGCCTGCAACATCGCCGGTAAAGCTTTCTCCATCTGCCTGCGCGCTTAGATGGTTGTACCACCGTACCTCCCACGTTCTCAGAAATCTGTTGTGACACAATTCTCCCCCAAGCGAACATGGAGGCTCCATTCTGAAAATGTGAGGAAAAATAAGGTCATTGTCGCAAAATTTGTGCTTTCTACCTACCTACCTACCTACCTGAACTTACTACTGAATACGAGAAATAGACTGAAAGAAGAAGAAGAAGCAAGAGGAGGTCCATCCACAATGCCATATATGCCATGCCATTATGTACGTACCTAGGTAGTATGTATCTTAGTTGCGAAAGGGAAAAAAAGTCATGATAGTGACCAACCACATGCATACATTACCTAGATTCCTGCACATCCATGCATACAGGTACCTTGAGGTAAGACAAGCCAGGTCAGTCAGATAGGTAGGTACCTAAAGCCTACAAGTACCTTACCTTACCTTAGGTACCTTACCTACTATTACGAAAATATATCCCATTCCATCCCTATCCCATCCAACCCACACACACACCTCTAGGTACTCGCAGCAATTCTACCAATAACTCGCCCACCGACTAGTCCCCTTAACAACCTCAACAAACTCTCTCGCAATCACGCGATCCGTCTGCTCACTCGGATGCAAAGCATCAAACCACAAAAAGCTATCCGGACTAGAACTTGTCTGACAATTTCCTCCAGTGGCGTTGCAATGGCGATTATAACCTTGAACATCGAGGGGAGCGGTGGTGCCGTTGAGGTAAGAGGTTGGATTATGATAGATGTCGGAGATCTGTATAGGTTTGTATGTTAGTTGAGATGATGACGTTGGATATGGGTGGGTAGGTAGCCAATAGATATGGAAGAAGTAGGGAAAAAAGACTCACCAACCCATAAATATCCATAACAGCAAACTTCCCCTCCTCCAACCCCCTCCCCTTCTCTCCCTTCTTCTTCACCCCTCCCATCTCCAACTCCCAAATCCGATTCACCAACCCCACCTCCTCTCCCAACCTCCCAGCAACCCTCGTCAAATTCTCCGGCGAACCCGCCCACTCTCTCTCCAACCCATCATCGACAAGTCCACTCTCCCTGGTCGCAGAATACAACGGAGCCAACTGCAAAGGAGCAACATTCATCAAAACGAAATATCTCGCACCGGCACGATAGTATAGCTGATGGAAAATTTCCAGCACACAATTCGTGTAGTCGACGATAGTTTTGCCGGGGACTTGGGAGTCGGTGAGAAAGGCGTTGGCGCCGAGGTCGTTGGTTCCGATCCAGAGGGCGTAGATGGTGGAGGTTGGGTCGATGGTCGTGGTGTGGAGGTGATCGGTGAGGAAAGCGGGGAGTTCGTATTCTTGGACAGAAGGGTAGAGGATGGTTTTGTTGAGAGGGACGGTGACGGATCGTGGGGTGAGGGTGTTGGAGCATACGGCGCCTGAGACGGCGTAGTTGTAGAGATTGATGCCATTGGGGTTGGAGGGGGAGTTGCTGGCCGTGTATTGTTTGACGTATTGAGGCCAAGGTCTTCCGCCGCTTGCGGAGTGGTAATTCTGTTGGGTTGAGAAAAGATATATCACAAAAGAAGTAAGTAAGTGAGACATGTGACAATCACACTACAGATACACAAGATGCTCTTCTTTTCCTCATTTCTTTCCTCTCTTATTTCTCCCGCAACAAAACCAAAAAGATACCACCAGGTACATGTACCTGTAACATGTACCTATAGGTACCTCAACCCGTAAGAAAATTAAAACTCACCCCTGGGTTCTCAAAGCCCACAGGAGGCATTGACCCATTATGCGAACCAATATATCCCCATCGAGAATCATCCGTATAGCTATCACCAAAAGTCACCAACGAGGTGAAATTGTGGAAATCCCAACATGATGAAGGCTGGCTTGAAGGTGGTGGTGATGCGGAGGCGGCAGCAGCAGCAGTACGAGCAAGAAGAGGACAAGAACCTAGCAAAAAGAGTGTAAGAGGAGTAAGCATCTTCGTGGTACGAATAGTGCGGTAGTTGTTGTTAAACCACTAAGCTGCGATGGACAAGTAGATAGACTTGATCGTTACCTTGGGGAGCTTCTTGAGGCCGACATTGGTCTGGGTGAGGGAGCGGACGGAATGATTTAATATAGTAGTAGTTCCAGTGGTAAAAGGATGCCGGCTATGTGTTTGAATTGGGCACGGTTACAAGGTCGAATGATAGACCGAAAGACTTCTGCCGCTCCGCCCCGTCTGCCCCAGCCTTCATCTCATCATCGTGTTACTCGTGTGTTGTTCCCTTCTGACTAAAAACTTACGGATTTAATCTCAATGTCGGGGATGCTTGCGTGCGGGAAAAGCGGGGTGACCCCAATAAGATTCAGCCGGAACTTGAAGTACACCGCATGTATGTTTCCCAGAACCTCCTATGACGAGTGGTAATGCTACTTCTTCCTGTGTTCTTCCTGTGTTCTTTTTGTGTTCTTCTTGTGTTCTTCTTGTGTTCTTTTTCTTCTTCATAACTCATACAATCGTCAAGGAAAAATCAACAATTACCATGCTCTGTCGTTTTCGCGGTATTTCATCACTCCTCGGCCTTTGAACTTTACTGGCGTATCGGGTTGACCACTGTCATAGCCTCCACCTCCCAGTCGGCCATCGTGGTCTAATCTGCCAGTGTCAGGATGATGGTCTCGCGACGGGCGATAGCGATTGTTGTCCCGTCTTCCAGCATGCCTTTGATCGTCGCGTCGTGGACTGGGACGATATCGATCAGTATCGCCGTTTCTGTCCCGATATTGGTTGGGAAGACTTCTCCGTCTGCGCTCCGTGTCGTCTGCATGCTCTTCACGCCTGTCCATGTGTCGAGAGGGTGATGGGCTGCGCTTCCGCTTGTGCAGCGTCGTCGCAGAAGTGTCTGAGCTCTCGTCCTCTTCTTCAATTGCCTTGGAAGCAGATTGCGAATTCGAGCGCGCCCTCGGCCTGCCCCGCAGACCTTCGTCAATCACGCTGTCGCTCTGTCGTCTGCTCCGCCGACCTGTCCGTGGAGGAGTGGTGCCAGTGTCCATCTCATCATCCGAGATATCGCTCTTTCGTCTCCGGCCCCGGTCATCGCCGGGGGACTCTAGTGCCTGAATGTCTCGCACTGAATCATGCTTGTGCTTCTGCTTCTGCTTCTTCTCCAGCTCCCCACATCTGGATACCAGAACAGGCTCTGTTGGCATGTCGTTCTTGTCGACTGCGACCTTGGCTATCCGCTCTAGCGTCTCTTCGCCGGAAACCAGTCGTCCAAAGATTGTGTGTTTTCCAGACAAATGCGGGCATGGCTCTAGCGTGATGAAGAATCTAAGAAGATTCCAGTCAGCATCCTCTTCTACAGCCTCATTCTTCAAGCACATGGGCAAATACTTACTGACTGCCATTGGTATCTCTCCCTCGATTTGCCGAGCAGACCAAGCCAGCGGCGTCCATTTCTCGCCAGTCAAGGTACTCATCTTCGAACGCTCCGCCATAGATGCTCGTGATACCAGTTCCATCGCCTTTGGCAATGTCTCCGCCCTGCACCATGAACTCATCAATGACGCGGTGGAATGGAACCTTGGCGTATGACAGTTCGTCATGTTCGCCAGTGCACAACTGTCGAAAGCTGTCACCGAGTCAGTCAGTACCGCTATGTATGTGTTTTGTGGTGACTCGAGATGCAAGGGCACGTGCTCACTTCTCACAAGTCTTCGGTGTATAATCCGAGAAAAGTTCAATAGTGAGTCGACCAGCAGGCTCCTCGCCGATGCTGATGTCCAGGAAGACTCGGGGCCTGTTAGTGGCAGCGGCCATAATGGTAGTTGTTGGAAGTCGACTCCTCCCTCGTAGCGAGACAAGCGATGGAGTTCAGGAGGCTGAGAGCGAAGAAGAAGCAGAAGAGAGTGGAGAGTGGAAGAAGGTCTGTGTGTGAAAGTGAAAGAGTGAGCTCATGCAGGAAGATGACGCTAGAAGTGTCAGCGTAAACCTGGGGTGCAGCTGTAGCCGAACTGTCTTTTTTTCTCTTTTTACGCAACTGGACCAGGACAAGTCACATGTAAGTGTCTACTGTCTAGGTACTGTAGGTACCTGAGGTTGACGTGTGTTGACTTGCATAGAACTACTGTACATCTATGTTTCGGCAGATGGCAGCTCTCCGACTCGCCCTCGCCGTCCCCCCTTTTTGCCGTCGACAGTGAGGTAGGTCTCTTTGATATTTATGGCTCCGGCAGGTTCAGGAGACGATAGCTACATATCTGACCTGACCTTACCTGACTTTACTACAACGTTCTTCGACTCGAAACCGGGAGCATGATGTCAGGAGACCTCCTCACGCGACTCGTTTGGAGGAGAAGCCGGATAGAGACAACATTCACGTAGAGACTAGAGAGTACATGCTGCCTACATCGAGTCATCGGCATCGGATAGTTCTACAGCTAATGTACCTACATGTACCTGTTGGTTCTACAGGGTTTGGCTGGCCTGGAAGTTCCATGCGAAATCCAACCCTTCTCCACGCCCAGATCTACAGTAGTTCTTATAGGCTGGACCGGAAACCTGGATGACTGTATTGTATGACTGTACTACTTGCATCTTTGTTGGGGGGAACCTATAATGGATGTATACATGTCGTGGGAAATCTTCTATTTTCCAGCAGCAGCAGCAGCAGCACGGCTACTACCCACCTGTACCTCTCCTTCAATCCTTATTCCCCTGCTTCCGGCAGCAGAGGAACACACAACATCATCAACGGAATCCCCCAACCCACACCACTCCTCACTCCCCACGGCCCTCCCCAGACCTTCTTCTCCGCCACAACATCCCACTGCAGCGCCTCTTCCACCCTCCGCCGTTGCACCTCCACCGGAGCAGCCTGTTTCACCACGACACCAATACTCTCGTCATGGTGCTGTCGGCGGTGACGGCGGTGGTGTTGGTTATGCCGATCCGCACCTGAAGCCCGATAATCCACCACACTCAAAATCGGACAGACAGTCACTCCGCCACGTGTCGAATGCGTCTCTCCCAGTTTTAAAAAAGCAGAAAGTTCTGCTCGATGTAGAGCTGTGGGCGTACTCGAAAAGTACTGGGAATATTCTTGCCATCCATCGAGCCAGACGTGAAGACGAATGGTCTTGAGTTTGGGGAAAATGCGTTGTGCTATCGTGATCAATTCGGGTAGGATGCTTGATGGAGAGATGAGGGAATCATCATCTCCTTTTTGATTATCTTTCGGTTCATCTCCATCTCCTTCAGACATCAAGTCCGAAAAACAACTTTTCACATGCTGGAGTTCCAAAACTCGCAAATGACTGACGAGTGCAGGGGAAAGTCCAGCTTGAATAGCAGTGAGCTGAGAGAAAAAGTGGCGCGGGTGATACTTTTTTCCGAATCCAAAAGTAATAGAGAGCATCTGCTGATGTTCCGTCGCACATGCCAGGTTGGTGAGTTCGTAATGGAATTGTCGACAGAGAAGTAGGGGAGAAGAGATGTCGGAATAGCTGATGAGGTAGATTTCGTGGTTGGGAATGTGGCGGAGTTGATGGGGTCGTCTTTGATTACTGCTCTCGGAGGGGGAGGAAGAGGAGTGGTTGTCCCGGAGGAGGATGTAATGGTATACATGATCGCGAAGTTCTCGTGGTAATTTGCAGAGGATGCACGGCACATCAGGACGGACGTGTTTGTGAGAGAGCATCGTATCGATAAGGTAGTGATGAGATGCGAAAGGAGGACGTAGGTAAGGTAGGTCTGAGAGGCTGTTTGATTCCGCCACCAACGTAGACAGACTCTTACAGAATGAACGACTGTCGTACTCGGATCAATGGGCAAAAGGGTGGTACTAGGAGGTATATGCTTGGCGGACATTCAGGATTCAAGTGCTCGAGGAGTCGAGGCCTGCTAGAGTCCAGACGTTGAGCCATTGATATATGCCGATGACCTGCAGTGCACCATAAGCCCAATGGAGTAGAGTTCAGGCGCAGCAACCGCCAGAAACTCGCTGTCTACCAGGCCACCACATCTTGCATAACATATACGCGGAGGTCCGGCTGCTGTGGTATACACTTGTGCTACGTGACAAGTTTCCATGATGTGGCATGGACCACGCCGGAAAAAAAAAAGGTGCAGCCAGCCGCTCGGGTCAATTATACGCAGATTTGCCTCGCTATCAATCACATCAACGACACTGCTAGTGACACGCCGGGACACTCACCAGCTCCGCGGCAAGTAAGACCGCTCTGACAGGCAACAAGTCATCTGAGTTCATGCAATGTTATCGTGATCTGCACACCAAACTTTTCTACAGACGACAACGATTTCAGCCAATCTCCCCCACGATCTGTTTTGCTTGACCTGTCAATCAAAAAACCGTTTGAAAGAAAGCCAGCCTGGGTGTCCTGCCGCATGCTCTTTAGATGTAACGCTCAAAATCTCGCTGTTCAAAACCATGCTCCATCTACTGAGCACCACTCCTTGTAGTTCTCTTGTTGACTTCGGCCTGCGCCTTATCCGCACCAGATGCAACAGCATCGGCAACATCATTCTTCGTCTTCTGTGCGGCGTCCTTGGCCTGGTTGGCCTTTGCCTTGATCTGCTCCTTGCTTGGGGCGGCAGAACCACCGAGGCCGAAGAGGAGGACGAGGAGGGTAACGAGGGTGACACCGATGGCGCCAGACACCTCTGGGACGAACGTAATAGCCTCCATTGGGCTCTTCTGGAACAGCTCAATGAACAGAGCAGTCTTCTCCTTGACGAAGAGGACTGGGTCCTCGAGGAAGACGAGGTCGGATGGGGACTTCTTGTCGTCAGCGGCTGGCTTAGCAGCCTTCTCGGCGGCCTCCTCGTTGGGCTTCTTGATGTCGAAGGTCTCCTTCTGGAAAGTCTTGGCTTGTGCCTCGTCGTGTCCGATGTAGATGTTGTCGAAGAGGATGTTCTCGTTCATTGACCAAAGCTCGAAACCAATCTGATTATATGTTAGCACACATGCAATGCAAGCAGCAGACCTCAATACGTACAGCTCCAATGGGCTCAAAGTTAGCTGGGGTCTTGTCCTCGAAGTAATCTGGGTTTGCAATCTTGCGTGGCTTCCACACTCCCTTGTACAGTGGGTTGTCAATGAGAGGAGCAGACCACTTGCCCTTGTAGGCAGGGTTCTTGATCATTGGCTTCTCCCATGGGCCACATCCAGAGACTTCCTCACACTTGGGGTTAGAGATTTGTGGTGCGATCCAATCGCCGTCCTCCTCGTCATCCCAATCTTCTGGCTTGGTGGCCTCTGGGTCTGGGATGGTCAATGGCTCGCTCTCCAACCAGTCTTCTGGCTTCTCGGCGGACTCGTCAATGATCTCGTATGGAGCATCCTCATCCCAGTCTTCCGGTTTGGAGGCTTCTGGGTCCACAATCTTGGCCTCGTCGACCCAAGTCTCAGGCTTCTTGTCGTCCTTGTCATCGATCTCGGTAGGTGGGTTGACGGCCGGGGTGAAGTCCTCGAGGAGAGTGCCGTTCTTGGAAGACTCGCCGTTAATCAGAACCTCGAAGGACTGGTCTGGGCGAACAATAAGAGTGTACAAGTTGGTGAGCTTGTTGATCTTGGCCGGTGGGGCTGCGTTCATGTGCTTCTCCTCGTACTCGCCAGTCTTGGGGTTCTTGTGTTGGAAGATGAAGTGAACCTTGTTGGTGGCGCCACACTTGTCAGGACCGAACATGATCACGTATGGCGAGGCATTGGAGAACTCGTCCTGGGACAGAGCGGCGTTCTCGCGGAGGAGCTTCAAATAAGCACCACCACACTCGAGGTGGTTCTGAAGCTTGACTTCATACTGAACCACGAGCGTCTTGTCCTTGTTGTCAATGGGTGCGTCGAACTTGGCGGAGATGGCGTGGTGAGCAGCCTTGTCCTTGAGCACAAGACCCTTATCACCCTGGAGGCCTTTGAAGACGGTGGGCTCCTCGACCTCCCAGTTGCCAACGTACTGCCACTCCTCCTCGGTGTTCTCCTTCTTTGCGTGCGATGCCTTCCACCTCGCATCCCAGCCGTCTGTGAATTGTTCCACGAAGGCAGCCTTCAGTGTGGTGGGCTATAAGGATAAGGTTAGCTGGCTAGTATAGTCGGAAGGCTTGAGTCGAGTCGAGGCCAATACATACTGTGAATGCAGGCAGAGCAGCCTCGAGGGCAGCCGCTGCGGACTCGGTGGTGTCCTCATCGGCGGCATACGCAGTGGCTGCAACAGCGCCGAGCGCGAGAAGTGAGTTGAACTTCATCGTTGCCGGTCAATGGCAGTGTAGAAGGGAGGGCGGTGGGAGATGAATGATGGGCGAGAAGTGAGTGGAAGGTGGCAAGTCGGGGGAGAAGAGGTTTCCAGAGACGAGTTTATAAAGTTGCGCCGCAATAATTGTGTACAGCTGTCCTGGCAAGCAAGGTGTCCACTTTCGCGGAGCAAGCTTCGGCCTGCATCCTCTAGAACTAGATCGAAGGTATCCAACCGGGACCCCCTCCCCTCTTCCGTCCTCCGTGCCCGCGTCTCATTTGCACGTGAAATGGCGGAGTTGGAATTTTATATACCTCCTAAGGATTTGGTGTCATTGTCTTTGTTTAGACGTGCCGCCATTGATTTACTGTTGACAAGCACAAATTGTCTACCACATCTGCGGCTAGAGGAGTCACATGATCGTGTTGATGTTTGTTCAGCTGACGATGCTCTCTGCTCACGGCTCGAGTGTAATGTCTGGAACGCCATATTCTACATGCACCTGTAGTTCTAGCCCTCTAGTTCATCAATTGTTCATACAGCCGGCGCATCGTCGTCAGCTCGCGCATCAATCAATCAGCTCAACAAGACCTCCTCAGCCTTGAACAGCTCCAAATTCGGCGGCTCTCTCAGCACCCTCGCATTCCTCACAACTCTCACCTCAGCAGCCCTGGTCAACCTCAAGTGCCTTTCCGTCTCTCTCGCCTTTTCCCCTGCCTCGCCCTTGCCCTCATTCATCTCTGGCGGCGCGTCCAGAGACCGCTTGACAGCCTCATAATGCCTCGCGGTATCCTTCAACACCGCGCCCATACTAGCCAGTACCTTCTCCGTAGCCTTCGCAAGCGGCAGTTCGCACCCTTTGACATGATCCTCGCTCTTCCAGCTAGGCCGATCAAGCACATTACCAGCTTGTGCAGCCTCTCGCAATCGAGCTACGAGTAGAGCGGCGAACATGTCTCCCGTTCCAGAGAAGAATACAGGGAGCGCGGGCACTGTCACGCGAAACAATCGTGGCGTGCCCGTTGATGTCGCTGTGCTTCCAATCACACTCAACATCGCTTGTTGCCCATCACTCTTCTGTCCCTCCTCTTCTCCAGCGGATGTGCTTGCAGGTAATCGTATGGACGTGACAACTACATTCGGACAGCCCTTCTCATGCAGTTTCGCAATCGCATCTCTCATCGATCCCAAATCCCGTATCTTGATCTCCGATAACAGTTCTGCTTCGAACTGATTAGGCAATACGAGATCCGCATCTTTCAACAAACTCTTATACTCAGGCACCGTATCCTCAGCCACATATATCCTGCCATTGTCTCCCATCACAGGATCCAGAACCCAGAAGAACGAGCCAGGCTTGGTGCTCGATGCGAGTTTCTGTTTGCGTGCAATCTTTCCCACTTCCTCGACGAGTGCGGCAGAGGGACAGTAGCCAGAAAGCATCATGTCGAAATCGTCAAGTCTCGTCTCCTGGAGGCCAGCGTAGAGGTCTGCGACTTCCGAGGGGGTCGATTTGCGACCTTTGAAGGCCCGGTAGGCGACATGGTTACCTAGTTTTCTCTTCGTGAACATGAGACACAGAATGCAACCAGGCAGGTGTTCAGCATACTGTAATTCACGGTATGGATTGCCGAAACCTCACAGCCGAGAGTTTGCATGCAAAATGTGGCCATGGTGTTACCGACGTAGCTTGGGAATGCTCAGCCTGTGCTCTGCGGTCACTATTCTTCTCCTGCAACACTTACCCAGATGTCACCTTTGGCAGCCATTAGCTTATCGTTCTCACCTACAGGAGCGAGGGAGAGCACCCACATGGCTGGCAACGGCCAGAACGTGAGTCTCCGGCACATCGAGATCGCTAGTGTCGGTCATGATCACTGTGCCTGCCTAAGAGTGAAATGATGTGGTGTATGAGTCTTCAGGTGTGTGTGTGTGTAATTTATTCGATGTTTGTCGAAAACTATCGGGACCTAATCGACAAAGACATGGGTGGGGCTTCTCCTCGGTGCGTCGGCCGCGCTGATTCTACTCCTCCGTCTTCCGTCTCGGCTTACCTGTATGCCTTGCTTTTTACTGGTGACGCTGCCATATCGCTGCCTCTCGTATACGGCTCGTCCAACATTATTCATGCTCGACCATATCTTGCCACGCGTGCTCTCGTGTGTCGATCGTATCTTTTCTCAGACTTGGCAGCGAACATCGGCGCAGACTGTAGACCGCCATTCGTGCAATGCTTTCCCGCTTCGTAGTGACATGTTTCTCTTACTCCTCATCACCGATCTGTAACGTCTGATTAGCGCACAATGATCAATCCATCTTGGATCGGTATGCCTTACCTTTGGTGCGAGGTAGAATCGCAAATAGGAGTTGTTGCTCAGACCGTACTCCACAAGCAGAGGCACTTCATTGCTTAAGCACAGTTTGACTTGTTGACTCAGGCCGCTAGCCTTGCAGAAGTTCAGCAGGTACTTGAGGGAGAAAGTGAGCGCTACAGGCTCCGTAAGGTTGATCTCGATGTTATTATCTGGCTTGTCGACGTTGGTGTGCGAGCGAAGCGTGACGGATCCGTTTCCAATATCGCCGTTGCACTTGAAGCTGACGCCGTCTTTTGTGCACTCGATCGAGACTAGCTGGAGTATCAGTGCTCTGCATGCAACGGTCTTTCTCCTCTAACGTACCAGACTCTGAAAGCGCAGACAGATCCCTCGTAATGCGCTGGAACTCTGAGCTGGGCAGCGCAATCGTGGCCGAGTACTCGGTGTCCGGAATGCCCAAGTGCTCTTGATCGATATCCATCAACTTGATATCGTACTCGCTGATCCTGTCACTCTCCGCACTCTCGAATGTGAAATTGACCACATCTGGTGCGTCCTCCGCCTTCATGGTCAAGATGTCTTCCGTCTGCGCACATCGTAGGACTTTGGTAAGCGAGGTCAGGTTGATACCGAGGGCGATGTTTCGGTCGCAGCGGAAAGGTGAGAAGGACTCTGACTTGAGCATCATGGATACCAGGGCAACGTGAGAGTTGTCCATGGCTTGAAGCGCGATGCCAGAGTCATTGCAGTCGAAGTTGCAATCTTGCACCAGATCCTTGATGGCATCCACAACCTAGAACATCGCGTCAGCTGTATATCCTAGACCGTGAACGGGACCTTCGTTGTGCTGTGTATACCTTCTTCAACAAGGCGGCCTGCTCGAGACGTGCTTCCAGCACTGTCTAGTTGTCAGTTGTGTCTCGAGCATGCTGTGGCGAATGAAGCGTACTTTTGGCGGTGGGTGTTGTGGGCTTAAGTGTTGGGTGGAGACTGTGTGGGCTTTCGTGAAGGTGTAAAGCGCTGTGTACACGAGAATTGTTGAGTTTGTGACGGGAGGTATGTATTGAAACGAAGGTGGAGCTGCGCGACACTTTGTAAATTGAGAAGGCACGCGACGGGTTCGCGAGACGCGACTTCTTGGCATCATAATTTGATTAGAAATATTGATTCAGCAGACGGCAAAGGCATTGAAAGGAGCGTGCACGGATAAAGCATGCGTAAAATTGTGCACATATCATCGCTTTCTTCCAGTCTCTGACAGAGGCCAAGCCATTGGCCTAGAGACCAGTGCTATCGAGTGACTAATGGCCTTCCACATGGCTCTATTCCTCCGTTCCATCGCGCATGGCGTACCTCAGGACCATGCTGGCTCTCACTCTGAGCAGACCTGGTCCATAATCAAAACCAGCCATGCCTTCAGCATCCTCTTTCGTCCTTTCTTCCCCTCAAAGCCCTGGGTTCTCAACATCGCCTAATATCTCAAGACTTACACAGCCCATAAAACAGCGTCCAAGTCAACACAAAACTCATCAACCCCCCAAACAAATCCCCCACCCACAACTCGCTCACCACCTGAAAGAAGAACTTCTCGGGTTTCTGTTCAGCTTTCAACCCAAATATCAACAAAGAAACTATAGCAGTTCCCACGAAATAGAAAATGAACCCGGGAAAGGATTCTAATCCCAAAGTCCCGGCTGCTACGCCGAAGAGAGAGGCTGTCAGTGACCGGATGTTGGATATTGTCTGGATTTGAAAAGTGGTTAGTCGGGCGCTTTGTTCTATGGTGTATCGGGAGCATCGGGGTTACGTACTCGGACATTGTGTTGGACACTTTCTGGGACGATGGGGCTGAGCTGGAGGGCTCGTTCGTCTATCATTTCGTCACCTTGCTTGCGATATGCTGTGTTTTTTCCAAGTGGTACTCTGGTGCAAGGCAGCTCACTTGGGGCGGGTGTGGCTCAGGAGGTACTGGTATTGGTGGCTTCTTGTTCTTGTCCTATGGCTTACGATGTGTGGCTTGCGCGACCTTCTCGGATGTCGTCCCGGTATCGCATCAATATTTTCGAGGCGGATGTTCGTCTGTTCTTGCTGCCGGAACTCCCTGGTACATGTAGTGTCTCCTGTTGGTGATGGTGGTTGTAGTGTCGTAGTTGCGGGTCGGCATCTGGAGATGGAGATGCCGGGATGACGGACGGCAATCTTGGCTTGGCAGACATCCAGCACTTCACTACAAGGTGGAACCTCCTAATGTACTACAACAATACCTACAAACGTAGCTTCTGCTCTGTTTTGCCGAGATCCAACTCAGTAGGGCGAAATGCTTACGGAATCAATTGTAACTACAGGTACCTACATGCTTGGCGGGTCAAAAAGCCAAGAATTTGATATTTACTTAAGGGTGCAACGAATACTGGCTCCTAGCTGTCGACCGTTAAGGACGCTTTCTCCGCCATATATGTGCTATCTTTGTGGAATCAACTCATAAGCGTGTCCTCACGCAACCCACACTTCCGCTTATTGCTTAGCACTCGTGTCAACGTCCGGGCTCCAATGACTGGATCATCCTTTTCACCCCCCACGAAAACAGGCTGAACTGTTCCCAACTCCACCCCGAGTATTGGTCTCGCTGCTGTTTACAACGACGTAACGGCCCTCCCGGATCAAACCGATATCATCAATGTCAATCTCCCCAGGCTTGGACTGCCCGTTGCGTCGAGACAATTCGTGTACTCGACCCGGACGATGATCGTGTGGGCGGAGAGACTTTTGTAGTGATCCATGGCTAGGAGGACACCGATCCGGGATGCGCCAACGATCACTTGTTGAGCTAGGACACCAAAAGCTAGGAGACCGCACAGGATGATGAAAGCGACAAGGGCGAGCGCCGTTGTGTTGGAGGAGATCCATATCATCCATGTTTCCACTGTATCAATCTGCATAGACCAGTCACTGGGGGATCGCGAGGACTCAAGACTCGTCCTTTTATATGACCAGAATCCTGCGTCACAGCAGTGGCGGTGAGGCGTATAGTCATTACACTCGCCAAAGTAACGGCACTACGCCAGATCAGCGGACGCTCCCGTAGCGTGTTCGATATCTGATTTAGGCTGGTATTACATAGATTGATGCGCTGCTCCTCGTCCATCATGCTTGTTTTGATCAGGTGGGCGATGCGACTGACCAATGCGGCTTTCTGATGCTAAAGTCGGCGACACTGAATTGTGAGTGGGCTTTCATAGTGTCAGGTGGTTCTGAATGTCTCGTCGCATAAGACTGGCTTCCAGCGTGCGTGTGAACTTTCAACCACGAGACCACGCTTCTCTCCAGCGGATAAGCGTCTCTTTTCGCGGAAGTGCATTTCGGAATGAACGAAGATATATGCCTGGAAGCAGCAAAGCGAGCGATGCTTTCACAGTTAGACTATAGTACTCACAGTCGGAACTGGCACTTGATGCTCAGAGATCTCCTAAGAACAGTGTTGCTGCAGTGTACATACCGCCTCCAAGATAGTGCGAAGCCTTGCTATATCTGGCCCGGAGGCCGGAGCTATAGGTCATCGACGTCAAGCACGACGTAAGCTCGAGCAAATGTCGACCCTGAAGGCAGACGCGGATTTCGAGGCTTGAGGATCGACAGGGACAGCACAGCCACAACTTACTAGAGCCTAGAGGAACCGTTAAACGTATTATTCTATCAGCATACGAGTAACGAGGGACTTAGACAGCCGATTTATACCTGCAATATCGTGTACTTCGTACAGCCTCAGGAATTTAGGCCACATTCAAGTCCGACCTGTTTGTATGAACGAGCAGACGAAGACCGACTCGTCCCAGCCATGTCTTGCATACCGCTCGACCTCCGTACACCGGATGCTGGGGCTCACCTCTTCACCGCCGCTACAGAGGCGGCGTGGCTCCATGCCGAAATTCTCAGTGCGTCGACGGTCGGGAAATAGAATAATATAAGTACATGTAATTGCGGCGTATTTTAATACAGGTATCTCCCTAGGACTCAGGAGGTAGTAGGCGGAGGTACGGACCCCGATAATACGGTGATAAATCATAAGGTACCTAATGATGCTGTTCTGGCGCGGCAAGATCTTAGATGAGACGTTGGCGGGGAGTTGTTCTGGTCAATTTTAGATGCACATCCCTGCACACATGACATTGTCAGGAGTCAATCAGACGCGCTCGCTCCATGGTTCTGCGCATGGCCGCATGCGATCGATCTCGTGCACAAAGTTCTTGAAGGCAACGGCGCACACGCGCATCTCACTCAATTTCACCTCACCTACCTATACATCCTCCTCAACCCTTCCGCCTCATCTGCGATAGAAAGACTCCCTCTCTCTCGTCACCTCGGCCCCGATATTCGCCAGCAGCTTCAATAAGGTAGTAGGAGGTAGTCCATCACCAACACCGACGCAGGCCGGGATCGCGGATCTCCCTCTCCAGCCAACCGGGTCCCCAGACTCCTCCCTACTGCAGGCCAACCCACATGCCAACATGTGATATTGATGCAGTCAGGTGAATGGAGACTTTTCATACCGACAGCCCTCTCGCCGCCTATCTCGAAGGTATGCTTTCTACCCCTTGTCCTACCCGTCTCGCTGCAGGAAGCTGACCATAGATCAAGGTGAGGGTACATTCGAGTTCGACGACCACGAAAGCGACGATCGCTTCCCACGAACACCCGAGAACGATTTACACGCCGATTCCTTCGAGCAGTCCTTTGCGCCGCAGGCCAGGCTCGCAGCATTGCCACGTGTCAGGATACCGCAGCTCATACCTGTGCCACCTGGCAAGGAGCCACCGAAAAGTGCAATCACACGAGTACACCATGCCTGGTCTTCTGCGGTGAACTCGAGGTTAGGCGCCTCAGATAATGCCAAGTTTCTGGAGCACTTTCGATATACCATAGTAGCTTCGCAGCTGCTGAACGAGTACCTGGATCATGGATCACTAGCTCCCGCGGCTGCTCTAGCCACGAACCTGGGCTTGAATGGCTGTTCAGAAGAGACGGGAAAGGCGAAGGACACAGCCAATATTGTTGGTGCGCTGTCAGCAGCGACAGTGGCATTCGCATTGGTGTATTTCCTGGACTGGCTGCGCACCCGTCGCGTAAGCAGGAGCAGAGCTGCCATAGTGCTAGGTACAGTCGCAATTGCTGCGTTCATGGGCTACGGATATCTGCGTAAACAATGGCTAGAAAGCCTAAGACATGAAGCAGTCGACGCTGCGACAGGGTTGACGACGAATTGGCAAGCCTTCGAGCTTTCATCTAGCTCTGCATTGGCGTTCGTACAAGAGGTGGAGCTGGTGTCCAAAGGCTACAGGTTGAGCACGCCTCTGCCGCCAGCGTCGAGGATAGAAGAAAGTGGCGCAGCCAGAAGATGTGCGAAGCTGCGGGCTGCTCTATACAAAGCATATGCCAAGACTATCCCGGCATGCATACAGGCGCATACATTGCTACGCACGCTGATTGAAGCGGATGACATTGATAGATACTTTGAGATCTACGACATCAGCCATCAAGATGCGGACGAGGCTTCCGGGCCGGATGCACTTCGTGTGCTGGATGACGATGGAGAGTCACTGAAGTCTTTGCGGGTTTTAAGTTACAGGGCGGGTGTCCTCAGACGAGTAATTCTGTGCTCACTCCTGGCTCTGGACGCCGATGGTGGCAAGCTGGACTTTGCTAGATGGCGAGCAGCGACCAATATCATGGGCGAATTGAGTAAAGCTGTTGCCGGATCTGCGGAGCGGATACGACTGATTTTGAGCGAGATGGAATCCTTCAGGTTGTCATCCCCTGCGCTCAAGGGTGCGCATACTCCCCAGAGAGAGAAGATGCGAGGCCAAGTGCGGAAGATTAGTGCTCTGGGTACTGGCATTCGAGGACTCCAAGCGAAGATGCAAATTCTTCGCGAAGAGACTAATAACTCAATCGAGCACTCGGAAGACCTTACAGACCTGGGACCCACATTGATGGCACAATACGAAGCCATTGGGGCAGATCTACGAGAGCTCCTCCAAGCCTGGGAATCCGGCAGGCAAGCCTTGCAAACCAATATCACACGCCACGAAAGGCGCATATCTATGGCCTCCAGTGGACTTCGCTCGCCTGTCTCGAGCATTGGAGGGCTCACCGCCGTAGACGAAGTCATGGATGGACCCGCTGACGCGCTCAAAGTGCTCAACGGAGACGGCACCAAGAGTCACCGTTCCAGTCTCAACACCACCTCAGACGAGGAAGAGATGGTCTTTGAGGCGGTGGCCATGCCAAGGCAGCGCGCCAGCACATTACTGACCCGCGAGGAGCGCATCACGAAGATGCACGAGCAACGAGCCAAGCAGCAAGAGCTGCGCTCTCAGCGAGATGCGAATACAAGCATGCTCCGCGAGTTGGAGTCTGTGATCAATCTTCGGCCGAAGAAGGATACACCGAATGGCACACATGCCCCCAGAATTACATCGCTGTAAAGCCACACATTGCCGGCCTTGGGCGGAGTGCATCCAGGGCTTGGAACGAAGGTGCTCTGCTGCCAGTATAGCACTGATGAAGCTACACTCTTTTTCTTCTTAGCGCATTGACTTGAAAGCGACGCATTGCTGGTAGAACAGGACATTTGGGGGGATGGCAATTTATCAGGACGGCGCTGAATAAAGGACGCGTCTGGGCCTAGGCGAGGGGGATTCAACGGTTTAACACTCCGAAACGGAACAATATCTCATACAGTAATCTCGCATTTTGCTAATGATCTCTTAATGCTACGGTGAGCCTACCTGCTGGTTGTCGCACGAAGTCCACTTCCATCCCATCAAATCTTCGCCCTCCCCGCCTCCCTCATGACCTCTCTCGTCAACACTTCCCCTTCCTTCTTCACCGCACTCAATCTCCCAATACTCATCAACTTGGCAATCATCTCCTCATCGCCAAAATGGCTATTATGCTCATATTCCGGTTCCTGTCCGTACGCCACCCTTGCAGCATCGACCAAAATCCTCGCTGTCATTCCGAAGACTCGATAGCGTTCCACTTTTCTCGGAGAAGAAGAGTTGATATTTTCATTCTTCATCTTCGGGTTCTCGTAGAATTTTGGGGGTAAAGGTGGTTGTAATGTACTATTACTAGTATTCCTCTTCTGATCCGTCGTCGCCGTCGTCGTCTTTGTATCGTTTTCTTTCTTGCCCTCCTCCTCCTTCTTCTGCATCGCGCCTCCAGGTTTCTTCTCATTCGGATTCCTCGCAGCTGTATATCTCTCCGGTTTCTTACTCGCCAGCCAAACCTCTCCTTTCCTCACAGGTACGAAGAATTGATGCATTCTCCATGCGCTTTCATGCCAACTGTGCCAGCTGCCTTTGTACCACACACCTTCTTCTTCCCCTCCAGATTCCTTCTTCTTCTTCTCCTTCTCCTCCCCCTCTTCAATAGCAGTATCGACATCCAAATCTCGCTCATACAAGAAATTCCTAAAATTCGCTGTAAACACCGCTTCGACCTCTCTCGGATCCAGCTTAGGTAGAATATCCCTGGTCGCATCGGGGTTCAAACCATGTTGGGGACTAGGAGCGGGGGTGCGGAGAAATGCCACACAGGGACGGACTCCCAATTCGGTCATGGCGAGATTTGAGGGGAGTTCGGTGAGGTGTTCGACCGTGTAGCCGGGTGGGAGCTCGGTGTCATTTTGCGGTAGACCAATCTCTTCAAAGGCTTCGCGACGGGCAGTTTGGAAGGGCGTTTCGTGGAGAGTGTCGGCTTTTCCGCCGGGGAGAGCGGCTTGTCCTGCGTCTGTGTGTGTGGGAAGGAAGGTTCAATCTTCTGGAGGTGAATGTGGAATGCGGATGGCATTTGACCTACAGTTTTTGAGGGCGGAACTACGGATTGTTAGGACGACTCGAAGGTCTCCACGTTTGTCGGCGAAGAGGAGGATGAGCACTGCTGCTCTGCGCTTGAGGGGACATCGGTAGTAGTTGGTGGGTGGGGGGATGAATGCTCTCAGGTTTTGAAGCGCCTTCTGTGTGGGATGTCAGTGAGAGTGGATCTGAGGAACAGGAAGAGGTTATGGTGTACCTTCGAAGCGGGTGTGAGGACAGACATGTCGACGCCATCGTCTGCAGAAGAACAGCAGGACAGTCGATGAATAGCATTGAAATCATCACTAACCTGGCGAACGTGAGGCGTCAAACCATATGCAACAATGTCGATCCGGGCCGAGGTCCATCGCGAACTGTCTGGGGTCTCCGGCGCCGAAACGTTCTGCCGTCAACTACCTCCTAGGTACTAGGTAGAGCATCGTCATATTATTACAATACGTGTAGCTTATGTAGCATACCAACCTGCCCCTATGTCGTGTCTAGAATGAGTGAGCGGACCGTGAAAGTCATAGCTGTCCCGTTCATCGCACCTGCTCCCCCCACAGCCCAATTCCTGCATCGTCCCACCTGCTAAATTTCAAAGAGCCTTGCTTGCTTCATGAAAGCATTTGGCGTGCAGCCTTTCACCATGCTCGATCTCAGAGCCGACGGTAGGCATGTTGGGAAATTCCACGAAGACGGCCGTCAACTCATTGTAGTCGGCCATGTCACTCTGTTTCAAGCTGGCTTCCCAAAGCCGACTATCCCATCGTCTGGTGCAACCTCATTGTTCTGACTGTAGCATATCACGATATCGCGCGTCTGTTCTGATATCCTAACACTTCAAACGCTCGGGTCGTGGAAGAGAAAATTGATGTCTCGTGGTCGTAGTCGATTATGCTTCACGAAATCGGCGTCTCCTGGCGGCCCTGCAATGACGGTCAGCATGCCTGGCTGCTCGAAGGCGACAGAGATGAAACTTACGCTCATTCTTGGTGTTGGAGTCCAGCATGCTCTGCAAGCTCAAGCAGATCGACTCGACGTTCTGCACGGGACTCCAGCCCTGCTTGTCGAGCAAGTCCAGGCAGATGATGCCGTTGCTGTAGATGTGTGGATGCATCGGTATCCTCCGCACCGGCTCCGTTAGAAGCATGAACACCACCTCGGGTGGCTCGATTGGATAGCCTGGCGGAAATGTCATCTTCATCCGATACCTCTCTTCGGGATCGTAGAGAGGATTGCCCAGGACTTGGATGTCCATTTTCCACTCTTTCAAGTCATCCGCGGACACGATCGTGATGCCCTTGGGAGTCTCCCTCTGCAGCTTAGCCAACTCTTTCCCCAAGCGCTTCCCCATCATTCCCGCCATGTTGCCTCTTCGCCGGTGGACGTGAAGCGGTGGATCACTGGCGGGCAGGGACAGTGTCGGGGGGCCGGACTAGTGTCGGGGCGAGACTGGACAGCAGGTGATGGTAGAGCACGGTGTATTCCCTGGAGATGTGCAACGCAAACAGGCAGCGCACACAGGCGGTATGGTAGAGGGGGATATTACCTATGGAACAATGAGAGGGCTCGGTGGTGGTTCTGGCGGCGCCAGCACATGCACCGACGCGGGGCTATCAGCTTACATTTGGGACCCCAGTAGAGATACTAGTGCGAAAGTGGGATAGGTGGCGGCATTGGTGGGAGAGTGACAGCAACAGCCCTGTGTGAACTCGATACGAACACCACCTACATAATCCGGTCCATGGCATGTCTCGTCGTCCCAAGTCATCGTAAGCCGAAGCGAACGAGGCCGTAAGCGTGCACACTCATACGACGCGACACGATTCGGGAGCGCAAAGGCACGGCCTGATTTTCCCAGGATCGACAATTAGCTTGAGGCTGAGTCTTGGGCAGAACAGTAGTGAATGCTTCGCCCTGTGGACAGCAACATCGACTGGACGGTGTACCTCTACCTCACTTGCCTAGGTGGGTGACCTTGTTACCGACACTACTGACCACTAAGTTCCCGTCCCAGACAACATTGAAGGTGTTGATCGAAGAAGCAGCATCTGAAACGCCAACCACAACCACATTACTCGCCTGTAACCGTCCGACAGACCGACAGGCAGCGCAGAGAAAAGACAGCAGGAGAAGCCCGTCGTCGAGAAGGGTCATCAGCAGGCGCAGCAGAAGAGCAAGGAGCGGCCTGACGCTGCCGCTCGTGTAGACAACATGTCCCGTGAGTCCTTCCCAGATTGGAAATCTCCCTCTTCCACAGAATACCGCTGCCTGTCTCCGCCATACCACCCGCCTCAAACCGTATTTTGGCCTTTCACCCGCGCATTGATCTCCTACCCAACCTTGAACCTAGCACTCCGGTTTCACCTTGCATCATACCTACGGCCCTATAGTCAACATGTTCGCCCATGCTCACCGCAGTGGCCGCAATACTCCTGATTCTGTGGGACATGGTGGTACATGATCATGAAGAGATCCAGATTCGGCTCCATCAAGCGTGCGATACCAAGCAAATCAAAGCTGACATTGGGCCCTGCAGTACAAGGCATGCTCAACAAGCTACATGGCCAGCCCGAGAGTTACGATCGCAAGTCCAAGTACAAATTCGGGCGAACATTGGGTGCGGGCACCTATGGTATTGTCAAAGAGGCCGATGGGCCCACGGGAAAGGTCGCGGTCAAGATTATCCTAAAGAAGAACGTCAAGGGCAATGATCAGATGGTCTATGATGAGTTGGAGATGCTGCAGACGCTCCAACACCCACACATTGTCAAGTTTGTCGACTGGTTTGAATCGAGGGACAAATACTACATCGTCACACAATTGGCCACAGGTGGAGAGCTCTTTGATCGCATCTGCGACAAGGGCAAGTTCACAGAAAAGGACGCTTCGCAAACGATAAAGCAGGTCCTGGAAGCAGTGGACTATTTGCACTCCAAAGACGTCGTGCATCGCGATCTCAAGCCGGAGAACCTGTTATACCTCACCCGGGAACCAGACTCGGATCTCGTGCTTGCCGACTTTGGCATCGCGAAGCACTTGGACAGCCCAGAGGGCGTGCTGAAGACCATGGCTGGCTCCTTTGGCTATGCCGCGCCAGAAGTCATGCTGAAGAGAGGTCATAGTAAGCCGGTCGACATGTGGTCACTGGGAGTCATCACCTATACACTTCTGTGCGGCTACTCCCCTTTCCGATCGGAATCACTGCAGGATCTTATCGAAGAGTGCAAGAATGGACGAGTGGTCTTCCACGATCGGTATTGGAAGGATGTGTCCAAAGAGGCCAAGTCATTCATTCTCCGACTGCTGAAGCCGGACCCACCTCAACGAGCGACGAGCAAAGAGGCGCTACAGGATCCTTGGATCGCTGGCAAGGTTGCTACCGATCACAACATCCTGCCAGAGATCAAGGCGTACATGGCCACTGCCAAGCTCAAGAGAGGCATTGAGCTCGTCAAGCTCGCCAATCGCATCGAAGCTCTCAAGCTGCAGGAAGATGAAGAAGAGGAGGGGCCGAATGATGCAGATGTTCCTGCAGACGCTCTCGCTGCGGCCGATCAAGCTGCACATGCTCACTCGAGAACTGGCAGTGCCGCTTCTTCAGGTTTGGCAGTACCTGCCGGAGAGCCGCACAGGAAGCGAAGTCTTAGTAAATTGGCGAAGAGTGCGATCTTCAGAGAGGTGAGTTTACGCGCTGCTGTTACTGCTTAAAAGAGGTCGCCTGCTAACGAAGGGAAAAAAGGTCGTGCTCGCAAAAGTGCGCGAAATGAAGGCCGAGGAGGAGAAGACCAAGACATTAAAAGCTGCCACCTCGAAGCAGTGAACCCACAATCATCTCACTAGTGGCAGCTCGGTAACAGGTGGGCTCGGCAGACTGGAAGAGACGAGGAGCGGCTTGGAGTAGTCGGAAATGGTCTTTATGGATGATTAGAAGGAGTGGAAATTGGCTGGGAACCATTTTTTCAGCATGAGCATGAATACTTCAGAACCCATCACGACATGATCATAGCATCAGCATTGTTTCTTTGTAACTCGCCATACAGCGACAGTACCAGCTGTTTAGCATCAATATTCCGCCTGGCTTACTCACGGAGCTCTCCATCCTTCTCGCCAATTTCCTCTTCGGACCATTTTCAGCTTCATAATCATCATGCATGATGCGTCCTACAACGTCTTGCCCTTTCCACTCATGTACCCATTCCCAAAAGCCAACAATCCCACTGTCGCCAGCACCGACAATCCCGTCGGCAGCGGCTTGAATCCACCTTTGATCGCCCTGGGAATGCTCGACCCCGCCAGGACGACGGAGGCGAGGAGTGCTGATTCGATTCCGTAGGATGCGCGGTTCGAGAGACGATAGCCGCCGAGAAGGTAGAGTGCCCCGACGGTACAGCCTGCTGTTACGGATGGGATGGACCCTGTACGGACGTAGCCGGTGATTCCGCCCATGGAGGTCAGGAGGCCGAGGATTATGGAGAGGGTTGAGAGGGACTATATGGGGATTGGGAAAAGTGTTAGATGGGTGACTTCATAGGAGTGGAGGGGCTGGGCTGGAGGGGGGAGAGGGAGGGATGGATGAAGAATATGTACCATTTTGTTGGTGGTTTGAGTAGTTTGTGGAATGGTGGGCTTGGTACTGCTGGACATTGGCGTGTGGTAGGCAAAGAGAGAGAGAGAGACAGTATTGGTACAGTAAGGTGTGAGGTATTGAATCCCGATGATGGCAGTACCTAATACCTCTACCAGGTACGTTAGCTTGATGAGGAGCCGAGGAACAGCTCCCGTCCAGTCCAGGGCAAGAGCGTCCGAGCCACCTGTGGCTGTGCGCGTTCCATCTTTGAGGACAGCTAGCTAGCTTACTCTGCTTGGCACGTATCCGTTCCTGACGAACTTCCAACTGAGAGACGTAACAGCATGTGAAAGTTCCATCATCCTCCTCCATTGGACAACAACGACAACCACAACCACAACGTGAGAACCCCACCAACGAACATCACTCGAACAAATCTCAATCGCCCAAGATGCCCGCCAAACGCAACGCCCAACAATTCCCCGCAACACCACTACAACAACCCGCTACCGTCCCCGCCTCGAGCGTCACATCCTCTACCACGCAACCCCGAACCGTCACGTCCAAAACCTTCGAGAACAAATCTGCTCTCTCGTCGAAAAAGGCCTCGGCTTCTCTGAAAGATTTCCCGACGATTCTCCAAGGAGTCTGGGAGAACTATGTTCAACACACCCCCCAGCGCGTCAAGCTGATTGACACGTTTTTGGGATTTCTACTGGTCGTGGGAGTTCTGCAGTTTGCGTATTGTGTGTTGGCGGGGAATTATGTAGGTTTTTTTTTGTCCCATGTTCTATACGGGGTTTAACTACGGAGAGGAGAGAGGAAGAGCAAGAGGGGGGAGAGGGACTGTAGGAGATTGAGATTGAGAAAGAGCCAGAGAGCTGACTGGAATAATTATAGCCTTTCAACGCCTTCTTATCAGGCTTTGGTGCGACAGTGGGACAGTTTGTTCTCACTGCTTCGTTGAGATTGCAGACCAACCCGGAGAACAAGGCTGAATTTGAGGGAATGAGTTATGAGAGGTGAGTTTTCCTTCTTCTTCTTCTTCTTCTTCTTCTTCTTCTTCTTCTCATCCTCCTTATACCATCTGTTTGGATTGATCGGTTGGGTTTTTTTCGCGCGCGCTTGCGCGGACCTGCGTCGAGTCCGCGAGAGATGCCTTCTCGAATTCATGGACGTGAAAAAAAATGGAACCTGCGAGCTGACATTCGCCAATAGAGCCTTTGCGGATTTCGTCTTTGGAAGCCTGATTCTACACTTCTTCTGCGTGAACTTTATCAATTAAATAAGAGGGGGGAAAGGAGACAAGGAAGGACCGGAAATGGGGATATGGAGACACAAGAGTCGAGGGGTCGTATGAGCTGGCTCGAAGGTTGTCAAAAGCAGGATGAAATTAAATGGCTTGATGGCGGGCATGACAAGAGCGGAGCGAAAAAAAAAGAGCGATTCTCATACAAGTATGTACATGGCTTTTGAGAGGTGGCTACGACGGGCGCCGAGTCAAATCCTGACATCTCAATTCAGCAGACATCTTGTCTTTTGCTCGACTGTACGATACGCCGAGAAATGCAGAGCTGTAGTACGGTCACCATTCATTCACATTGAGACTTGAGAGTGCCTGCAGTCTGATGATCCAGTCTTTTTTAGCAGTTTCTATTTAGCGCACGCAATATGGGCATTGACTGTCGCCTTTACAAAACCCTCACACTGTGAACTTGTGGGCTGTGTTTTTTTTTTCTCTCTCCACTGGGCCAAAGCTGCTCTGGAATGCTTTTCCGTCTGTCAAACCATAGGCCATCTGAAGACAGATCGGCTCAGCGATATTTCGAGCTATGGCGCGAGATTGGGAACTCGTTTCTCCATTGTGATAAGTCAGACATTTAAGCAGATGCTCCGCTAATGTAGAACCACTTGTCAATGCTAGGGTCAATTGGCGCTGGAGCCTTCTCCTCGTGAGCAGGAATGTTCAGCGACTTGGCGTCGAGGCGGTTGGCGCTCTGCTGAACAGAGACGTTGGTACTGAGAAGAAAAGGTCAGCATGTTCTGTCATGAGAAGAGAGGTGGGACATTGGTGACTCACAGGTTGATTTCACCGGGCTGAGTCTTGCCGGTGATGAGCTTGTCCCAGGCCTCAGCACACTCGCGAATGACCTCAGTAGCGTACTTTCTGTTCTTGCACTCGCCTGAGAAAGCAAACTGGTTCTCTGGCTTGCCATCTGGGATCTTGTAGATGCGGAACCACTCGTTGGTCGCGCGGAGCAGACCGGGAAGGTGGCGCTCGACATCCTCAATGTCGTTCAACTTGGGAGCGAGTGGGTCGTTCACGTCGATGACGATGATTTTCCAGTCGGTCTCGCCCTCGTCGAGCAAAGCCATGACACCAAGGACCTTGACCTGCTTGACCTCACCTGGCTTGGCAACAAGCTCGCCGATCTCGCAGACATCCAGTGGGTCGTTGTCACCCTTTTGCTTGGTCTCTGGGTGCGTGACGTTGGGGTCCTCCCAGGTCTGAGGGAAGGCACCGTAGTTCCAGAGGTAGCCCTTGTGTGGGAAACAGTTGCGAACAAACCTCAGCTTTCCCTTCTTGGTGTCCTGCTTGATGGGGTTGAGCTCCTCGTCCTTGGAGATCTGCGCGCACGACCATGTTGTCAGCTGATGTTCTCACGCGGAGCTCCCGTGCTCTTGTGCAATGCGAGATGTCTGTCCAAGCACACACGCACCTCCTGCTTGGCATTGGTCCAGCGAGGGATCTCCACAATCATGTTGAGCACGGTCTGCTGCTCATTGGCGTACAGTGGGATGTCGTGGAAGGGCGAGACCGGCACGCCATCCTTTTCAATGTAGATGCGGTGCTCGAGGGTGTGCGGTGCGCCGATCTTGCGAACGGTGTATGCGGAGGAGGATCGTGACATGGTGGTGGTGGTGGTGTTGGTGGTGGTGGTGTAGGAGGGGGAGGGAAGATGTCCAGAGAGTTGACGGGCTCGCGCTTCGATTTTGCTCGACCCCATAGTGGGGCAATTGCGTCTCAGTGTGCCAGGGTCTCCTCTGCTGGTGGTGTCCGCTCTCGCTCCCGGAGCCAGAAGGACTGAGAATGCCGGCGCACTCGCCCGTCGAAACAAGAATGTGGGCGAGCGATCAGTGGCGACTGCAGCACGTTTCGGTATACCCGCTTGCAGAGCGTGGTACAGGCGTAATGGACGCATATAGGTATAGGTAGAGCTGAATACGATATGCGCTTAGGAGCAACGAATACAAACAACCTGAATGACGGCCGAGGTGAACCAGCTGGTGCTGGACTAGGTACAGGTACACTGTGGGTAGGTACCCGTCTTCGGGCGGAACTCGGCTACAGGGCACTGGGGCAGCGGCAAACACCACCAATATCTCACTTGGAGTTGGACGTGATCTATCATTCTCATTTCATGAATAGCACCACAAGACGATATCTCTTCGCAACACTTTCAGCTTCAATACAGCATATTCGGCTGCCAAAAGCCTGCCATGCCATCTGCAGGCTCACTATCAATCAATAATGGCGCCATCATGGGTATCTCGGAATGATATCCCCCATCGGGATTCTCCATCTGCATCGATGGCGGCTCTGTAACCAAATACGGCATCTCCAGACTGTTCTGGAGCCCAAGAGGATGGCTGTCATTGATGCCAGCGTCCGAGGACTCGCGACTCGGATTGTAGTAGCCTTGCTGGTGGGCGTGTAGATCTGAGGCAACGTGGCGCTCCGGCATCCGATCAGAGGCAAGCTGGCGCACGAGGTCTTCGGCCTGTCTACGATTGGTATATATAGGTGCCTTTGGCTGAATGTCGGGCATTTCGTATACTGTTGCCCGCTGCTGGACGCGTCCAGTGGCGTATTGAGCAAGTGGAGTAGGCTGTGGACGAGGACGACCATTCGAGTTGGATGCAGAGACACTGCGTAGCGGCTGTCTATACTGCGCCGCGTGACTTGTGCCTGCACGACTGAACCCTCGCTGAGGGATGTACTCCTCGTCGGGGAACCATGCTGGCTGAGACGGAGGTTGTTGATGTTCATGGTACAGGCCCGCTTCCAGCTGCTGGCTTGTGGGTGCTGTGATGGCTACACTAGGGTGAAGCTGCGGTGCATCATCATATCTTAGTCCAGCGCTCTCTTTCATTGAGCATGACCAAGGTTCTTGCTGTGGCCTAGAGATAGCCGCCCATGCATCACGCAGAAGCTTGCTGGTTGGTGTCGAATTGGTCGGATCGACGTTCTCCTGGTCTGCGGTCGCATGATAAACAGGACTGTGTCGTGGAAGCGAAGCCGAGTGATCTTCCGTGTGGAAGCAGTCGCGCAGCTGCAGTATGTCTGATGTGCGACAGTTGCCTGCTTCACACGACTGATGCTTGATGGGAACGCCTGGCTTATTAGTCGCGCGAGGTTCTGCGGGAGGCACGGAGGCTGTTGATCGAAGGGCATTCCTCACATAACGAGCATGCTTCGAAAAGCTACTGCGAGGCTGTGGTGTTGGTTCATCACCAAGACCAATTTGCTGTTCTTGTCCAATGCTGGCAAGATGCGCTCGCCGTCTAGCCTCGCCGTCGATGAGGCGGTCCTGCCGATGCTGGCTCCTGCGCTGTCGCGGTGTTGTCATGTTTAAGCTGTCCCATTCCTCCCTTCGAGCTGGACAAGCTTCACGAGAGGGCGGTCTGGGCGGCATTGACTGGCCATCGTCGAGTGATGCGCGCTTAGGCGCCGCTATCGACTCGGACCACGTGAAGTAGCTCTTGCCTGGGGAGTGCAGGCTCCGTCCTGCTTGTGGCGCGCCTCTACTTCCGAAGCCCAGGAACGCCTTTTCAGGCAGCGCTACAGGGGTATCGTGATGTCGGTCATCGACTCGCTCTGATGCTCGGGTCACAGTCTCAATTGTGGGGTGCGCATGCTTCAGTGCACCTGAAGCCTGCTCAAGCTGATCACGCTCGCCAGCACGTCTTTTTGCGGTTATATTTCGAAAATATGCCGATATCTCCTCCTCACGCAGCTCCTTCCGGCCTTTCTTAGACTTGTGTATTCCTACGTTGGCCGAACCTTCTTCCCGGCACTCCTTAGGTTTCGACAAGAATTTCATCTCATTGAATACCAAGTCGGGCACTGCAATACTGTCAATGCCTGCACTTACCTCTCACATGACATAGTACGTACGACCAGGACCACTGGCCGCCATAGGCGCCGATGCTTTGCCATGATTGAATATCCCAGCAGTGGCTTCTGGACGGAGCTACTTTATAGTCAGTGCCGTCTGGCAATGAGTCGCGTGAGAAGTCTCACCGTTAGTCTATTGCTCTTTGGCCCATTCTTCAGCTGGAAACTTTGCACGATACCTGTAGTGCGAGCACCGTCGGCAGTGCGATCTCTCTTCTGGCGCTTTGACTTGGATTTCTTCGGTTCATGCTCCTCTTTCCCCTTCTTCGGCTTGTACTCGTAGCGGTCTGGTTTTGTCTTGTGTCGTGCACGCTTCTCATATACTTTGATTGGCACGCGTTCACGGCTCGAGACGCCACTTCCACCATGCCGAGATGTACTGTCGCTACAGAAGCTCGCAGCAGCCAGTTGAACATGATCGGAGCTCGCAAGATCTCGTCGACCCAATCCATCTGCGGGTGGGTCGCTTGAAGCCCGCCTCCTCTTGTGTCGGTGACCGGTACGCACAGGCTTCGATGGGCCCAGCTGCGGTTGAGGCCCGTTGGGGAAGCCTTCCTGATCTTCCGGCGGCTCCCTGTAGACGGTGTTCTGCAACCACTCCTTGATGTCCATCGGTAAGGGATATGTGCCTATGCAGCCGTCAAGTTGACGAGGCTGTTCAGTAACCTGCCGTTATCGGTCGTCGGTCGCAATACTTGTCTCGGACAATGGCAAGAGCGTCGTACAGTCTTCACCGACTTTCACTCCTGCTGTTCCATGTCCTCGCACATGCTCATTCCTCTGGGGGGCATGAGAAATGTGCGAATGTTGTGCATGATCTGGAGGGTTCTAGACCACAGCCTGACGCTGAAGTGGAGAAGTGACAAGTTTCGTTGTACAGTACCGCAGGGAAGGGAAGATGCGCACACTGCCACACTTTCCTCTGTTTGCTGTATTTCGCATATGCACCTGCCGTTGAGATGGTTTGGCAAAGTGCATAAGGTACCGTATCCAGAATGGACATGAAGCGGACCCGTGCGCATGTCGGAGGTCGAACAACAGTGGTAGCCTGGTAGGCAGGGAGGTAGGTACTGTAGGTGTATAGGTATGTGGGTAGGTATACAGTATACTTGGCAAGCGACAGACGAACCAACCCTTGTGATGGAACAACCTGGTGCTCACCCTGGCTGCGGCTTTATCTGGTACTGTATGTAAGTTGTCTTGTAGGCTGATCGAAGCGCGAAGCGTCAGCAGAGACCTATTTTCGGAGTGTCGCGGCTACAGAGAGAGCTCCGAAGCTGCTCCCCAGGGCCGCCAGACGGCCCACCGCCGTCGCCGATTGCTGCGTGCGGCGTGCCTGGATTCTTCCCTTGAAAAAGACAGACATGGTATGCGGCAGACCAGGGCAATGCTACCTGCCTGAATGCACCAGATAGCTGCCTGCTGCCCAATGCAATAATGTTTGTGATATGTGCACTGCCATCCCAGACACTGGCGGTGCGTCTTCTGCTTCGGTTTAGCTGCCGAGGGTGTGTTCCTTCGTGGCATGCGCAGTGCAACCTCAATTCGTCTGAAGTCTCCCGTCTGCAGCTGGTTTAGTACATGATACTGGAGGGAGGGTGTGGGTGTCCGATGTAGAGTTCGTCAGGTCCAGACCGTCCAGTCAGCTTTGAGAGAGCCCTTGCCTTGCCGATGAAGCCGAGAACTCTGATCACTTCAATCCTGAGTTCCTAACTTCCTATGATCCTGGGACCATACATGTAATTCCAATGCAATACTGTGCGATTCGTCAGGTGATTTGTTCTCTATTTAGACCTACAGAAGCTACAGGTACTAGGCACCCGTTATCGATAGAAATCCGTGCCGCTGTGGCCCCCTCCTCAGGCTCCTCTTCACATTATTGGCTGTGCAGGTGCTGCGGAAGCGGATAAGTATTACCTCTAGATGCTGTATGGCGTGTATGCTCTCGCACCTCGGAAGCCGAGTAATGCCGACATACGTTTCTCACATTCCTATCTACCTACGTCGGTACTCCAAGCAAACCCAAAGGAAGCGCGAAGCAAGCAAGCAAGCTCACCTCAACAACACCATCCATGGTGAAATGCAGCGTCCTGCCTGTAAGCTACTGCGGCACTACTGCCTGAGCCAGTGGACATCCGCATTGCAGCACTAGCACGGGACTGCTCACCAGTGACAGCTCCGAGTCTTGGGCCGCTTCCTGCAGACCATTCGTTCACTCGCAGCTGGAGCTAGAGCCTCTAGCCATTCACAGCTCGTACGACCACCGACCACGTACTGTACATTCTTGCGGGAACGGGCAAGTGAGCCCAATGGCGTGCGAGTGTGGTCCTACGCAACGTGCCACCGGCTGCGGCTACTTGCGTCCGGTCGTGGTGCAATTGAGGTCTTCCAAGGTCAGGTAGGAGGTGGTAGCGCGTGCGCAGCGCAGCGCAGCCTGTAAATAAGCAGGTCGGTCGGTGGTAGGTGGTATGTACACATGTAGACGGTACCTTTAGGTAGTACTGTCAGGTAAGGTAGAGGTAGGTAGGTAGGTAGGAGGTAATTCGTCTATGGCTTGCTGCGAGAGGCGAATGAGGGGCATGGCTCCCCTCCTCTCGTGTCCTCGACTCTCACGCACACGCCATTGCATTTCCAACTTTTCCTCTCCTCTCGCCGGTTGTGTGAAACTCGCGCTGCCTCGATCGTCCCGGTTCTTGGTGTCTCTGCCCGCATCATCTGTGGCCAACTGTCCCGCACTAGGTGGTATTGCACTCGCACACCCGACCGATCCAACTGCGTGGTAACGGCGACCGTCTTTCGGCACCGCACAAACAGCACTTTGGCACTACCTGACTGACCTTACTGGCTCACTTCGGCGATCATTTGGCGACCTCAGAACACCGCATCATCATCAGGTAGCTCTCAGCCTTGGACACGTGCTAATCCTGGTCACTTCTCGGCCGTGCTGCATGTGACTGGTCCCGCTCTGCCCTTTGCAGCCTTGTTCCCCAAGTTTGAATCTGACCTTCTTTCACAAACATCAACCACACCAACTTCCATCGACTGCAACTTTCCGTTCCACACGCCCCCAGACCAGTGCGAGAGAGTGTGCGCGGTGCTACCTACAGTGCGACGAGAGATCAATTCGGTCCTTACCTTTCGCGACAAGACAGACGACAATGTCTAAGCTATTCATCGGGTACGCATCCTCCTCCTGCTCCTCCTCCCCCTCCCCATTCAATCGTCGCATTTCCACTGACACCGACCCATAGCGGCCTGGCATGGCATACTGATGACCAAACCTTGCGCGCCAAGTTCGAGGAGTTCGGTCAAGTCGACGAAGCCGTGAGTGCGACACAGGAAAGAACGCCAACGCACCCCACTAACTGTACACAAAACAGGTCGTTGTCAAGGACCGCGATACCGGTCGCAGCCGTGGCTTCGGTTTCGTGCGCTTTGCCGAAGATGCAGGTGCCGATGCTGCCATTGCGGCCATGAACAATGTCGAGTAGGTCGCAGCCTCGGAATTAACTCCGACCTCGCCACTGACCAACTTTGACAGATTCGACGGACGCACCATCCGCGTTGACAAGGCTAGTGACCGTGGCAGCGGAGGAGGCGGTGGCTTTGGCGGCGGACGCGGTATGACTTTCATTGCTTCGCTTCGCTCCTTCCTACCATCTCGAACACTGCTGACAAACATCTAGGCGGCGGTGGATACGGTGGCGGCGGTCGTGGTGGCTATGGAGGCCAGCAGGGCGGCGGCTACGGTGGTGGCTACGGATCCGGCGGTGGCTATGGTGGCCAGCAGGGCGGTTACGGTGGCGGCGGTGAGTTGCAACGATCCGACTTTTGGCGCACCTGATCACTAACTTGGGGAGAAGGCTACCAGGGCGGCGGCGGTGGTGGAAACTGGCGCGGTGGAGGCGGTGGTGGCTACGGTGGCCAAGGTATGTTGATGCGGTACCCAGAACTCGATGTGCTTTTGGCTAACAATGACCAGATGGCGGCTACCAGCAGCAGCCCAACGGCGGTGGCTATGGCGGCCAGCAGCAGCAGGGCGGCTACTAGTCATCTGCTGACACGACCCATTTCTTACTCTCCTCTACACCTTTCTCAAAAGTTGGGATCAAGGATTACTCTCACTCGAGAGACTTAGAGTGAATGCAGATGCAATAGCATGGAGCTCGGGGATGGGACATGCATGTTTCTACGGCCAGCGGCAACGACAGCCGCACCGTCCTGCTTCGGCAAGGGCAGCTGTTTGTGATTCGGGCTTGGAATCGACCGACGAAGAGATCAAATGATACCCACGCTGCGGCAGAAGATGATGGTAGCTAGGCGTTGTTGCTTTATTAGCTCTGTGCGCTGCGATTAGCACGCATAATGGCATGGAGTCACGAGTCTTGATCACTGTCTTTTACCTCCATTGACATCTCCATTGATTCTAACCTGGAATATGACTCGATGTCTTCGAAAGTGAAACATTATGTCTTAGATGTGAGAACTGGCGGTGCAGGTCGAGTTGAATGGTCTTTTGAGGCACTGAGCCTCCAGGCTGTAGGTACCAGCGATTGTCAGCATCCATGTGCAGTGACATGATGGTAGCATGGCTACAGCATACGTATGTGATTTGGCCGCCTTAAAGTTGAGATGTCGTCCTCGGTATACTGTTCCGAAGCTTGGTTGCAAGGGCCGCTGCTATTGTATCTGCGCTAGGAAGAAGCTTCCATTCATGCATATCTGGAATAATTTTCGACTGGCCAACACTGCACTAGATTTCCAGCTCGACCACCACCACTTTCGACGATCACCCACACTACCTCCTACCTCCTCCTATGAGCAGCAAAACCGCAACGTACCTCCTGGCCGAGCTTGACATCTACAGATCAGCGCCCGATTTTTAGGACAAACCTCGCGCACACGCTGCAAAGATGGCTGCCGCTCCGGGCCCCAAAAGAATCCGATTCAAAGGCTCGAAGCATCTGATCAGTCGCTTGGTACTGGCGACATTGACAGGGAAACCAGTCGTGATATCAGAAATCAGGAAATCAAACCCTAGCGCCCCAGGCATTGCACCGCACGAGAAGTCCTTTCTACGATTACTTGATGCGATCACGAACGGCTCCGAAAGTGCCATCACGGAGACGGGCACGCAGGTCATCTACCACCCAGGCCTAATCACCGGGAGCGCTGCAGGACATGGCGCATCGGGAGGTGTCATACGGCATGAAGTCGAAGCAGGCTGCTATCGAGGCGCAAGCTTCTTCCTCATACCGCTGTGTCTGCTCGCCCCGTTCTCGAAAGCGAAGATGAACGTTCTATTGACGGGTCCGGGCGTCATTACCTCTGCTACGCCGACGGGAGATGTATCAGTGGACACAGTACGAACAGCGATCCTGCCCATTTTCAAGAGCTTCGGAATCGACCGCGACCTCGAGCTACGGGTGCTGAAAAGATCAAATCCGGGACCAGGTGGTGTGGGAGGAGGAGGAGAGGTACAGCTGGTATTCGGACATCAAGTACGGCTACCCAAGACGATACACTTGCTCGATGCGGGCAGAATAAGAAGGATACAAGGCGTGGCATATGCGACAGGAGTGGCGGGTGCGAACAACGCGCGAATGATTCACGCAGCAAGAGGCGTGTTGAACGAGTTTGTTCCTGATACGCGGATACACTCGGACGTGAGCTCTGCGCCGCTCATCGCTGCGCCTGAGAGAAACAATGCACATGCGAAGAAGAAGATTGGGCTTGGGTTTGGGCTGAGCTTGGTGGCCGAGTCGAATACGGGAGCCTTGTACTCGGCAGATGTCGCGAGTGACTGGAGCGGCGGGGAAGTTCCGGAGGATCTGGGCAAGAGATGCGCATATCAGCTGCTGGAGTCTATCGCGCAGGGCGGGTTCGTGTCCAACGTCGCGGCGCCGACCGTATTGACCATGATGGCAATGGGCAGTGAGGATGTGGGCAGACTGGCGATTGGCAAGGAAGTCCTCGGCACAGAACCTGTCGTCCAGCTGGCGAGAGACTTGCGGTCTTTTGGCATGACAGGCTGGGGCATCAAGGACAGCGATGAGGAAGGCGAAGCTTTAGTCTCCATCGTAGGGCGCGGCGTGGGTAACGTCGGTCGTAAGATTGCCTGAATAAAGGCTGCTGCTACTTCTCTCCCACATACCTACTCTGGCTTCTTGGTGCATTTTCATCCCTATACTGGACTCCTCTTCGGTACCTTGCATATGACTTGGAGCATCACGTCGTTGATATCTAAGGCACCCAGGAAGAAGAAATTCTCGGACTTCTACCAGGTCTGCATCTGTAAGGTACCTTACCTTGGCTTTACATACTGCTTTGTCAGGGGCAGTATTAGAGGGACTTTCTCTCTCACACTGCTTGTCGCTGCCTACCAGCCCCGTCCTCGGCCCTACCACTCCCAAGACTTGATGAGACGGCACGTGCGTCTCTAATGGCAAAAGCCGAATTCCTCAGCCGGAAGATCAATTCCAGGTCTGTCTACTCCATTGGCCCGACTACTTACGCACGCATTTTGGCCTGCGTCGTCAGTTTGGACTAAAATACTGTACCAGGCAGGTAGCAGGAGCACTTACATGGAAAGATGGCCTTCGACATTTGCAATCCATAGTACTCAACTCTGTAGCAGAGTTGCGCGCTTCGGATGTGCAAGCTCTCACCAGAAAGAAGAGAAAGAACGGCATTTCGAAAGCGGTGGTCCCTAGTATGGGTTGCAAAGTGCCAACGAAGCCGGAGTTGCATGGAGTCAATCCTATACCCCTAGGCGTTATGCTCGACTATTTGGCCATTATCTGTACTAAGGAGAGAGAAGAGAAAAAGCGAAGCATTTGGGGTTGCCTGACAAACGCATTTCATCGTCACTCTCAAGACTCTCAACTCGCATATCGGTTCCATACATTCAAACCCGTATCACCCACAAATGGAACTGCGGCTGCCCTTCAAGATGAGACGAGCGCGCTTCTTCTTCTTCCCTCGCGCGAGCATCAGCAGCGGTGATGATGAAGCTGGATTTTGCGGTAGGACGGACGATTTTGAAGATACACATATTTGTTATGGGAAGGTGGAAGAGGAGAAGCGTGGGGATTTTGATGACTGGATACGGCCGTCTAAAAAAAGACAAGAAAAGGACGGAAAAAGAAGAGAAAAACAAAAATAGCGGTGACGATCCTTGAGAGGAGAGCTAGGCGTCGTGCATCTTCGTCACCTGCAGAGCGCATGTGGTAATGTAGGTATCGATTGCTTGTGAGTAGAATTGCTCTTCTCGCTTTGCGCAACGAGTTTTTCTGCACTAGAGTTGGCCGCTTGGAAGTATTGCTATACGGTTATGTGGAAAAGGAGAACCGTGGGTATCACTCAGTGGTCGTCTTCGTTCTTCTCCTCCCACCTCCAGCACGTTTGATGATGCCGTGCTCCTTTCAGTGGCTGTTGCCTCTCCCCTCTTGGTGGCGATAATGACGGATGCACAGTTGGCTCTTTTGAAGCATTGCCAGGGTTATTTGCGAACGAAAAAGTACCAGAAGAGCGGTCTGTTCCTACGAGGCGCGCAAGTCACTCGCGCTCGAATCTTACAAGCCGTATCATATCCGAGTTCGACGAGAAAGACAAAAGATATCAGAGAGCCACCGATGCTGAAAGATCTGGCCCGCGAAGTCGAAGCCCACCCGGTAGGAGACAGCTGGTACTGGAAGATCGGAAAAGGGGGCTACCAAGACAAATTGAAGTAGCTCACCGCAAAGATAGTCAGAAAATACCAGGCTCATGGTATGGAGACAGTGCTGGCCGGCAACATCACCGGGGAATGTGCTGACCCGTAGTCGTCTCTGGCTTGCTCGGCTATGGACCTTGCTCGGTAGTGAATCATTCGGCGTATTGTTGTCCTTGAGTGTGAGGGAAAAGACGCTAAGAGAGCGACTCTCTTGGCTTGCTGTTCTGATTCAGCCACTAATAATGCGTTAGTATCGTTCACAATTCACGTACTACAAAGGAGTAGCATTCGAGTTCTCCTTTTCGCGAACTGATAGGATCTGCACTAACACCCTAAGATCATTACTGTAGTTTTTGTATACAAGAAGAGCTACTAGGAAGACCCGGCCGATATACTCGATTCCTTCACTCCGGAAGTGCTACGTGCGCTAGTGTACATATCTCAAACTTCTACCTTAAAATTTCGTTCTACCCCTGATGGGACAATATCGCTACCAAGCCACCACCACCACTACCGCACCGCTATTACCTCGTCTGCAATGGCAGGAGAAATTGCGCTCAACGACAGCGCGATCGTGTGCTCTCCTCTCGACGGGGCCAAGCGGGTCCCTGAAGACCTGCTCGGAGTCCGCTATGGAGCCGAACTTGTTTGGTTCCGTATGCCTTGTAAGGGGTATCTGGCAGAAGATCTTGCTTCTGACACCAAAGCCATCGTCTACCGCGCCCAGCGCACAACCCCGGAAATGGGAGACATCAAGGCTCTCATGGGGACAATGCTCGCGGTCGCTATTAGCCAAGACACAACGGAGCAGTCGGCGAAGCGTGTGCACCGCTTGACGACGGTGTTGCATTGCGATCGGCCTCGCAGAGGCAGTAATCACCACGAAACCTACTTTTAGTGCCGTCTTTGCTTCGCCTGGTAGCACAAGCAGTGGGAGACTGCAGCGATAGGGGGCGCCCGATCTGCAATCTATACTACATCATCAGGATAGCGCACTAGGAGGGGCGCGAAGTGTAGGAGAAGAAGAGAGTAGCATATGCCGGTCTTGAGGCACTACATTTCATTCGCGACGTCGATAATGAAGAGAAGGTGGCGCAATTGACCTCTGCACCCAAGTTTCTCGGGCGGCTGCTTGAGTCTTCACCTCCTCCACTACAGTCTTTCCACACAACTCCACATCTAGCGTCGCTTACAGGGCGCACTACAACAGTACCGCAATTCGCCAATTTTTCCTCAACCGCCACCGGGTGAACAGCTGGACAAAAGCCCGACGCGACCTCCCCCCAGCTCACGCCAGTCTCTTCGCCTGCGACCGACAGCACCACCATCCCTTTGGACGCCTACGCTGAAGCGAAAAAGACCGCACTCGCCTTCGAAGCACGCCAGAAAGTACTACACCAGGAGAATCTCGCTGCCGCTGCCACTCTTGCCGCAGCTACCGGAGCTGGAGTCAATACCTTGATGATGCAAACGAAGAATAGTCCGAGCCTCGTATGCAAGGCCGAGGAAAAACGTAGCATCTGTCTCCGTGCCTGACGCTCGACCCATTCCCAGCCCTCCCACGCTTCTCATCGCAAAGCAGAACGCCGAGGACGAGGAGCAAAAGCGTCGAATGGAACGTGCTGCGGCCAAAAGGTTGCGCAAACTTGCTTGCAACGACAGGACGCCATCAGTCACCACCGACAGGAAAAGACCAGTCGACGGTTCGCACCGCAGACTACCTCAATAAGGAAGCGGACTCCGAGTTCCAAGACTGTCAAAAGCTATAGCGAAATGAACTTGGCAGAATTTTGCCGCCGCCGTAGGAGCGGAAAGATTCCTTTGATTAAAGGCTTCTGCGGAACCTTGCTTTGTGCAAACAATTGATCATGGTGAGGTGACCGAGAAAAAGACGTTTCCAAAAATTGGAATGGATTCGAATTCAGAGAAATGCAAGCGTGCAGAAATAGGAGGGAGGGGGCTTTTAGTCGAGGCCGAAAGGAAAAAGACCAGTCGCTGGTCATGCCCAAAAAGCGGCTTTTATGGATCAACGACCGCTGGAGATAATGGCAAAATGAGCGGCTTGATGGAATTTCAACACTGGTATGACAGATGCGGAAGCTGAGATGAAGACCCTTTTGCAAGAAGCAGTCGAAGATGATAGTTACTAGGAAGATTTTACTGATATGGGAAGTTGTCTAACGACAGAGAAGCATAACTTCGTAGAAGCCGATTTCAATTTCTCACTGTTTCAAAATTTGCGAGAAGAAGAAGAAGAAGAAGAAGTGGAAGGTATTGGAAAAAGCTACCAGCAATCGCTTCAGGTTTAGTACTCGAGTGGAGTAAGCGAACAAGCAAGTCAAATCAAATCCATCAATCAAGTCAAGTAAACAGGTCAAGTCAAGCAAGCTCGAAAAACGAAAAAACAAAAAGATTCCAGCATAAATAAATAAATAATAACAATAACAATACTGACTTTTCCACTCTCAAACATGTCTTCCACAAGAGTTCTGCTGTGCTGTGCTGTGCTATACATAGACGCGAGAAGAGAAAAAAAAAAGAATCTTTACCGGATGGCAATTGGGGAGTGGAGTGTGTGGTCTATAGTTAGGTATAGAAAGATATTGGGGAAAGTAGACGGCAAACAGGAGGATAAGGTACAGGCAAGGTAGACAAGATAGATAGGTTGAGGGAAGAGGGAAGAAAGGTGGAAAAGGAGATGGGAAACTAGCTGCTTAAAGACTGAAGACAGTGAAAAAAAGATACTGAAAAAAAAAGACATTTTTTCCTACCTAACCTACTTGAAGTTTTTTTTGCTCGGACAGTCTGCTGCTCTCTCTCTCTCTCTCACTCTCACTACTGCCTCCTCCGTCAAATCAAATCAAAATTACCGACCGTCAAAACCTCTCTCTCCCTTTCTCTCTTTTTCCTCCCCGTCCCCGCCATACTACTAACCAAACACCCACCCCCACCCATACCTACTTAAACTCCGACTTCACCACCTCCCCTTGCTTCCCCAGCACCTCCTCCTGCTCCTCCTCACTCCCCTTCTCCCCCTCCCCCTCCCCCTTCCCAGCAGCACCAGAAATACTCCCCAAACCCCTCACCTCCTCTCTAAAGCTCACCGTGGGAACAAACCCCGGAGAATTCCAAGCACGATTCACTTTCTCATACATTTCATCCACTTGTTCCAGCGACAGACCCTTGGTTTCGTAAATCATGGCCCACACGAAAAATATGCAGACGAAGCAGAAGGAGCCCCAGACGAAGAATACTTTGCTTTGGAGGTTGGCGTTTCCGGGACCGGAGTTTACCATGTAGGGCGTTGAGTAGGCTATTGCCCAGTTGAGGAGCCAGTTGGATGCTGGGGGGGGGTTGGGAGAGGTTAGTTTGAGGGGGGAAAGGGGGAGGGGGAGGGGGAACGTACCTGTTGTCATGGAGAGGGATTTGGCGCGGACTTTGAGGGGGAAGACTGTGGTGAGAAGAAGAAGAAGTGTCAGTCTCTCTCTTTCTCTCGTCCAAAATGTCGAAAGTTGTAGAATGAAGACTTACTTTCGCCCGTAACAATCCAAGCAACAGGACCCCAACTACACGCAAAAAAGAAAATATAAATACAAACAAAAGCAATCAAAGCTTTTTGAGCGGCGAGATTTTCAATTCCTGCTCCTGTTCCTACTCCTGCCACGATGAATTGACTGACTGCCATGCCGACGGCTCCGAATAAGAGAAGATTGCGTCGGCCCCATTTCTCTACCATCCATAGACCGGGTAGAGTGGATGTGACGTTGACTCCGCAGGTGATCATGCTTACGACGAAGGAGTCTAGAGAGGATGTTAGGATTATTTGGGGTGGGAGATACAAAGGGGAGGGGGAAAGAGGAACTTACTGGTGATGCCAGAATTCTTAAAAAAAGATGTTCCATAGTAAAAGATAAAATTCACACCAGTCAATTGCTGCAATGCCTGCAATCCACATCCTGTAGCAAGACGTTTGCCTAAATTTCCTTTGAAACAGTCCAGATATGTCGCCTCTCCGAGAGAAAGTTCATATTCGTGATTCGCAGTGATTTCTGCAAGCTCCTCGACGAGTGAGGGATCGTTGATATCCAGTCTACGCAGCATGGAGAGTGACTGGGCTGCTTTCTCGGGTTGACCACGCTTGATCCACATGCGTGGTGTTTCGGGAAGTAGCAGCATGCCACCGAAGAGGATGATGGCCCAGGCGAATTGTACTGCGATGGGGATGCGGTAGGAGCCAGAGTCATTGCGGTCTTTGGTGGAGTTGTCGACTATGGCTGCGAGGAGTAAACCGATTGTGATGGCCCACTACAGATTGTGATGGGTTAGGTTCAAGTGTGGAATCAGGGTGGATGGATGGATATCTCACCTGATATGCTCCGACGATGGTTCCACGAATCCATTTGGGCGCTGTCTATTTAGAGGAGAAGAACAACGAATTAGCAGTGATAACATGTGCGGGAGAGAGCTATCAGATCATCTCACTTCGGACTGGTAGAGTGGGATGAGACAGCTAATCATGCCGACACCATATCCCGCGAAAAAGCGGCCAGCAACAAAGAGTGGGATGGCGGTCGCTGCAGTCTGGAGGATGACACCGAAGGTGAAAACCAGCGTAGAGACCATCAGACCCCATCGACGACCAAAAAAGTCTCCGGTGGGCGCAGCGGTCAAGGCACCACAAAAGGTACCGGCAGACAGCAAGGACACGATCAAGGATGATTGCGATGCAGTAATGGCGGGCTCGCCTGTCTTGTCGTCGATGGCGCCTGTGGAAAAGGTCTTGAGCCAGTATGGCATGGCAAGGATGCCTCCCTTGTGTTCTCGTCAGTCTCGCGGTCGCTACTCTCGGACACTTATTAGTGACGGGACAGTAACTCACGATGGTGCCTGTGTCATATCTGGATTCCGAACAGATCAGCATGTAGTAGATGAGGGGAGCAGCGTCTGCTCTTGGGAGGAGAAAGAGAGTGTGTCTTACCCAAACAAAACACCACCTGCGTATCATGTCAGCCCCGAGCTTCCAACCAACAACATGCTGAAGCGGAGAGGAGGAGAAAAAGAGATGAGAAGAAGAGATTCTCACCAAATGCAACAAAGAGGCCGACGACAATGGCAGGCCAAGCCTTGCCTGGAGTGCCCGGTGGCGGCTTGATGGTGAAAGTCATGATGGGAAACCTCGTCGTGTCCCGATGAATGCGAAGGAGAAAAGAAGATGGTATGAATTGCAAGTGGGAATGTACAGTACAACACCAGATGATTCTAGAAAACCGCGAGACAGTAGACTTTTATGGGGAAGTTGGGGAAGTCCAAGTACTACAGACTGTCAGACGGCCACGCGAGCCGCCAGGATTCCCATGAAGCTCGTGAACTGCTCCCATACACACCCATCCATTCATCAAGCATGTGTCAACTTTCAAGCATCTGTCAAGCATTGTTAGTGGAGGTGGTAAAATGTCAACCAGTCATTGTACTTCACTCCCAGCACTGCCCCTGTCTTCTCCGCCACAGAGCACGAGCTTCTCCAGACCAGACTATCCTGGCCCCGGAATAATGGCACGAGGAGTTTTTTTCTTTACGAGACACTACCCTGACTGTCATGCTGTCCAGTGCCGGCACTCGCCTGAATGTGAATCGTGATTGATGATGGGAGCTTGCATAAGGAGGTATGGATGGGTAGGTAGAATCAAGTTGAGAAGGGTGGTGTAATACAATCTCCATCTCGCCGAGACTTTGTTCCTGTCTGTCTTTTGTAAAAAAAAGTTACCTCGTCGCCAGACAAGCAACAATTATTAGATTTGAGGCCGTGAGAGTGCCCCCGGCCGCCCTGGAAGAAGTCGCAAATTGAGCAATAAGCCTTTACAACAACAAATAACAAAAATAATAACAAAAATAACTAATCACGATTCACGAGTCTTGTCGGCTCATTATGCTCACGCGCATACGGGTGGGTAATACTGTCTGTGCCAACCCGGATTTTCAGTTGTACAGAATTTAGTCTGTGACCCGGAGCCTCCGTATAAGAAATGTCAAAAGTCTTGCATAGTACCTATGACAGGAGGATGAATTCGGCAAATGATGCCATATGTAGGCGAATGGGGAGTCTGCTTGTAGTAGTGAGCATCTACGCTATTTGGTCGATAGGATCATCTACTGTACTCAGTGTACTGTACTGTGCTTGCTGTGGGTACATGCATGTTGTGATGAATCATGACGGGCCTTTTTCACAGGGACACTCTGTATTTTACTAGGGTCGCCGTGGCATGGGACCAACTACATGTACCTATGATTGAAGCTCATTGAACGATGGCACGGTAACATAGAGAACAGGCCAGTCGCGAGCCAGGGAGATTGATGGATTGATTGGTTCGCGTAAGGGTATAGGCTGTATATAAGGCTGTAAGCTACCTCCTACAGGGACTACAGGGAACTACAGGCGTGAGCATCAACTTTTACTACAGCAGTCCAAGTTACTAAGTAGTAGTGAGTAGTAGACTACAACAACCTAGCAGTCGTACAGTGCAACGAAATGGCTAGTCGGAGAGAATGAGTGCCAAGTGTCGGAATTCCATCGACAAGTACCTCCTATTCCAGGGGCCATATGCACTCCATCGTGCCGCCTGATGAGATCTGAGATGCCCTCGATCCTGCTGACTTGGCTGGCCTAGAAGAGAGATGAACCTAAGAGAATCATCTGGATGCATCAAGATGGGCAAATCTGATCAGAATCAGAAAACTCAGGTACCTTAGTGTGCTTGGCAACGAGAACTAGGACATCTCTACCATCTCCTTCAACCTCGCCGTCACCATCTGTTCTCACTCACTCACTCGCTCACTCACTCCCTCCTCATCAGACTGACAATGGCACACATATAGCGGGATGAAACGTGCTCCCCGCTCGGGCAAACAGATGTGTCCCTGTGTTGGCCAGCTTGTACAGATCAGATGCAGATGAGATGCAGAGGTCCAGCATCAACTCGCTGGCATTGTATTCCCTTTCGATACCCCTCCAACATGTCAGCCTCACTAGGGAACAAGCCCTGTAGGAACCTCTTCAACCGTCAGTCTCCGACGGCCATCAGCGACGAGTATCCCGCTGTCGCCACCATTTCCTAGGCCCTTCCTGCACTCCTCACCCACCCTCCAAGACTCACAATACGTCCCATCATGTGACAGAATTTGGACAGAGTGAGCTACGTATCTGCACTATCTTGAACCCAGTCGTCTTGTATGAATATCGAAACAAAAACACCCAAGTCCAGTCACAACAGCCAGTCCGGTCAACCGTAAACCGTTGGCTGTCAGTGGCAACAACTCAACGACGGGCAGTAAACACCCAACGGCGTTGCTCACAAAACTTCATAAGTCCTTCCCTTTTGCAAAAGAGAAAATTCCTCAACTGAAGTAAGCATTTCAGAAACTGTACACTGAAACAGTTCATCATCATCATGGCGGTACAAATCACCCTCGAAATCCCACTCGATGTCGCCTGGGCCATTCGGGACATCGACTACGATCTGGAACGCATCGACGGAGACGTAGAACTCACTTTGGGACGAATCACGACCGATATCATTGAGGCTATCAAGGCACTTCCTCAGGCTAATATACCGCGTCCTGATACACGTTTCTCGTCGTCGACATCAGCATCAGCATCATTACGAGAAATCTCCGAGACGGCCTCTTTTTCTTCCTCTTCACATTCTTTCTCACGAATAGACTCCTCCTCCTCCTCCTCCTCCCAGTGGCCCAATAGTCTTCGATCATCTTCATCCACATCATCTTCCACGACCTCCAACAACAACAACATCCAATCTTTACTCAAATACGAAACTACATCGGACGAAGACGACAAGAACAGCCTCCTCCTCCTCCCCCTCCAACACTTCCCCGAATTCGACCTCTACATCGAAAACGAATTCGGCTCTCACCACCACACTCTCGCAACGGGAGACATGACCATTGCAGATTTGGAACTTGTGTTAGGTCCCCTCTGCGGCTTTGAACCCACCTGGCAGAGTTTACTATGGCGTGGCTATCGAATAAATCGGCCTTGTGCGACACTTTTCATGGTGAGTAAATAACGCTGCTGCCCCTGCTTGGATGCGAGAAAGACTATAATATCTCGTCCGCTTCTTCTTTCTTTTTCTTTTGCTGATTCATGTTGTTTTTTTTTATTTACAATAGTATGGTATTCATCGGTATCCGTATATGGAAATCCGAAGACGTTCACCGCCGGAATTTGAGCAGCAGCTACAAGAACAAGAACAAGGACAAGAACAAGATTATCATCAACGCCAACAGAAGAGTACCGCGGCGACAGCAGCAGCAGCAGCAGCAGCGATTATGCTCCAAGAACCCCAGCCTCCATTATTGCCACCGCGTTGATTGATTTTTTCGGCTGACACCACCCCGTGTCGAGGTTTCGGGCTGGTGGTCTGGTTTTGTCTGGTCTGGTTTGGCGAGAGAATCATAGTATAAAGATTAAAGATGTAGCTCGAATGGATAGATTGAGGACGATGTTTAAGCTTTAGGGGATCTCTGTACCTCTCTCCCTCCCTCCCTCTCTCTCTCTCTCAGAATGAAGCAAAGTCATAGGTAGTACCCGATGCTACCAACTCAAACTCGCATGTTACTCAACCCTCCCTCCGACTGGTCTTCTTATATGCAGCAGTACCGCATCCCATCCCATTCCCCCGTCCTCACTCAGCATACCTGGTATGTAGGTATGTAATGTTTAAATGTCATCACCACCCCCTTATCCCTCATCCCTCATCCAGAAGTGAGAGTAAGAGTAAGGTAGGTACATGTACATATACCTCCCTCCCCCCTTCTCTTCTTCCTTCCCTTCTAGAATAAATCCCCCACCCCAATAAGGTCAGGTAAAATACCTCAACCCCCCCCCC